AGTTTAATATCTCTCGTCCTGATATTGTTGTCGTAGAGTATGCAATGATACCCCACATTCTTAAACTGGACCTCACTGGGATCGATCCTGAGGCACATTTGTACAAACTCGCAACGGCTATAAAGAAGTCTACCTCCATTATATGTTCAAGGTGTTCTTTAAGTCTTTATCGGTCAATTGAGGTCAAAAGAAAGAGTACAATGTGGCAACTATGCTGTGTGACAACAAAGAAGGCAAACCCAGATACTGTGGAAGATTCTTCAAGCTTTAATCCAGACTTGCACTTTAAAACAATCTGCTATTTCGCTTGCGAACACCTATCCTGTCTTAAATGTGTATCGAAGATGGGGATGCCCCACGAGGATTTACTAAAGTGTCCAACTTGTAAGAAACATGCCAGCCGCCAGAAAGCTTGCCAGCTTGTATATGCGCCTCTGCCCAACCTTGTTCTTGTCAAAAGCAATATTCCAACCTCTATCCCAGAGTCCCAACAATCTAAGATTACAACATGGCGTAAGGCCCCTACATTCTTCTATGCCTCTTATACATACGCATATTGGACCCATTCTGAGGTCGCCAGACAAGCAACTTATGACACATCCAACCCACTCCATGTCATGTTCGTCTAAGTTGAATAAATCAGCCAGTTAACATTTATGCTTTATTAGGGTGAAAGGCCCAGAGGCTCCAAAATGCGATTTTGAAACTTGAACCATCTAGGACATTCTTTATAATTGATTAAAGCCATATTATCAGGTACATTATATCTTAAGACAGGATGTAATAAGAGTTTCGTAGTAAGGGAGCGGTGAACATAAAAGTTATCAGACAGATCGCACCAGACAGATATTAACCAACCAGCCTAAATTAGAAGCCGCAGCAAAGAGTCAAGTATAGCCAAATTTGAATACAAATTAACCGTCTAGTTCAGAACCTCTTCTTATTCAAGTACTACCAGCCGTAGGAAGACATGTCCTAGAATACCATAATGGGATTGAGCTGGGTCAAGATAACCAACAAGATAACCCAATACTAACCCAATACTAACTCAATACTTAACCAATACATCCTCTATTAAAGACATTCCTTGAAATAAGTGTGGGTACCATTTATTAAGTAAATACAGTTGAGTGAGTATGACGTCATATTAGGTTAGTGTAAATATGCAAAGTTAAATTGGTTATTTTAAAGTTACGTGTTAATAGTAACACCATTTGATATCTATTGATGAGTAGAGTACCAGTAATCATGTTAGTATTAGATTAGCATCGGATTAGTCTTAAATTAGTCTTGGCTAGTGGTCGTATGGCAGCACTACACTAATGTTAGATAAGTAAAATAATGAATAGAACATGTGTTAGTATATTATATTATTAGATAAGCAAAGTGATGAGTAAGTATATAATTAAGATCGGGGGTGGTGGGAACGTTTGAGCAGACGCTCACGTATTTTAAGGGCTTTCTCACGAAGGGGCGAAGGAAAGGACTCGACTTCGTAATCATGGTACTGGAGAATCCGACTGAGTAACTGGGCATTTTGCTTAGTCACACTGAATGAGCTTTGGAGAAGATCTTCTAGAGTTTCTTTCGGGGCCAAACCCAAAGTAAATATCATATGCAAGAGTGCCGAGAGAAGAGAAGGACTCTTTTGAAGCATTTTCTTGAGTTCATCTTGGCGATTAACCGCTAGTCTTTTAACATGTTTAAGAATCTCTTTAGCATCTTCTGGCGCCATTCGGTCAAGACTTTCAGCTAATGCTTCTGTATCTACTTTTGCTTCTTCTTGAACAGGAGCAACATTATTATCAGCATAATTTATCTTAACTGAACGGTTATTAAGCATGATTTTCAACTTATTAACCGCCATATCTGCTACAATTGGCGATTCATATGTACAAAATCCATACCCTTTAGACTTTCCCGTCGTTCGATCAGTGACCATTCGAAAAGCCACCACTCGACCAACCGCCGAAAGTTCTTCAACAATCTTCTCTTCCGGAATATCAAAGTCAACATTACCAACAAAGACTGTACATCCTCGACCTGCCATAAAAAAATCCAAGAATTACCCAATATGGTAAATATTGACTTGAGTTAGTAGTGAGTTAAGTTGAGTTGAGTTGAGTTGAGTTAGGTTAGTAGTGAGTTAAGTTAAGTTGAGTTGAGTTAAGTTAGTATTCGATTGTATAGGACTACAGTGCTAACTCAACTCAACTCAATACTACCTTAATCCTACTAAAGTAGTGTGTTGAGTTAGTGTTGAGTTGGGTTGAGTTGGGTTGAGTTGGCTTAGGATTGGCTTAGGATTGACTTAGAATTAGTTTAATAAAAGCAGCAGAGGCAGTAGATGTCTAGTTAAGTTAATATAAGTTATGATAAGATAAGATATGTTTATTTTATAATCTGTTTAAGTTATGCTTATGATAAGATAAGTTATAATCGGTTTATGATAAGATAAGCTAAGTTTAAGCTAAGAATAAGTTACATTAGAATAGGATCAACTAATCCAACCTAGCTACAGGAATTGCCAAACAGCCAAAACCACTCCCAATCCTAAACTAGCTACAAAGTACCCTTTCTCACTCCATTCATTACAGTACGTAGCCGTCCGGTAAACCCGCCGCACCGGACTGACCAACCCCCGGAACAAGAAGAAGAAAAGCACTCCAAACCCAACATCACTAAACGTATGGTAGTAAGTAGCCGTCTCCATCATCAACCGACTATACTCCGCAATAATCAGCCCAGATACCAAACACACCCATCGCCTCGACCACCGATTAGAATAAGCCACTGGAATCAAAACATAAACCCCATTCAAAAACATAAAGGTATGTCCCGATGGATTCAAAGGCAACAAACTCCCCCCCGATAAAAATACATGCATCTCCTTCACATAAACAATCACCGTATCTTTCACCACCACATAAACCACCACCTCCGAAATAACTCCTAAAACCGCCAACCAAGACCCCTTCCTAACCACCTCCATATAAACCAAGACATAAGGAATTAAACACCCAACCCGATCAATCACCTGCATCTCCAACGACCGCAACAAAACCAACGGCGGACCCCCTAAAATCACCCGTTCCTCAGATGAGTTCAATAAAGAGAAACACAAGACATACACTACATACAATAGAAAGACATCCACAGATGGCCGCATAAAAACAAAGCAAATGAAGGTTTTATTGACTTACTTAGAGGCCTTAGTAGGTACTTTGGCTACGGCTTCCTTAATCTCCTTCAGGGCATGGGTACGCAGTTCACCTGTCAAGTTAACTTGGGCCGCTGAGGTTACTTCCTCTAGGTTGATCGTTTGCTTACCAACTTTTCGGGCTAAAGTCGCACACTCCAGGGAGAGTCTCTCAATGACGTCATGAACTATATTACACAGGCTTTCTACAACGGGACCAGAAACCTGTGGAGGAGAGGCTTGGTAGGTACTCTTAAGCATACGCTTGACTGAGGACCTAAAATTGTAGTGGTTCTTATGGGCATGGGAAGGTTTAGACTTCTTCTTCTCGGACGATCCAAGACCTTTGGCTGGTGCTTTGCCTGCTGGTCGCTTTTCTGCTGGCTTGCCGTCTGCTGTTCTCATTGACTTGCAAATAAAATGCGTATTTATAGTTTTGTTTTGGCGGGCAATTTCCCTCCAATTTAGGTTGCTATTTAGTTGAGTTAAGTGGAGTTTAGATTGGGTTGGGTTGAGTTAGTAACTCTACTTGATATAATATAATCTAGTAAAAAGACCGGTTTGTTTTGGAATGGTTGTTTTATAGTAATTCTAACTTAATAACTCAATATAAACTTAACTTTACTCAACTTAACTTAACTTTACTCAACTTAATCTAATGGTGATAATAAAGTATGGTTTAGTTTGGTATTGTATTAGTTTGGTATTGTATTAGTTTGGTAGTGTATTAGTTTGGTATTGTATTAGTTTGGTAGTGTATTAAGTCAGTAATGGGTTTAGTATTGGGTTGAGTTGGTTTAGTATTAAGTTGAGTTAGTATTGTAGTGGGTTGGGTTGGTAGTGGGGTTGGTTTAGTATTGGGTTGTGTTAGTAGTAGATTAGTTAGTAGTAGATTAGTTAGTATTAGGTTGAATTAAGTCAGTAGTAGATTAGCTAGTAGTAGGTTGAATTAAGCTAGTAGTGGGTCTGGATGGCTTTTTATTGGCCGATGAAAAGTGTAGGTTGAATTAGTTTGGATTGGGTTAAGTTAAGTATTGAGTTAAGTTAGACTTAGCCGTACTTATCTTATCTTATCTCCCTTACTTGTATGGTTCTGTTATGCTAAGTCAAGTGGAGTATTACTATCTTAATTGGTCCTATGACTTATAGACTTCTTCTACCCAACTCAACTCCACCTAACACCACCTAACCCAACTCAACTCAACACCAACTCAACACAACTCCAACCTAACCTAACTCAATATCTAGTGCTAAGATAAACAAATAAGGGTGGATATAAATAGAATGGGTGTTGTGATGACATGTATACATTGACTAATTCGCTGTTGCTGAATGGGATGGAGAAGAAGAAAGGATTTGAAGAAGTACGGGTGGATTTAGGATCGGGTGAGAAAGGAAGGATTATGGAGGCTTTGCATGAACTGTCCCGGGGGAAGTTGGGGTTGAAACAACGGGCTTTGGTCTTTCCGATGGTGGTCACTTTGATTAGACATCAGTCCTTGGAAGTAAAATCGGGGGCTTACTCCTTTATCCTGAAGTGCTTGGAAATTGATCGGACTTTGTTGCTTCTGGCGGTCAATACGGTTAAACAGGAGATGGGTAGTGGTGAAGAGAAAAGAATAGTTCTGAATCGGGCTTTGGCTATTGATTTTATAGGAAAGACGCGTGATAAGGACTTCTTGGGACACTTTTTTGATGAGATAGAGCGAGAGTATGATAGTGAGATGGACGTCTTGAAGAAAAGTGCATTGCTGGCCACTCCGAGTTTGTTTCGGGCCTTTAAGGAGGTGAAGAAAGAGAAGGTCTTGGGGTGCTTGCGGAGTAGAGGTGGATTGGTGACTGGTGCGGCAGTTTATGCCATTGTGGAAATTGAGAAGATGTCGCGAGGAGTCTTTGGTGAAGTCGTGCTGATGGAGGCCTTGGATGTTTTGTGTCGTGGTCGGGAAGAGATTGAGGAAAGGTTTGAAAACTTTGGGCTTCTGTTGGTGGAGTTGTGTCGGTTGTTGCGGCCTTTTAAGCATAAGGAGATTGCTGATAAGTTGTTTCCGATCTTGGGATACTTGCCATTGTTTGCCTTGCGGGAAGTGATTTTGTCGGCTGGGGAGTACTTGGTAGGTGCTTTTGGAGAGAAGTTGCTGCAGGGAGCTATTTGCTTTTCGGGTACAGAACAGAAGCTTTTGGGTTTGGAGACGATTTTGCTGTTGTTCTGTCACCAAGATAAGATTAAGACGATGATGGACCCGTTTTTGATTGATGGATGTGATAGTAAGCGGGAAAAGATGGTTAAACTGCAGATTCTATCGAAGATTAGTGGAAAAGAAGCTGTGGCGGAAATTCGGGCCTTTGTGCGGGATGGTGAGAGTTGCTTCTGTGCTTTGTGTCTACTAATCGAGCTGGATGCTTTAGAGGAGGACGATATCCGGGTTGCGTTTAAACACTGTCCAAGTGCGGCACTACGGGCCTTTTACTTGAAGCACCCGTTGCCTTTGAAGCACGCTGAAGTAGTTCGAGGCGCTCTGTCTTATCTGAGTAACGTGGTGGAGAAGGAGGCATATCTCTTTTTGTCTGGATACTACCTGACAACTATCCCTGATGAGGCCAAGCGGATAAGAAGAATTCGTAACTCGGCGGGTGGGATTCTTTATGGTAAGAAGGAAGAAAGAGAGAAGTCTGAGGAGCATTTGGAGGAGTACTTGTACTTCTTGCTCAATTTCTATGTCCGTGGGATTATATCCAAGGAAGAGTGCATCAAGCAGGCCCAGGAGACCTTTATGGAAGAGCCTTTCCTGCTGAGTAAGTTTATGCATTTGGTTGATTTGCCAGATCGCAAACACTTACTGGATCTGATTTCCTACAAACGAATTTCTTATCGGGTGGGTAGTCTCATCCAATAATAAACCGGCTTACATGCTAAGTTGTCAAATCTTGTCTTTAATTTAGTATTCTGATAGTCGTCTTTGGTAGATATTGAGTTAGATTGGGCGGAATGAGGCGGGGTGAGATGCGGTGAGGTTGTGTTAGTTACCAGAAACCAGGCAAGCTGTTTATTAAATATTAATGAGGTTAGGTTGTGTTAAGTTGTGTTAGGTTAAGTTAATATTAGATTGGATTGCGTGTTGAGTTAGGTTAAGTTTAGTTTAGTTGGGTTATTAGTGACAGCCGGATACTAACTCAACTTAACTCAATACACAACTTAACACAACACTCAACTCAATCTAACTCACCCCAGCCTAACTCAACCTAACTCAACCTAACACAATACTTACCACTTCTAGTGATAGTTCGAGGCGATGTGGGCCGCGAACTTTGTCTCACATGGAGTGAACCACCAGTAGACTGCACCAAGATGAAAGAAGACTGCAAATGATAAAAGCCCGCCTGCAATCCAGATAAAGCTTTTGTAGATGAGGGCGGGTGTTTCCCAGAAGATTAAGAACTGAATTACCAGTCGGCCAAGAACAAAACCAGCTACTAGTAAGATACTAATTGGTGAAAGTATCGCTACTATAAAGCTGTCTGCTATGTTGAGAAAGTAGATCGAGTGGGCTGTTAATGCTAGACAAACACAGAAGAGACAGTCAAGACAGAATACCACGTTCTTCAGACTTCGGTCAACTGTGCACTGAAACAGCACGACCAAGTGATCACCGGTGTAGCGGCTTTTTAACGCGTTCAATCCGAGCATAGCTATCCAGCCGGAAAGCCAGATCCACATCAAATGAAATACACCTTTAAAGAGATAGAAGAAACTTCTAGTGAACTCACCATTAAAGATCAAGCTGTAGAGAGATAAACTACAATTGCGGCCGCCAAACCAAACACAAAGAGGCGCAATATAGTAGTAGAAAAGTACGACCGATGTGCCGTAGAGAAGAGACTGTGCGTTAGGTGTTCTTCGCAATCTGGTGATTAGTAGGCTGCGGATCGGATGTATTGCTATGCCCCCTGGGGCTAGAAAACGCTGAGGCATTAGCGGGCAACGTATGAGGTTGTGGTCTAGATCGGAAGAGAAGAAGGCTTCAATACAGCGGATATTGATCGGGTGTAAATATTCGGGTTTATACCGATTCCACTGACTTTCATTAAGGACAATGATGTCGCCTAGGGCACAAAAAACGGCCTGAAACAAGCCCAGCCAACCCTTGTGATTTTCCATCTTTAAAGATTGTGGTCGAGCTGGGTTATATTACTTGAACTAGTATCAACGTGATCGCTTATGGTAGTTCTTTGGCTGGTCCGGTTTGAAAACACCCTACTATGAAATCATTTCTGGACAATCAGTTATTGGGACAGATCTCCCATAATAGGAAAGAAACAAACACCGCCGAAACTTAGCTCTACCATCTTACTCTGCTTATCTAAAATAATGGCAACCCAGCTAGGATCTCTGGTTTTGATTTTGGTCATTTTAAATCTGCTTAGTCTTCTGCACGCAATACAAATAACTAGTAGCTCAGTTAGTTTATTGAGTTATACTTAAATGATGTAGATTCGGTTGGGAGGCTGGTTGGCTATGTTGTCGTTAAGCATAGCGGCAAGACGTCTGGGCCTTCGATATGAGACGTATAAATAGACTTGGCCGTCCAAGCAATCCATCTTATCACGCCAATTAGGATCAGCAGATGGTAAATTAGTACTATCCTGGGCAAATATAAGATTGGCTGGAGGCACGCTGATAAGCCAATCAATACCGTCAAAATCACTTGTGTTTCGGCAATTTGGACACTTATCATCTGGCGGAGCCCTTATTAGACACTTACCACAGTGCGGATGGCCACACTTGCGATAGCAAAACGTTGTGAAGTGCTCTTTAGGATTGAACACACGGCAAGCCTTTTTGAGGGCTGGCTCCTCTCCATTCTCTTCCGCATTCGCTTTTGGCCTGGTTGGTATATAAAGAGTATCAAGACAAACAGAGCAGAGCATGGTGTGGCGGTTCTCCTTAATATGCTTTGCGATCTTTTGAAGTGAGGTTGTTGAACCATTAGGCTGGGGTGCAGGAATGAGTTGGTCAAGTTGCTCGTCGTCGTGGGTAGCAAGTTGCGATAGTACTGAATGCGGCATTGCAATAACAGCAAGTTCTGGGCTGTTGGCATTAGTCAATGAGCCAATCTGGTAGACATTAGCTAATACCTCGACAGGAGGGCTATATGAGTTAGTGTCTTCTAGTTGGATGCTTTTAAGCCTCTCCAAATCACGAATTAAATAGTGGCGTGTGTCGGCTATCAACTGCATATTGTGCGCGATCTTAACATTTGATATTCGCAAAGTCCACACATCTTTAAATCGGAGAGCCACCCATCGAACAACAGTCACTAAATCCTCTTCAGCTAGTGCCTGGCCATCACCAAAGTGTAACCTTAACACCATAACAGAAGCTCTTTGAACTGGAGATTGTTGAGATCTAAGACTGACCAGATCCGATTGCAATGCAGCTAAGGTAGTGTTGTAGATTGTAATCGCATCCGTAAACGACAGAGAGTACTGACTGTCGTACATTGCTAGAGCTTTAAGATATGCACCACACGATGTGGTTGAAATCTTAATGCCATAGGATAACAATCCAACCAAAACTTCATCATCCAAACTAAAGTCGGTTTCTCCTGTTTGAAGGAATAGCTTGTCTAGATGCAGATCTTTAACGGTTTTGCCTTCTCTGGACTGCTCCTTTACATAGCTAAGTAGGGAGAATCCTTCGATTTGGTCTTGCTGGTTGTAATGCCGAACTTCGTTTAGTTTATGGAAGTCATTGATCACTATGAATGCAATGTTCTGACTTTCAAGCATACCAAGAACCTGAGCAATAGCCAGATTGGAGAAAGTTTGATTCAAAATATGCACCTCTGTTGGCTTCTCAAAGACATAACGCCCTAGCATTCTGTAAATAATGGACATATCAACATTGTCTAGGGTTAACTTCGCAACATTAAGAAGATACTTGGGCTTTTTGCCGAGCTCCTTCTTTAAAGTGTTTAGATCAAAGTCTCTGTTGGGTTGCCGGTCTTCGCGCGTATTAGAAATCTTGAGTTCGGTGGCAGTGATGCTTCGGAAGAGATCTAAAAGGTTGTGGCACAGCTTAGCCTGCCGCTTCCTTGGAGTTTTGTCTCCATTAATATTAAGGATGGGGTAGTGTATATTCTGGCAAAAACAGACATGGCAAGCTTTGTATTGGCGGAGATGGCCGCTTAATTGGGGGTGATAGAGTGGAATATTAAGCTGGCCGGTTAGCTTCCAATCATCTAGGCTGATTTTTGAGCCACAGCATACAACCCCACTCTGTTTTACCTTCTCTTTTATTGAGGCCGGCAATGCACCTAACTGATACAGTGTATCTATAGTCTCATACAAGTCGGTTCGTCCGTTCTTATAATTTATATGGACCCTTTCCACCCGTATACCATATTTGGCATAGGTTTCTGGGTTGTAGACTTGGTTGTACACATCCAGGGCATTGCATGGCATCGTAGGATCCACCTCAACTGTGGCAATAGTTGCAGTAACTTGAGTCTTGGAAGGTGATTTGGGTTGGGGTGAGTTAAGCATTAACTGGATGAAATCCTGGGTGGCATCAAGACCTAAAATGTTATACACCTTGATGGTGGTCGCGTTTTGTTCGCCTAGGTGCTGCAATGTTGCCCATGGCGCCTTCAGAGCTATTTCCGGATGGTTTGCCACTGCATTCTCCAGACCCGTTATTTCTACCTTCGCGTCACGAACAACACTAATGGTGATTTGGTTGCATTTAGAGGAAGGCGGTTGAAGGGCTGAGAGATCTATATAAGCTGTTTTGGAAATTCCATTAATAGTGAGAGTGTAACCATTCACTAGTCGCAAATTATTAAGCATGTGCGTATTTTGAAGACCATAGGCAGTCAAAACAACACTTGTAATTGGCCGCAATAAGATAATACCAAAATATCTCAAATCCGGAAGCCTATCATTCATTTGGCTTGAAAGAGAAAACTGGCACGGTTCGTCATAAATAACATGGTTGAATGTGCTCTGCGCTTCTATTTCGCAGAGCTCTAAATCTAGCCTGCCAACATTCTCGCTCTTTCCTAATTTAGAATTCAAATGAAGACAGAGAGCTTTACACTCAACCAGGTTAATAACACGAGATATAATTTGCATGTTTTCCTGATGACATTTTGAATTAGCTGTTAGATAAGAAAGATAAAAAATGCTCGTTCTAATAGAGGCAATCCTTCGTAGTCCATACAAAGCCGCCCTTGCTGTTTTTGCGTCTGAATAACTCGGTATTGTAAAGCTGAGATCCGATCCCGTGCATTCTATTGTGTAACTGGGTATAGTTTCGTTCGGATTAGATAGTGTTGTGCTGGTCTTGTGATCATAGGGTATAACCTCGATCTTCTTGTCTTGATGAATAAATGCAAACCCATGTGATTTCAGAATCCACACTGTCTCTGTCGGAGTCGGATATAATACTTGAATGGCCCGGTCTGGTTGTGCCCTATCAATTGCTGCGCCAGCTCCACTCAATATCAATAACCAACCGCACAACACAATCATCCAATAATTAGCTACCTTAAAGCTCCAACGTTTAGTTGGAATAACGGTGATCATTTTCAGATTAAACATGGCTCTAAAAAGTAAAAAGTCCTAATTAGGAAATGTTGCCCAAAAAGGAAAATTCGTTGAAATCCCTTTAAAATTTAGGCTTGCTTTGGCTATTACAACCTTTTACATCTATATAAGAATAATGCATGTGCTGCTTCTATATGGCCTAAGTATTGGACATACTTTAAGGTCTAACTTATCTGAGATTAGCTAATAAATCAAACCTAGATTTGAACTTTGAAGACGAAATTGGGTTAGTATTGGAGGTAAAATATAAACCTATGAATCACAAGATACTGTCTGTTCTTTCCCAATCCTAATCCAAGTATTATTCCAGTCTGTTACAGCGGCATTAAACTTCTTAAATTTCGAGCTTAAATAAGATATTGGATGCGTTTGGCCGATATGATAGAGAACCGTTTTTGGTCTATAATAGACAGATTGGCACTCCAAGCTATTATAAAATTGGTGTTGTGTAATGCGATTGGTAGAGAAGAGATATAACAGTTATATGCTGTTGTAGTGTTTTAGACATTATTGAATCTGTAGTGATAGATAATGTCTAGGTTTGAAATAACTTTTTATGTTATTTCCTTATCAGGAAATTATATACTTATATGAAAATACTGATTTTTCCATTATGATCGAATATGATATGATTCCTGGCAAGCCGATCAACGCCCGGCAGTTTAAAATGCTGATGTGCTGGTTTATCGGATTATTCGTCTTATTTGAACGGTTGAATGCTGTTGGCTGTTCTGAAGAAGTCGGTGTCGTGGAAACTTTACCGAGCTCCGACGAACTGATCAGAGATTTGCGAACAACGGGTTTTGTGTTTACTAGTGATGAGTTTACTTTACTGGCCACCCCCTACACTTCTAAGAAATCACAAGAAGCTGATCCAACGCCGGGTACAATTCTAAACACACCCCAATATGCGCTAACGTACTCAGGGTTTGAGATCGAATTCTATTTGCCAAACTATTCGAGTGAAACGAAGGCCAATGACGCTTTGGAGTATTTAAGAACAATAGCCTTTATTAAAGTCTCCTCCGCCCTTGTCGCCTATACGGAAACTAAACCAGACTATCACAAGATCAATATGCAAATCTTATCTCGAGTTGTTAACATGTTTGACTGCGAGGAACTGGTTATTTATCCTAAGGACGCTCAGGACAAGAGCGCACAAAATCGTCTAGTCGATTCGAGTGTCTGTTTGGCCGAAGCACTAAATACAACAAAACATGCTGATTATGACTCGGCATGCGAGGTATTCTTCTCAACTATCGCACATATTCGTCTTTCCGACATTATACATAGTGATGTTGTTTTGCGGCGTCCAATCACAAAGGTTACCTTAGCGGACAATGAATTCCAAAACACCCCATACCTTACCCAGCTGCCTCTGAAAGATAATTACACTCTTGTATTTGAGCAGTTGCCCAGTGTTGCTGTCATTAACCTTGCCGTTCTTCAAAGACCTTCTCCTAGTTGTGACTGGATCATATTTACGGAGAGCCAGAATTCAGATATAACACTAATTGGCCTTACAGAGGTCATAGATCGGCATCCTGCACTAACTTTGGATATGTCTTGGGATATTCTTCGCCGCATGGTTAAGACCAACAAACCAATGAGCCGAGTCCATGCAATTTATGGACTTACCATCTCTCTACAGTCCCACCAAGAAACGCTTGAATTCCTTCAAAACCAACCGCCAATTGAGTCTATATTCACTGTTGACATGGTTGTTTTAGAGGTTGCTAATGATATGCCATGCGACTCTTTTGGTTATTACAAGCAAATCTATACCCGTGAAGCACTCTCTAAATACGGCATCTCAACCGACAAAATCGAAATAGTATATCTGGAGCGAGATGATTTCTTTGCTACTATAAGCGCACTCTGTCGTATCAATGCTTTGTCGCTAACAATACAAGATGAAATTCGGGATAATGATATCAATTGCTGTGGTGATAAACTGAACAATCCCACCTGGAAACTTCAAGAGACTGTTAAAGTTAACATTGCCAGGCGCTATACAACTTACTGGCTCAATGATTACAAGCAAAAATGCTCTACCTATTTCTGTCAGCATATACACTACGCAACCCTCATCCTTATGGGGCATAAAACTCCACACTCGAACCACGCCCAATTATGTATTGGTTTTCTAAATCTGCTCCAGAACATCACGGGTAAAGAGCTCCACATATCAGATCTTCGTGGTAGCAACCAAACAACTACCAACTTTGATATGGCTAGTCTAGAAGCTGAATCTATCAAATCTCCAAAATATAAACTTAATGTTGATGTTTTGGTGTTGGACAACGTTGATGATAGCATCATCTATTGGATGCTTGGGCATTATGACATTGCTAGTTCAGTAGAAGTCCGTATTCTAAACCAGGGATTCAGAAACCTTGCTATTGCTCAGGTTCTCTCTTATCCAATTGGCCAGAAGGTATCAACACTTGTGGTCAATGATCTCAGTGGGCTTGATGAGATTAAGCAGTACATGTCACCACGCTCAACCCAAGACTTCTTGTTGTTCAACTACGTCGAGGCTGCCAAAGAAACCGGCCAATCCACAGAGGATATTGGCCTAAACAAGCTATTCTTACAACACCTGGAAGATCTCGGTCCTGGTTTAAATAGTAATGTGTTGGGTATGTTTGCAAGGTGTGGACTTCAGCCTACAATTATAACATTTGATGATTATATTACCAGTGCATTGACTCGCACCAACCAATATCTTCATGTGAAAAGGACGGTCGTTATCCTTTATGACATCACCTTAGAATCCTTACAAACCGATCTAGCTAATTGTCAAACTACAAACAACATCTTCACCAATCCCTCACTAGATACCAAGCACACTTTAATCCAGAGAGAGTCTATAAAGAATCTGCTTCTATGCTTCAGAGACAGCCAACCACTAACTGAATCTGATCTAGTAGATATTATCCGCTGGGTGGCTTGTCGATTTGATAACGTGGTTGTCTTGCGACTGAGAAATGTTACCCTAACAACCGAAGAGCGAGCAGTAATAGCCTCGCGCAACTATTGGATTTGTGGTTTAGATTCACTTGAACGTGTTATATTAGTGGACGAAAACTCAAACGGCACGCCTATTATGCTGGGACTCAACCAGTATCATAAGAGTTTACTAATGAATGTCGACAATTCAACCACCGAGTTCACTGCAGTAGCATCAGCAACGGTATTCCGGCTCTTAACTTGCCTTGATCAAGCTACTACACCTATTGCCGAGCAAGCACGTGCCAAACCATCTTTCAAAATGATCATAGATAATATTGATGCCAACAAAACAAAGCCTCATGAAATTGTGTGTCCCGTATGTCTCGATAGTCTTTGTATCGATCCAAAAGACGAGAACGCAAAGACAGAAGACAATAAGAAGCCAACGACAGAAGATGATAAGAAGTCAACGACAGAAGATACAACAAGTAGTGGCAAACCTAAATTTAACAGTGAATGCCCTACAACATTTTATTATCTCGAATGTACACATATAGTCTGTGGCAAGTGCGTGATTAATTCCCAATCGACCAAAAACCCAATAATCCAATGCACACTCTGTCGAAAGAATATCTTTGAAGATATGCATAGATTGATAGATGTTCCTTTATCTAGCTGTGTCTTTGCTGGCGACAACTCCTCAATATCTCCAGCTGCTTCTAATTGGCTTAATAGTATGGCTTTTGGTGACAAGCATATCTACTTCTATACTTCCTATAAAAGCCTAGCCGACCTGCAAACAGACATTGAGAACACACCCGCTTACAACGACTCCAACCCCATCTATATTATTTGATCGCCCAATAAACCATTTAACTAGCTCGTTTAAATAGTGCCGAAGACCTAACAACTCAATACTAACCCAAAGTATTTCTTATCAAACTCGCTCAATCCTAATGCCATCGCACATTGTCCTAATTAGAAATGAATGGATGAATTAAACGCAGTCTATTAAAACTAGTATAACTGCCCGTCCATCACCAACGTCATATAATATCAACTGGTTTTGTTTTAAGTATATTATTGGGTTAGCATGTCTTTATTCTATTATGTTCAAGTTGGACTAGTGCTTTTAACTCCCAAAATCAAACATAATACGCACTTTAAACTAGCCAGCTCAATTTAGTTTGAATAAAAGCCTTTATTTTGACTTCACACACTGATACACTCTTAACTATCTTTGATAAGATATGGCCAGAAGATAGATTTGGCCAGAAATCAAACTGGAGTTTCACAATAATACTAATGAGTCGATTTTTTTGCTAATCTATGAATAAAGTCTCGTATAGAATGCTTAATCAAGATCTATTGACTGAAATGCCAGCCGGAACAGTTATTCTTCTTGGTACTCTAGTCGCTAAAGAAGAAGATCTCTACTTATCTGCGCCCGATGGTGCTACATTGAAGATCCGTATGACCGATGAGGCCGATATCTACAAACTAGCTGATTATGAAGACGAATCCATTCTTCTGGTTGGCACTATCAATGGCGAGCAGATCCAAGCTAAATCTTGGGCTCGGTTTGAATCAAGCATTGATACTAAGTTGTACCAAGAGACATTTTTGGAGATGCAGAAACATCCCCAACTCTTCTGTGCTGATGCCGAGGAATCACTTGAGTAGAAGTGAGTATATTGTGTGATCTGAAGAAAGACTTGGTTTATGGCCCAATCTAACTGAATTGATTGATTAAAAAGCAAAAACTATACTTGAATTTTTAAGATACGATCGATCCTGAACGTATCTCTCTGTGTGATGTTGGAAATAGTTATGGTGGTTTTATAGTCTAATGATAACAAATTACAATAAATTATACCAGATTGTCTTTCAAACTAACATTAATTCAAGTTGTGGTTTTCAAAAGGTAAGAGTTAATCATTTATTCTTTATCTATCACTCTGTTAATGGCTAGGGTGGGATAGTTGAAATACTTCACACTGTGGGTCGCCATCAAGTCTAACTGGAGCCAATGACTCACAGCAAATGAAGTAATGTTGCGATTGTTTTGTTTTCGTTGTAATAGTATCTCTATTGATTAGTTGGGATAGGATTGGGTTTGATTTGATTTGGCTTGTTGGCTTCTTAGCTTGAATATTAGCTGTGTTGGATTAAGTTATGTTAAATATTAGATATGTTGGGTTAAGTTATGTTAAATGTTAAAAGCATTATTAGAATATAAAGCAAGTAAAAATGAAATTGAATTGAGTTTGTTTTTGATTTAGTTTAAGTTTAGTTTGGGTTTAGATTTAGATTTAGTTTGGGTTATAATATGATGAACAAATACCCATATAAAGTAGAGATATGTCATTTTAGTAATAACTAAATCGTAACCCAATACCAACCCGATCTTAACTAAATGCTAACCCAATAGACCTTTAGCATAGGGATAGAGTTTGTTTGAGATAAGTTTGCATGGTTTAAAGAGCTTAGCAATCATTCGGGTTAGTATTTTATGTTATCTCGACTGGGCTGCTATTGGGTTGATATGGTTCTGGAGAAATATGGTGGTAGAGGAAGTTACGTCTTCTGCGCGCAATACAAATAACTAGTAAGTAGCTCAGTTAGTTTATTGGGTTAGGCTTAAATAACATAGATAGAACCTGGGCCTTGGGTGGCTATGTTATCCCTAAGCATAGTGGCAAGATCACTTTGCCTTCGATATGAGACGTATAAATAGACTTGACCATCAACCCAGGTTATGCTGTCGTGCCAATTAGAATCGGCATTGGCGACATTGGTATTGTCCTGGGCAAATATAAAGCTAGCTGGAGGCACACTGATAAGCCAATCGATGCCATCAAATCGACTTTCGTTTCGGCAATCTGGACATCTATCATTCGGCGGAGTCCTTATTAGACACTTACCACAGTGCGGATGGCCACACTTGCGATAGCAAAATGTTGTGGAGTGTTCTTCAGAATTGTGGTCGGTCCCAGGTTGGGCGGACACTTCCGTATTCGCTTCTGGCCTGGTTGGTATATAAAGAGTATCAAGACAAACAGAGCAGAGCAGTTCGTGGCGGTTCTCCTTAATATGCTTTGCGATCTTTTGGAGTGAGGTTGTTGAATCATTAGGCAGGGGTGCAGGAATGAGTTGGTCAAGCTGTTCGTGGTGGGTAGCAAGTTGCGATAGTACTGATTGCGACATTGCAATGACAGCAGGCTCTGGATTGTTGGCATTAGTCAATAATCCAACACGGGGTGCATTAACTAATACCTCAACAGGTGGGCTGTATGGGTTAGTACCTTCTAGTCGAATGCTTTTAAGCCCTTTCAAATCACGAACTAAATAATGATGTCTTCTTGTTGTCTCCATCAAGTCAATTGCCGCCTCGGCATTTAGGAACCGCAAAATGACGACCTCCTTAAATCGAGAAGAGACCCACCGAACGGTAGTCACAAGGTCTTTTTCCTTTAGTACTTGATTGCTTCTAAAGCGTACTATCAAATCCTTAACTGCGATCTTTTGAACCGGAGCTTGCTGGTCTAGCAGTTGGACTTTATAGCAGGCAAGATCAGTTGCTAACCCAATCAAATCAACGTTATAGAGCGTAAACTTATCCTTAGGCATTGTAAGAGCCGGGCTAGGCTGGGGTGTCATCTTTAAAAGGTAGTCATCGAATGGCACAGCCAGTAACTGAAGATTATAGCTATACAACTCACGCAAGATATCACTATACCAGTCAACTGCGACGCCATCTAGATGAAGAGCCAGCTTCCATAGCTGCAGATCCTGAATGGTTTTGCCCTTTCTGACCGTCTCCTCTACGTATTTAAATAGGGAGAAGCCAATGATCAAGTCTTTCATTCTGTATTGCCGAACTTCATTTAGCCCAATGAAGTCATTGATCACCAGGACAGAAATATTCTGGCATTCTTGCATAGTAAAGACCTGGGCAATCGCTAGATTGGTGAAGTTCTGATTCAGAATATGTACTTCTGTTGGTCCAACAAAGACATAACGTCCTAGCATTCTGTAAATAATGGAGTCATCAACGTTGTCTAATATCAATTTCTTAACATTCAGACGGCATTTGAACCTCTTGGCAATCTCCTCTTTTAGAATCCCTGAAATGAAATCACTAGTAGGTTGAGTCGGATCACGAACATTGGTAATCCTAAGTTCCAGGGCATCAATGTCTTGGAATAAAGTTAGGAGCCTAGCACAGGAGCGGGCTTGTGGAGCATAGGAATATCTGTCCCCATCAATTTCAATGGCGGTGTAGCGTATATTCTGGCAGAAGAGCCGACAGCAGTGAAGTTTGTAATCCCTAAGATACTCATCAAGCATATAAGTATTAAGTCGAATCTTAACTGTCTCCTTAAGTCTCCACTCAGGGTTGTTGGTCGCTTCACCGAGACATCGAATATCCCCGCGTTGAACTTCGTTTGGAATCGCCGACAAGGCATTGCAGCGCACAAGTATGTCCAGGGTGTTATAAAGGTCAGTGCGATTTTCCACATAGCGTATCTCAACGTGATTAACGGAGATGCCGTACTTGGAAAGGGCTTCTGGAGTGTAGAGTTGTCTGTAGTAGTCCAAGGGTTTGCATGTCATCTCGAGAGAGATTTGGCAGACCGCAGTAGTAGCAAAAACACAGGGGTCAATAGGCTCTTTACTAGGAGCCATCAGCATATCGCTGATAGAAAATGAACAAACATCAAGACCAGCAATGGTATGAACGCGGATTGGCTGTGTGCTATTCCTGCCTAAATACTGGAAGGTTGACCAGTTTGTATTTAAAGTTAGCATTGGATGTTTACGAATAACATCATCAAGGCCCGTCAGCTTAACAATTGCATCGGGGTAGGGCATAATATTGATACTCTTGCATTTAGGAGGAGCGGTTTGGAGAAACTTGAAATCAAGATTAATTACATTAGGCAAGGACATAAAGATAAGAGCGTAGCCATCTACTAAAGGCAACTTATCAAGAAGAGGGGTCTGGAGAATTTCCAGTCCCATCAGGCAAACAGTTGAAATTGGCCGCAGCATGATAATACCACAATATTTCAAGTCTGGAATCTTATTATTGCCTAGAGATGAAAGAACAAGGCGACATTCCATTTCATAAGTGATGTGGCGGAATGTATGGTCTGCTTCTTGCCGACAGATATTCAAATTAACCGGGGCGGCAATCGCATCCATTTTCAGATCAGTAGCTACAAACAAGACCAACGATTTGCAATCAGCCATATTAATAACTCGAGACATAATTTGCATACTCTCCTGCCGACAGGTGAGGTTGGACATTCCACAGGTAAGATGCATAACATCTGTCCTAATAACGGCAATAGTTCTTAGCTTATTTAGAGCCGCTACAGCAGCTTCTCGACTTATATAGTTCGGTAGTACAAAGTTCAGAGGGGCATTTGCATACTCCACTTCATAACTAGGCGCTTCTAATAATGAGCTATGTTTAAGTGGATTTTGCGATGGCGGAGGAGTATAGGGTGTAATTGCCACTCTTATGTTCTCATTGGCCATCAGAAATCCAACGGAGTATAGGGTGACTAGCATCACTTCTGGAGTCGGAGGCTCTAGCTGATCTAGTCGGCCAACTTCATTATCACCACGCACACTCATCAGCATTACTATCAAGACACAAAATGACATTGCCCAACGTTTAAGCATATGGCAACATCTGATTTTTACAGATGAATCAGTAATCATTATTAAAACAGTCATAAAACCTGAAAGCAAATTGATTTAAATAGTATTATTGTCCCAATAAGGTAAATTAGGTAAAATTAGCAAGAAAATCAGATGCTACCCCACTCTATCATCTGTCTAGCAATTTCGCCATTCCTGGCCAGCATCACCATACATTGCCATTTCTTTCCTTTGACCTAATGCCAATCCAACCTAATAACAACAATAACCCAATCCAATACTAACCAAATACTAACCTGATCTCTGGTAAGCTACTCACTACTTAGTGTGGCACGCCGAGTATGAAACTCGCCCAGTTTGAAATACAAAAGCCCTCAGCATGTGAGACTTGGAAATTGTCTTTATTGAGTCAAAGTACCAAATGAGTCTCCTTTCTGTCTCTAGGACCAGGAATACAACCTTTCATTCTAAGGGTAGATTTAGAAGCGGATGGTGCTATAGTTTATTCAACTATATTCTCTCGAGCGTTTTAGATAAGCTTTTATAGATTAGATAGTGTTAGTGTTGGGTTGGGTTGGGTTGGATAGGGTTCATTAGCCAACACCGACTCTATTAAAGACCTTCCATGAGACGAGTATCGATGTGATTTGTTAAATAAATATGGTTGTGTGTGTGGATGACGTCATATTGAATTGTAGGGTAGATATATAAAACCCAATTAGTCGAATCAGATTGACTCTATTAAAGTTGCAAGACGTAATTAGCTGGCAAAACATTAGGTTGATCTTATGGGAGCTAAATAGTGGTCGTATGATAACACGATTGGATTGGTATTGGGTTAGTGGTTGGGCTGGATATGTTAAGAACAACACTGGCTGTAGCAGAGACCACACAAATAACTCAATATTTACAAGGAGTATATGCCAAACCTTTATATCTATCTGTTCTCCAATAGTATCGACTGTAAAAGAGGGCAAGCATGTCTATGGTCCTGAATAACAGGTTATAATGGAATAGACCGGTAGAGTACCCAGACATAGTGCTTATCCCGCCAAAGATAGCTCCTATAGAGAAGCGGATAGACACCAGCCACCGACAGAAGTACTTGGATAGGATGAGCTGTGGTAGTAATTGGGTTCGTATAAAGGTAAAGGAGTTCTCTATTGGGTTAGTATTTGGATTGGTATGGGTTTGATAACAATACTAACCCAATACGGCAATCAGGTACTAGCTTTTACTTGCCGGAGCCAGGAACTATACTACAGATGCTGGCAAATACACTTGAGTAAAGAGGTGTACGTGCAGCAGAATTGATTGTTGTTCGGCATAGATCAAGATGAATTATTGCTAAGCATTGACCCGAACAACATATTGCTAAGCAGTGGGTAGTGCAAATCAAGGCCTCTTATCAACGAGTATACTAAATCTGTTTATGTCTATAGAATATGATAAGAGATAAGAATTAGACTATAAAAGGAGAGTTTATTACTTTAAAGCACTTTCAGATAAGAAAGGAAGAGAGCGAAAGACCTGAAGGTATCTATCTCTCTTTTGGGTTGATAGCCACTTTCAAAATATTCGCAAAATAGTGCGAACTCGAGTGGCTCTAATTTGTTCGTGTATATTTTAAACTAGTAGTTGTTAGATTTTCAAATAAAGCGTCTTTATTGTATTCTGTCTCGCCAGCCTCGGAACCCGCAATTTCGGGCCAGAAAGCGAAGCTCGTCACTTTCTGTAAATAGTTTTGAAATTTCAAGTTCGGCGAGTTACAAGATTGGCGTGCAACATTTATTAGATCTCGAGCGGAATTGTTTTGATAGTCGATGAGCCAACCAACCACTTTACTGAATCGATCCATATAATATTAACACTAGCCCAATATTGGGTTGGTTCAGAAATGGCGGCAAGAGGTCATAAAAGGAAAGAACTATCCAACATAATTGTACATTTTTGAGACTTTCTACTTTAGGCAATTTGTAAGTGTTTCCAAATGGGGAAATTTCTATTACAGGGGCTAGCCAATTAGCAAACAAGCATGCTAACTAAGCGCAACACAAATACAGTCCAGCCTATTTCTTTTCTGTAGTTTAGGATTGATTCCAAATTTAACAATATTACCAAAAATGGTAATTTACAATCAAACACATCTTCAAAGTTGTTATCTTGATTTGTTTTTTATATTTTATGACATACACAGCTATTGATCAACATCTTTCCATCAGTCCATCAATTAAATCTCGACTGCAATTGTTTTCAAAAGCGCTGATGCTTATTAGTGCTATGCTAATCATGGCTTTGACTTTTGTACATGCAGCAGATTCAGACCGATCAGCCCAACCAATCGGTAAATCAACGCCTAGCTCTTCAGTGACTTCTGGCCATTGGTCCAGCAGTCTCACCCAAGAGGCATCTCAGTTTATAATAGAGACAGCAAGCAGCTACACTATATGCAAAGACTATCTTGGCCAGAAAGGGCTGATCTTAATAAATGTGATAGAGAACACGACGCCTGAAGTCCTAATACTTCACAATGGACTTACCGACACAGTTACAACAGAAGAGATACATGCTCTAACTAAGTTACTAACCCAGGCGATAGAAAGCACGACCTGCACCAAAGTTGAATTCATTGGATTTAACTACCCTACAATGCAGATAAGTGCGCAGGATTTAACGGACAAACAAACGTCTGGCAGTTTCAGTAACAGATTGTCTGCCACACGAAAGTCTATACGGCGCACCTGGTCACAAGCAAATACTTCTCCAAAACCAGTCACTCTTCTCCTAACACGATGCAATGCCGAGTTTGCTAAGGTCTTACCATTAATCTTAGGCCGCCGCCAATCAGTTAGCATAGTCGGCTGCAAACAGTGCTTCATGTCTTCTTTAGACTGGCTCTGCCAACTTAACATATTCCGTGACAAGCCCCTCGATGTAACTATCATTCAAGACAGTAGCGACAAGATTACATTTTCGCAGAGCCCACGAGCTGAAATAAGAATCAACTTATGCCACACCAATAGCCAGCTAGCTCTCAGCAGCAAGACCAATACCATTGCACAGCCCAAGTTATACCTCCAAATGAACCTGCAACAACTGGCCAGCTTCTCCGACCTTCAAAAAACAGCCAACATAAGGCGACTAGAAGTCTTTGGCGTAAGCAATGCCACCCTCTCGACACACCCAGAGTACCAACAACAAAGTGACCCGCCATCAACTTATCTCAAACTGCATCCCCAAGAAACCTATCTTTATTTTGATACTCAAACCGATATGACCACAGCCAACCCAGCCCAACTTGAAGCCATCTTATTGCGCTCAAGAGTCCTCTTAAAGAAAGCGATGTTTCTTGGCATAAGCGAGAAGCCTCTGAATTCGGCTTTACAATTTTCAGAACCAACTGTTTGCGAGCCTAAACCAAGAATACCGCATAAAGTCACTAACCTGACGACACTGGCCCATGACAAAGGCGCACAAGCCATGCTACTAGTTAATTTTGGCAACAACTTTTCTAACACACATCATGATGTTGTCTTCAAAGTCAGCATAACACCCGATCAAAAGTTTGATAAGACCGATGCCACCTCACAACTACTATACCGGGCAGTCACCAGCATAAGGAATATCTCAACCAGCACAGTTAGGGTTTTCAATACAGCCGTTGATGAAGAACTTGCAGATGAGACCATCAGCATAGGCAAAGCAATCGAAAGCCAGTTCTTAACTCTAATCTTCGATGGAGTCCCATTCAATTACATTAAGGATTTTCTGGCTACACTCAGTAAAGATAAAAGCCCAATGGTTCTACAAATTGCCAACACCAAAATACCTTCATTGGAGCATTGCCTATCACTTATCACCTGCCGATACAACCATATAATTTCCCTTCAAATATCAGCAGCTGATTTACAGTCGTTAGAACTCAAAGACCCCTTATCAGATACAGATAAAGAGGCCATCAGCAAGCTCCGTGTGTTGGTATATCCAAACACTTACAAAGCCAGACACACAGACCTCGAGAACCTTTACAGCCTAGGCCTTCCCATCTGTCTTCCTTTTTGCTTCTACTACAGCCGGGACTATTGTGCGCAGCCACTTAACCTTCCAGCCAAAGCCAGCCTTCATCTATACGATACTACCTTTGGTGACATTCGCCAAGTTCTTGTACAAGCAAAAGCCACCCTGCTCCAGCAGCAGTTAACAAACCTCGACTGCTACATTCACATCGCACCTGATCTTGTTCTAACACCCCAAACTGCCATCCTCCTACTCAACTACATGAAGCTGCATAGAAAGCACTTCAGCACTCCCCCCACAGTTTGTTTTACCTTTAATCTTCCGGCGCACATTATAGCCTTCCATCTCCAATTCCCACTAGCCACAGGCCCCTTCTGCAAAGACATGATCCATTTCCACTTACTTTACCACGACCAACTAGAGCCTAAATCCATCGAGCTATGCTCCCAGGCCGCACGTACTCAACCTCTACCAGATCAATTTTACATCAACTACATCCCAACTACATCCTATCCGGTCTTATTCGAATAAATAGCAAGAACCATCCACACCATCACAATCACCAACCCAACCCACTAATAACCCAATCTAAACTTAACCCAATTCAGCACTTGATTTATTCTTTCACTCTAGGCCTAGTTACACCCAAAGATATTATAACGATTAAATTAACAGTCATTCTGATAAACACCCTCTTATATTCGTATCACATGAATCCAGCACAACACAACACCAACAAACATCAACCCAACACAACCCAACACCAACTCAATACCAACTCAATTACATGAATAGCGTAGCCTGGTCCGGATCATAAGGAAGAGTGGTACATTCAATCGAGCTCTTATTAGCAAACCCAAGCTTCTCTAAATTGTTTATCTTCTTAACTAGAATTGGCCACATCATCCTATCTATATATGAAGCGAAAAGGTAGTAGATGCTAACACTACTTGTTTGTCCAATACGATACACTCGGTCTTCAGCCTGAAGATGATCTCCCGGCGTCCAAGACAGTTCCGCAAAGATGACAACACTTGCACAAACTAAAGTCAATCCGGTCGAACAAGTCTTAATGCTAAGAACAGCCGTGTCTATTTCAGGCTTGCTTTTGAACTCTTCACAAAGAGAATTACGCATAGCTTGAGTAGTACCACCATCTATTCTAATGCAACGACGACTAAAAACCAGCTCAATAGCCGAAAGCATCTCTTTATGATGGGCAAATATAATGATCTTTTTGTTAGTTTGCTTGCGAATAGCCGTAAGAAACCGAATTACATCAGGAATCTTTTCAGAAGCAGCCTGGTTGTAAGCCAACATAGTCTCTGGCGGCTGGACTTTACCACCAGTTATCTTAATATTTGTTTGTCTAGTAGATAGCTCAGTCTTAAAACTAACCACAACGCGCTTCTTCTGGCCTAGTTGGATACAATCGGACTTTAACCGCCGAATCATCACTAAGCGATTGATAAAGTAATGCAACTCTTCCAAATTAATACTGCCAGTGTATCGCCTGGCCTTTTTCCAACGGGGATCCATTCGACTTAAGTGCGTCTCATCTAATTTACAATACCTTTCATGGTATTCGTGTTCTTGATAAAGCGATGGACAAATGATTTTGATTTGAGCGTACAACTCACTAGGCCGAGAAAGGGCTGGTGTGCCAGATAAGAGAATAACATGGTCTATACTAGTTAAAAATGGAACAAGGGCCATTGACCGCTTACTTGTCTGATTCATCAGCCGATGTGATTCATCTACTACCGCCATAAAGAACTTACTAGGATGAAGAAGATCCATATTGACTGGATCCTTCCTTTTCTCAACCTCTTCTAATAACATGCGGGCTTTCGTATAAGTTTCAATTACCACCATTCCTTCACCTTTAGGCTGAACTAGCAGGTCCTTAAGCTCACCGCACTTGCCAGTTATGTACTTCTTGACCATATCTCGCCACATAGTGCAGTGTGAAGATTCAGCAATAATTAGCAAGGACCGATTATCCGTGGGATTGTTGGCTTGATACGTCTTAATGGCCGCCAATGCCTGAACTGTCTTACCTAGCCCCATTTCATCAGCAATAAGTATGCGAAAGTTTCGTCTAGCTACAGCCAATAAACCCTCGCGCTGAAACTCTTTAAGAATTAGATCAGGAACACCCGGCAGTCGACTCTTTAAAGTACATACTAGTTCTATACTGACATCACTAGGCTGCTTAACATTGAACTTATCTAAGCACTCAATAGCACTGAGAGGAGGACCATCAATTGTAACTTTAGGCTGGGCAGTGCGCAGTGCCTTTAAAAGACCAGCATGATCTTGCAGCCGATAAGTCCAAGTATTGCCTTGTGGCTGGTAAGTTGTATCTGGTTTATCATATAAATATGTGCAAATATGACTAGCACTTGGTGTAATTGATATAAAGAATTCACTAACTATCCGAACAACATAATAGTTTGGTAAATTGACCTTTTTGATAGAAGGTCGTGTTGGGCCAGAAGAATTGTGTAATTGGGCCAATAACTTATTCTCACTTACCTGCATAGCGAAAAAATAAACCGGTTGGTATTATGTTTAGATCGAATTGAGTTGTGTTATGTTGTGTTATGATGTCATTTAGTTGGATTAGGTTGTGTTAGGTTAGGGTTTGGTTTCGATAGTATGTGATTGGGTTGGGGTGTGGTAGGATTGAAGCGTATTAGATTAGATTGTTATTGAAAAGATTGGTTTATTTCATGAGTGTTTCTTGTGATGGTCTTTAGAAATGACTTCTATTCGTTCCACATAGAGATCAGAAAGTACTTTGTTGCTTAAGATGCCACACAATCGTGATATGAGGCGAAGGGATAGAGCGGTGTAGACGGTTAAGAAAGGTAGAGTTATAAGTAGGAGGCGTAAAAAGAGACGTGGAGGGCCAATGAAGGTTTTGAATAGTAGAGCGTCGGCTAGAACGAGTGAGACTAAAAAGAAGGCTACTTTCCTTAGAAACTCGGTCTCAATAAAAGTGCCAGTTATGATAGTATTGATAGCTACTACACCCAACAAGACTTGGGTTAAACAACTTGTTCTAGCCAGTGTAGCCGGCATAAGAGCTTGAATAATCTCTGGGAATAAGAGTAATAATGACTTAGCAATAATACTCAGAGAAATAGGCAGCCAGACAAGCAGTCGAAGAGTCCATCTTAATCCAATCCTAGTTATATTCTTGAGGCGCCAAGCAATCCGGCCAGACTGTCGAACTGTCTGCCATCTCTTAACCAGAAACCCAACTACTGCTACAGAAAAGAACACCCGATACGCAAATGGCACGTAATCAGCCAAGTCCAGGCCAGCCGCCAGCCAAACAAGTCCAGCAACGGCCGCCCAAACGCCACAAGCGCTTACCATCAGCACTAAACTATAAACAATCAGCAGCAAAAGCACACTAGCCCAATAGGCCGTTAGTTTCATCGCAAAGAAGGATGGAATATGATAGAGCAAGAAAGACGGATTGTACAGCAACTGGGGTCGTGAGGCCAAAGCAACTATTTCACTCCAGGAGCAGTTGTCTTTCTCGGCATCTAAAAACCGGTCCTGCGAAGCCGGATGAATCCGCTCGCCCTTATAGTCGAAGTAGAACTGCTTTTCAGCTAAAGTCACTTCCAGCGCTTGTCGTTTGGCTATCTCCTCTTCCCGATATTCTATGTTGGCACAGGCCGGCAAATACTTCAGATAAGCTGGATCATTCTCTTCCACATGATTGGAGTCAAGTGGAATATCAAAGAGAAAAGATCCCAGTCTAAGACGCAAAGCCATTGCCTTCGTTTGTGCGAATGTTCTCTGTAGTAGCAGAACCACTATTCCTTGGGCCGATTCCAGAAAGAGCATCCGCCCAATTGCTCCTAAATAAAGCCACGCCTGTATATCCTTAAGACCAAACGTCTCTATCTTCAAAACCGGCCCAGTCTTACCGAAGAACCGGCCCGTAAAAAGCAGCATTCTAGCCAACCCTACTCCCGCAGTCAAAGCTATAACCAAAGCCAGGACTTGCAAATAGGTCAAAGCTATTCTCCGTAAGGAAAGCCCCAATCTTTCTCGCATCATCTTTTCTAGTGATCCACTTCCTTGCAAAGGAAGCATCCAATAGAAGAGTCCTTGCCGGTATACCTTAACCACCAGCTGTTCTAGCAGCCAGTTCATACCAAAGATAAGGCCATGGCCCGTCCCAACAAACCAAAGATTGCAAGTGACTCCTAAAACCCGCGCTGTGCTACTACCTATTCCTTTCCCATCAATTGCAGCCATAACCAGCGCCACTCCTGTTCCTCCTGCGCACCACGGCAGAGCCACCCATTCCAGTGTTTTTAGTACGACCACCTTAACTAGTGCGTAGGCAGTTACTCGCAACTTGTCCAACCAACCCAGCGGCCGTTGTAGCATCCATAATATCAGCAGCAGTCCGCCTATTACTATTACAGCCAGGCTTAGTTCCAGTAAACTTTCTAACCCAAGGCCAATCAACCCAATCGAAAATACCATCCCGCTTTGCCCTTCTAATCCAATCCCGGCCCAGGCCACTATCTTTCCTTCCATCCAACTCAGACCTTTTTCAACTCCCATCCAGCACTCGCAAATACCCAGCAGTAGCAATGGGTGGGTGAGTAAAGCTACTAAAGCCCGAACTATCCTACTTCTTTGGTAGCCCAACACTATCCATTCCAGCACACGAAAGTTTGCAGCTGCCATTTGCACAAGGTTATCGACCTGGTCCCGACGACTAAGAAGATTCTCTTCTTCCATCACAATGACCGCAAAGATAGCACAAGTTTCGTCGGGAGATAGTGTTTTCGTCTGGCCAAGCTGAATCCTCTCAGAAAAGCGATGATTGGCAAACATACCCAGCCGCGAAATCACGCCCACTACTGTGAGCAGATCGTCCTTCTTTTCAGGCTCCTCGCCCACTACCTGCATCCATTCCGAAAACTCCGCATCCTCAAAGAGACAAGGATGTGGCTTCTTCCTTTGCACCCGCAATAATAAGTGGCTCAACACCAGCGCCACCCCAACTCCTTTCTGGGCCACCAAACTAGCTACCACGCCCAGAATATAAAGTTGCAAGTACACCACACCCCGGGCTAGCTCCTGATCTGCAGTCGGCCAAACCCAAGGCGCCACCACCCAAGCACAGCAGGCAAAGACTCCATGGAATAGAGCCAAGCCCACCACTTCATCACTTGCGAACAATATCCACCGCCGCACATTCGCGCCCACTTCTTTGGCATACACCCAAAGGCACTGTCGTTTTGGCCGTGACTTCTTGTAAACCCGCCTCAGCCGAATTCGATGACCACAAAACTCACAACGTTGATTGCCGGTTTTGAAGATCCACTTAATTAAACAGTCCTCATGCACATGCTGCAGCTCTCCTCGGCAAAAACACGGACTACACAGCTGCTCTGACTCGCCAACCCATTCATGGCAGATACGGCACCTAATTGAAACTTTCTTCTCGTTTATCAGTATCTCCTGCATGAAACTGCTAAGCCTACTATCCTCCGTCTCCATGATTGTAAAAAGATTGAGATCTTTCAGCCATCGTATGACGCCAAGATCATTTTGTTCTCTTGATACAAGTATCTAAAGATTGTCTACTAACTCACTTATCTTAATTTTCCACTTAATTACAAACCCACTATATTTACAAATAAGAAGAGGCCAAAGTTCACTTTATTACTCCTAAGATCCTTCCACCGCCTAAACCAACCCAACCCAATCCAATCCCATCTAAAAACACTATCTAAATACTATCTAAAAACACTATCTAAAAAAGAAAGTAAAACTTCAAACGATTCCAAACTATTTCAACTCATTTCAACCCAAAATACTAATCCAACTACACCCAAATACTTAACACAATCCAATAAAATTCCAAAATATGCCATTGTAATGACAATTGCCATAAAAGGAAAATAAATATCTCAACTCAAAACCCGGTCTAAACACCTCTAAAGACATTCCAACCCAATAAAATCAACTAGAATCGGCCAGAATCAACCCAAAGCCGTGAAATTGCGTAAATATTTTTCGCGAATGACCGTTTGCTGGCGTATTAATTCTATCCCAAATAGGACCCGTCGTGCGACTCTTCTAGAAGCAATCAATAAGACCGTTGATGGACCTTTTTCCTTGGCTTTTAAAGATAATCGCCGCACAGCTATTATCATTACTGAGTCCGAAATCCAGCCAGAAATACATCTAAATGGCCGTAAGTTGTCTCTAAAGCGTCTCGAAGAGAGTGCCAAAAGTGCAGTCGATAGTGTAACTCCTCTCTGGAATCTTTCTTATGAAGATCAACTAGCTACTAAAGCCGCGGCCGTCCAAAAAGCCCTAGCAGTCATTGCCGGTGCCACCAGTGCAACTGTCCAAACCCACGCTTCACCCATACGCCAAGGCTACCGCAATCGCTGTGAGTTCACTTTTGGTTTCGACACAGAAGATCGTCCGATTCTAGGCTTCCGCACCTCTGGGTACTCCACCGGCCCCAACCGAGTCACTGATCCCTCCGATTGCATCTATAATGTCAGCACAGAAATGCTAGATAAGGTCAAAGAAGTCAACAACTATCTAGCCCAACATCCAGACCTAGTCTACAACCGCATATCAGCAACCGGTCTCCTTCGTCTCCTTCTTCTCCGCCGGATTGGCACCCAATTAGTTGGTGTTTTACTGGCTGCTGGCTCCTCCCTTAGTGAGACAGCCACCAACCCGCACCTAGTTCAGTTTAGCCAATCACTTCAAATAGATAGTCTTTATTTAGCCGTTAGTACGGGCATTCATGAAGGTCTACCCCCAAACACACCCCTCCATCTTCTCCATGGTTCGAATCCGCCCCATCAACAAACCCTAGGTGGTTGTCAGTTTACTTTAGCCCCACTAAGCTTCTTTCAAGTCAATATCCCCGTGGCCGAAATACTAGTCCAAATAGTCAAAGATGCCAGTGCCAATCAAACCATCTTAGATGTCTGTTGCGGCTCGGGTGTTCTTGGCATTTGTGCCGCCCAAGGCACTACCGCCCAAGTAATTGGTCTCGAACTAGATGCCCAAGCTATTACTAGTGCGCAACTCAATGCCGCCACGAATCAGACTCAAGCCACCTACTACACCGGTCGAGTAGAGGACACTTTAACTACAGCCTTAACAAAAGTATCTGGACCTTGCACTGCACTTCTTGACCCGCCTCGAGCCGGTTTCCCCAATCGCCTCCTTCTTTCCCTGCTTAGCACACCCAACATCACGCGCATCCTCTACATCAGCTGCAGCTATCGGCTAGTGATCGAGAACCTAAAAACCATAAGTAAGAGCCACTTTATTCTGAAACAAATCCATATCTTAGATATGTTCCCTTATACGGACCAAGCCGAGTGCGTCTTCCTCTTTGAAAAGAACCCCAATTCCACCGCAGTACCCAATCAGCACCACCCACCATCACCATAAAGCCTTAATTCTACCACGTACTTTGTCATACCCACTACTAAGTAGCACTTAGCAGGACCAATGCCATATGAGATAGCAATAAATAGCCAAACACTATAACTTACGTCATAAGCAAGACATACTAATGCAGTAATAACTTGATCCGGTCATAAAACTAGACTAAAATAACTCCAACTAAACTAGTTGTTCTTCCAACAGCGCAAATCACGCAGCCAGGACATAAATCTGAACCGTCGTGGTCTTTTCCCTTCTTTGGGCTGCTTAATCCAATTGCCCCCTCTGATCGGCACAAAGGCAAAGTTCTCCGCTTGCACAACCCGTTTGGGCTGCCACTGCTCCTCCGCCTCTTTCTTCTGCCGACTGATCTCCATCTCCATCTGCAGTATCTGCCGTTGCACCCACGTCAAACTCTCCATACGCCGGGGTGTAATAAGCTGGGCCGTGCTCTGTGCAGCACTAGCATAGCTAAACGTGGAATATAGATTGGCGTTAGTCTGCATGTTCTGGCCAGTTGCGGCACCAGTTTGAGTCTCTAGATGTGCATTGTCACTAGCCGGCTGATTTGCCTGGTCTAAATTCTCATGCGATCCTTCCACTACGTCCTCCACCACATCCTCTACCACATCATCGTCACAATTTTTAACTGTATCAGTCGTTACGTCATTTTCTTCCACTGCAATTGATGGGGCTATTTCTAAGGCTTGATCGACCACCGGAAGCAATGCCTCTTCTTGTATCATTATCTCTTCCTTTTCTATCATGAAAACCCCCTTCCTACTTCAATATATGCGGGTACCCCATACCGTTATCCAATCATTGGCTCAAAATTTTATGGATCCCGTGGCAAAGACCGAACTAAACCAGCCTTGGCTTGAGGAGTTGGACGAATCATCATTAGATAGTAAGGAGTTCTTTAAAAACGCCGCCCCAATTGCAACAGAGACTGATTCAGAAGTCAGTTCAGCTGAAGATTGCTGGAGTGACGAGATTGGAGCTGAAGATAAGCCCGATTGGCACGTTCCAAAACTCACCATTCCAATCAGTGCACGAGCAAGTGTCCCATTACGTGGCAGTACTTTAGATTACAATTTAGTCAAAGGTGTTTTTACTTCTAGTACTTCTCTTATCAAAATAGATAAGAATGGAGATCTCTTTTACTTTTTAGATACATTGGGCCGGATTTATGTGCAAGGCAAAGATAAGCAAGTCGATCTTTTAGAGATGCAAACTCCCGAAGGCCGTCCTTGTTTATTCGTTGATTTAATATCTCTTAGTGATAGTACAATAGTAGCTCTAGGCCGTAAATGTCCAACTCTCTTTGTGATTAAGCAGGGTAGAGTTAGAGAAGTAAAAGTACCTAAACATGAGGGTAAGTCCAAAAAGATAAGAAAGTATGATGTTAATGATTATATGGTTATTTCTGGTTTATCTATTTTTATCTACTATGGTAGTACTCATTTAGTGAGATATCGTTTGGATTTTGAAGAGGAAGTTTTAGATGCTTACTATTTAGCTAGTGAAAAGATGGTTTATATCTTATTAAGTAGTCGGGTGGTTAAGTACTCGATGGAATTACGGGCCCGTTTGGGGCAGTCGGGTATTTTAGTTGGGGCATTGAGTTTAGGGTTTAGTAAGGACTTAGTCTTAGTAGGTTTAGCGAGTGGGTTGAGTTTAATGGATAGTCAGAGTTTGCAAGAACGGGAGCACATATCTAATCTGGCTAACGTAGATAGGATTATTACGATGGAGAGTCTGAATGTGATTGTTTATGGGTCTTCAGAGGGTGTGAATGGTTTACGACTGATTAATGCACGTACTCAGCAAGTGATTGCTAATTTTCCAGGTGGACGTGGTCTAGGCCGAGTAACTGCTTTTGCCGAAGGACCCAAAGGTCTGTTGTTTGCAGAAGGCCGCGTAGTGTCTCTTTTAAGCCCCAAAGGACCAGTGACCGAGTCTTAACTTAAGTTTGCGATTGAATTGGGCATTAGTTGCAATTTGATTGGTTTAAGATAAGAAAGAAGCAGAAACTGGTTAGCTGATAAGCCTATCACAAATAAATTGAGTTAAGTTTCAGATAAGATTTAGTTAAGATTTAGTTATGTTATGATTTAGTTAAGATTTAGTTGGGTTATGTTAAGATAAGATTTAGTTAGGATTTAGTTATGTTATATAATAAGATAAGATATGATGTAGTAAGTCGAAATAAGATACGATAAGATTTAGTTAAGATTTGGTTATGGTATAGCAAGTCGAAATAAGATAAGATAAGATTTAGTATGTGGAGATAGATAATACCAACTGAATTTGTTGCAAACTAAGTATGTTTATTAGTGAAGAGCTACTTTGAGAAGACTGTAAATGGCTGAAATCCAAGTTTCAATTTCAGTACCTACGGGACGAGAGGCCACAATGGCATCGCCTTCCTTTTTAACGGCATCTAATGCCTCGGCTGAAACAACTTGGTTTTGACCGTTGTGAATGCCTAAATCTTCAATGTGTTTGATGAATAGATCCATCTTTTGTAGGAAATCAACTGACCATCTTTTAGCCGCTATTTGCTTACGAAGAACCTCTACTTTAGGATTGATTGTTTTGAGCAACCAATGCTTAAGCGAACTCTTCTTCTCATTGATTATTTGGATAAGTCCATCAATCAGAGCAGCTAGGCGTTGGTAGACTGCTTCTTGCTCCGGAGTTAGATTGAGTTCAACGGGAGGGGTTGGGGCATAGTTATGATTGTAGCCCGGCTGATTAGGAGTATAACCCGTTGGCATGCCATTAGCTGGTCCACGGGGTATTTGTCCCATTTGTGGTGTAGGAGCACCAAAGGCCGCGGCTGGATTGTATCCGGTTTTGGGCGGAATGGGCATAGAGACACTAGGCCGACTGGGTGCACCTGGGAATGGAGGAGGCGGTGAACCTGACCGAGAAACACCCGCACTAGACTGAGCTGAATAACTACTAGGTGTAGGCATAGGTGGACGTAAAGGAGTATTGTTCGCACTAGAACTGCCGTAGGGTAGATGGCCAGAAGATACATTAGAAGAGGACATATGATTACTAGAAGGTATGTGGTGGGGAGGTGTTGGCATGGGAGGAGGTCTACTTACTGATCCAGGTGTACTAACAGCTGAGTTGCTTAGAGAACTACCTAGTGTATTAGCAGGGGGTTGTGTCTTGACAAAAGAAACCTTAGGTGTACTACGCGGGGGCATTGAGTGGGAGTGTTGCTGCGGAGGTTGCATAGAGTGGCCGGTGCTAGGAGGTTGCATTGAATGGGAGTGTTGTTGCGGAGGTGCGAATGGATTAGGATGGGCTGGAGGTTGCATGGAGTGGGGATGCTGAGGAGGTTGCATGGTAGGGGGTATATTGGTGGGCATAGGCGGTCGGCGGGGAGGAGGAGTAGCTGTATTGAAGGGAGTGGATGGAGTGGACATAGGTGGTTTAGCAAAGGGAGAAGCAGTAGGAGGTTTAGGTTGATTGAAGGCGGGCTGATTAGGATGGTTAGGCTGGTTAGGCTGGGGTGGAGTAGGTCGGGAGATAGATGTACGGGCTAAAGCATCAACTGTTCTTTGCATATCATTCCTGGGCATATCAGTGGAGCGAGTACGGTTGGGCTGGAGTGGTGCAGCTGGTTGTAAATCACCTAATTCAGTCTTGGCTTGTACGGCAGCTTCTGGAGTTAAATGTCCTAGGAACTTAAGTACTCGTTCTTTTTCGCCCATATCAACTAAGTGTTTAAGATAGGCAATAGTTGGCTTAGTAATAGTAATGGACTGATTAAGAAGGGAAACAGCCTTTTCAGTAATGGCAAAGACTTGATGGAAATCTTGATAAAATTCACTGGCTTCAGATAGACTCCTGGGTAGTTTAACACGGGCTTCTTCAAATGCTTGGTACTTCTGTACATCTTCGGCTAAAAGATAACAGATATTAGCACCGGCTGATGATTTAGCATCAAGAACTTCAGCAATCTTATGCACACGACTTATAAACTCACTATCAGAACAGTGTCTGGCTAAAATCTTCACTAAAACTGTCCAATCTACATCTTGCTCCACTAAATCTTCATACTGACCCGTTAAAACAGAGAGTAGTACTAGTAAAGAAGAAGAAGCACCTGGAGCCCGTAAGATCTGCAACTTATGCTTAGCTAACATCTCAGGTCCATGGCATAAAGCTACTAAAGCAGCTAAAGGCGCACTTTCCTTAAGAGCGGCTTGAAAAGCTCCACTTAAATCACCCCGTAAGATCTTTTCCGTAGTTAAGTCTTGATGGTCTATCTTAACTGGACTCCCAACTAGTTCCCCAACCAATTCCGGACTTGTTTCTTCAGCTGGTCCTAGTATCTTAAGCATCTCCTGCCTTAAAGACTCTCCTTTCTCCAAAGCAGCTAAGATCTGCCATTCATACGAAGACTTATCAGCTAAAACATGCCAAGGTCTTAACTTAAGTCCTTGTTGATAGACTAATAAACCAAAAGCCGAAAAAGATAAGGCAGCTCCTTGTTGTTGCCAAAGAGGAACACTATCTAAAAAGGGAGATTTAGCATTGAGAGAAGTCAAACTATCCACGACAACTTCACCATTAAAAGTAGCATAAGCCACCGTATCGGGATGTTCCGGACTAAAGACAAAATCAAAAGCAGTCTCTTGCAAAATCACTCCTCGTTTAGATAGTGTTTTAGCATTCCAAGCCACAATAGAACCATCACAACCACAAGTTACAATCAAAGAAGGATCATGTTCTGACCAAGTAGTCTTAAGAATACCATCCGTATGTCCTTGCAACCGCGGTGCTCCTTTAGTTACCCGCAAGTCATAAATCACCACATCCTGACACTCAGAAGAAGAAGAAGAAACAGCTAATTGCGTACTAGAAGAAGGATCCCATTGTAAAGTAGTTATCTCCGATCTAGAGAAGTAAGGCCCAGCTAAACGTGAAACTTCACTCTTCCCTCTTAAATCCAAAACACTAACTACTCCATCAGTCGTACCAACAGCTAAGACTTGTGGTATCTTCTTATTCCACTGAATACAACTAATCCCATCATACTTCGTAGTATTACCAGGTGATAAAGGCTTATCTAAAGTTCTTAAGTTCCATAAGACTATCTTACCCCCACTAGATCCAGTTGCTAAAACAGGCATACCTAAGGCAAAATCAATACCTAGAATATCATCTTCTGTTTTGGCACAATTAGTAAAGGTAAGTTCTTTAGGCTCACCATCACCTAATAATCCAGTTGTATCCCAAAGACTTAAATTACCCCCATCTAGACCTCCAGCTAAGAAAAGCTTATCTCCATAACAACCCCAATCTAAACGATTAAACCGAGCAGGCACTTCTTTTCTAAATAGAACTTCTTCTGTTTCTAAACTCATAATTTGTAACTTAGAACCGGGTGAGAAGTTCGCATCTAGAATTTTAGATTTAGTACCCAAAGCTAACATTGATCCTTTTTGACTAAATGAAGGAATACTGGTAGTTTCGACTCTTAAACCAGTGCGATCTACTTGTGTACTTGTTGTTTCTGTAGTTCTCATGCAAACAAAAAGTAAAGAGAATTAAATAGGGATTAGGGTGGTATTAGTTGTGTTTGAGAAGGTTGGGTTGCTTGGAAGGGTAAATAATTGCTTGGATATGGTTATGTTTATGTTTGGTAATGTTTTAGTGTTTATTGTTAGAGACTCAGTCGACTCCTCTGGTCTTAATTGTTGGAATTCGAGTTTAACTCTACTTACAATAAAGTTAGTATTAAGTTGGTGTTGAGTTGAGTTAGTAGTATGTTGGTATTGAGTTGAGTTGATGTTGAGTTATGTTGGTATTGAGTTGAGTTATGTTAGTAGTATGTTGATATTGAGTTGGTAGTATGTTAAGTTGATATTGAGTTGAGTTGAGCTATACTAAGATGTACTCAGTTGTACTAAGCTATACTAAGTTGTGCTAAGTTAGTATTGGCTATAGGAAATAAAGAGTGGTGAGTAGTTGTTGTTAGCTGGAGAGGTGATTTTGAGATGGTTTGAGATAGTACTGATTTATTGGCTTTCTTAATTTCGGGCTAGGATTGGGTTCGTATTGGGTTGGTATTGAGTTCGTATATTGACTTTAAAGATAGTTTGGTGCTCTGCTACTAGTATGGTATTGTGTTGGTAATATATTGGTTGAGTGTTGTGTTTATTGATTGATTGCTTCGGTTGGTGCTAGATTAGTCTTGGGTTGTTAGTCTTGAGTTAAAGTATTATCCTAATCTGTATTCTGAATAAACCTTAACTAAGTCTAACCTAAATCTTAACTTAACTCAAACTAAATCTAACTTAAAACTAAACCAAATCTTAACTCAAACTAAATTGAAATTGTAGTACTAGATTGTCTTTTAATATTTTAATGACTAGACTAGATTGCTAATTTGGAATTAGGAGAAAAGATAAGTTATAATTGAATTGAGTTGGTATTTATGAGATAGTGTTTGCTTTTGAGTAGCTTAAGTAGTGGATAGAGATTGGGGTGGTTTATCAGTTGTTTTGAAATGGGTTAAGAATTATAGATATGTAAAGATAGCGGTTATTGCTCTTAGTTATAAATGAAAGCTGAAACTAAGAATATCAGATAGATTGAGTAGTAGACAATGAATAAAGTAATGATAGTGTATCTAACAAAAGTACATGTCTGGCCATAACCCAATATCATTTAATATCAACTTAATGACATACTAGCACTAACTTAATAGCCTACTAAGACCATACTAAACGCTAGACCTCTGTTTTTATTTATGCAGCGAAATAGTGGGTTAGTTGAAGAGCTCTTATATAGTATGTTGGGACTGGATGGAGGGTGTATTCAAATTAGAAAAGGCGAAGGAATAGAGGTGGCCTTAAGGAATGACTTGGGGCGGGATGAAGTTCGCATTATACATACTTTAATGGATATCTTAGTAGGTGTAAAAGAGATAAAGTATCGGATTGAAGAAGAATACTATAATAAGTCGTATACTAAACAGTGTTTGCTGAAGGGAATGGAAATGGAAATAGAAGGGTTCTTTAGGCGAGTAGGTGTAGTTAGACAGGGATACTTAAGAGGAGAAGTAGTGATGGAGTCCTTGCCTTTTATCTTTCAGGAAGAGGCTAGGATCTTTAAGATCTTGCGGAATCTGATGGGGCGTTTGGATGGTATTGAGAGTGTCTTTGTTTTAGCGATGTTATTAGATAGTCATTTGCCATGGGAATGTGCCGGGATAGTAAGTGCAGTAGTCAGACCAATTAACCGGATATTAGTAGGAGTAGCGAGTGGTAATCGGCCGCTAGAATACTTTGAAGAGCGCAGTCGGTATGATTATAGTGATTGTTTTTGGAGTGGCCATTATAAGAAGAAAGAGTTGCCTACTTATCTTAGGGAGAGAGGAGAACTTATCCTAGAAATGGGCAAGCTGGCTAGAATAAGGAAGGCGGCTGGTGATGCAACAGTAGAGTTAGTAGGAGATATTCTAGTGCAGAACAAGTTAAATATTGGGTTTAATGATAGTTTACTACGGGAGTATTTAGCTAAACTATACGATGCGCCTGAAGTTAAGTCAGGATGGATTAGGGAGATAAGAGAGATATTTGCTAAAGTTTTGATTGATGGGTGTAAGTTTTCAGAACTATTTGCCGAACTAGGAGATAAGGTATTTGCCCAGCCAGATGAACGTATTGTAGCTCTAACCAACCATATTCTTAAAACCAGCCGCTTAGATGAAAAGACCGAAATAAGTAGAGGGTATTCATTTATTAATGAAACATGCAATCGTCTTGAAAATCCAGAAGCAAATGAGCATCCTAATATCTACTACGAACTAGCTAATAATTCACTATCTACAACTTTAACTAGTATTATGGAAACAAAAACCAAAAGAACATTGTATCGACCATCTTTACTGCAGGGTTTAGATCTGATCTTTAATCCAAGAACAGTACTTTCTTTCTTCTTTTCGACTAAAGCTATCTCTGAAGTCAAAATCTTATTCCGATTATTATACTCTTTTTATGCCATTGAATATACCTTAAGCCATTATTACTCAGATTGGCGACTAAGACAAATACTGCTGGTTTTTACTACATCTATGCGTATGTACATAACTGAACGAGCCCAAAAAGAAGTCAAATCATTGTTAGTATGTCCTACGATTTCCAATTACCATACTGCACTAGGAACAGCAATGGCTAGTATTATGCAGGATTCATTGCTTACCAACCCCAAATTACTCAGATTTTACAGTACTTTCTTATCTCTATCTTTCTTCTATATCGAGCTACCCCAAAAAGAACATCTATCTGAAGGAGATGTTTTAGACCTCTTATCTCAATTTCAAAATCTCTTCCAAACAGCTCTACCCCATATCAAATCTCCCTACCTCTATACTCTCTTCCACAGCCTTACCCCCTCTTCCGAGCACCCACCAGATGAACCCAATGGCCAGGACTAACCGCCAAATTCTGCCAAGCACAACCAATAAACGTATACTAATCATAAATAAACACATATCAAATACTAAACCAATACAATTTAATCCATCCATCTAACTCCATCTAACTCCACACAACTCCACACAACCCAAACCAACTCCACCCCACTCAATATACTAACTCAATACCAATCCAAATTTTCTGTCTATGGGGTTATTAGAACTGTATGCTGAAGCTTTTAAACACTTTCCTGGTGTGCTTACTACGACTAAACCCCCTGAATTTAGAGCCAGAAGAATGGCACTTGATGAAGTAGCCTTTTGCTACCAATCAACCGTTAAGATAAACAAACGCAGATCAATTCCAGAAGAAGAAGATGAGGTAATTGAGAAACGGACTAAAAAATTTAGCCGATGACCCCCAATCCATCCACTATTCAAAGAACAGTCCAGTTAGCTTACAATCAGCTAGCCTCTTCAACCTTATCACAAGTATTTAACAAAATTGAACAAGTTTATCAAAACAGTCCAGATCGAGCTAGAAGTGCTCTTTTAACCGTTATTAGCACTCCTAATGCTCAAACTAACCTTCTAGTCCTCTCCTCATTCTTATCACTCGTTCATTCTTTGTTAGATAAGCAAATTATCAAAAGTCTTCTTAAACCATTAATCGATCCTAAAAGATCTATGTCACCAGATACAGTCACTTTACTTTGTTATCTAAATACGTACGGTGTGATAGACACTTCATATATCAACCGCGCACTTACCCAGCTCGTTGAACAGCACGAGCTTCTCCAAATTCTACGTATTCTGCAAATGACCAGTACGACCTTAGATAAAGAAGTCTTATCTCTTCTCAAGACCAAATTAGCCGAAACAACCGCTAATTCCTTATCTGAAAATGAATCACAAACAACCCAATCCTCTACCCCTTCTTATCTTCCTACTTTCCTTCTTTGGGCCCTTAATGCCCTTACTAAGAACCAAAACCCCTTCCGAGAAGTCCTTAAAGAAGAGATAGCAACAATGAAAGAATCTATCAAAGAAATAGTAGATAAAACCACAGCACAGCCGATTGAAGTCCAAACTGAAGCAGTTGACCAAGAAGAAGTAGCCGCAGCTAAGTTTGGCATGAATACTACCCTAAAGAAACGCGTCTTCAGTATAATTACAACCAGCAAAGACTTCCCAGAAGCCCAAGGCCTACTTTATAAAGAAGCACTTAAAGTCAAACAATTCGCCGAAGTATTCAATCTTCTCCTCTTCCTCTGTCTTAAAGAGCAGAAGTACAACCGCTACTATGCCGATCTCGCCACCTCCCTTATCAAAACAGCCCGACCCAACCACCAAAGTTCGTTCAACAAACACCTCTATACTGCCATTGAGAAACAACTAGCTCATCTTGAAACTCTTCCCATCAAAGAGATATACAATCTAGCTTCATTTATTGCTGCTATCTATTCTGAAGGCCTTATTACACTTAAGTGTCTCAACCATCTTACCTACCGCACCAAAGAACCTATTGTTCTTCTCAAAGTCCTTTTCAAAACACTCTTAGCTAACTTCCGGCACAATCTAATCAAAAAACCAAAAACAATGAAAGAATCAGAAACAATCAGAACTATTTTTAACAACAGATTAATCGATGGACTTTTCTTACACCCCAACGATCAATCTGATCTAACTAGACTATACGAAGCCATCTATAGAAGGAAGTAAATTTGCAATCCCCAGGAAAAATGAGAGAGGATTGCTTCTACTTCATGACGTCATCCTGTGCACGGGGTAGTGCTTGTACCTTCAGACACAGTACTGCAGCTAAGAACTCTTCTACAACTTGTTCTAATTGGACCAATGGTATAGAGTGTCCTGATAGCTGTATGTACCGACACTCAAACTACCAAAACAAAGAAAAGAAAGGCGTTCCTTGTTACTGGGAGAGTAGAGGAGGGTGCAAGAAGAAAGACTGTCCGTATGTGCATTGGGAAAAGACTCCTCACTTACTTGATCTGACCAAGATAGACTTTGGAGCACCAGTAGTTAGCGAGAAAGAGATGTCCAAGGAATTCAGTCGTATTAAAACGGTTGAAGAGTTGGAAAGAGATCTTAAAGATCTTTCTAAGTACTAAATTAAGTCAAGTCAAGTTTATATTACGTTTATATTGTATTGTGTTTGTGTTTAGTTGGGCTGTGTTGAGTTTAGTTTAGTATTATGTTCTGTTTAGTTTAGTATTATGTTATGTTTAGTTTGGCTTAGTTTAATATAATATTGATAGTGATATTGAGTTGGTAGTGGATTTAGCATGAGTTGAGTTTGGTTTAATATAATATTGATAGTGACACCAACTCAATACCAACTCAATACCACCTCAATGCCACCTCAATATCAACTTAATTGTATGGATGTTAATACTAACCCAATTTGGAATGGAATGGGATTAGATATGAGTGGTTGTGTAGATACTTGTGCGAATACTTCGTTGACGTTAATATTTGGTTAGATTAAATGTACTTAGATTGTGCTAGTCCAACTAAATATATGTAAGATCAATCTAAGTTGTACCTGGATCTTTGGATGCAATAGCGTACTGATGATTAAATTCTATTTTGACTTTTTCCCAATTAGGAAATTAACCATTACCAAAGTGGGCCAAATAAGGTAATCACAATTTAGAGTTTTTCCTTTTATACACACCTAGGAAGTTTTATGGCTATCGGACAATCTATGGTGCTTAACAAATCGCTACTTTGGTACCTCTTTATTATTTGGTCATTTATTGGCCTCCTGATAGCTGTTCCTGGGGTTATCCAGGAAGAAGAGTCCAATCTTTGGAATGTTCTTCATAAAACTGCAATTTCAAAGTGTACCCCTGTAATGGATTCAAAAAGAATGACATATGAGGACCAAGACGATCTTATCACTCGTTGGTTTTGTTCTGAAGAGTTATGGAGTGCTTTAAGTGGCCGGCCTGTTTTTGGTGGACAACTGTTTTCACATCTCATTCATTGCGCACTTAAGAAGTACCCGACGTACACAGTGTTCTCATCCAATTGCACCTTCTATCTAGAAACTAAGCCCGACAAGAAGATAGTTTATGAAATCGAAACAGAAAATCGAGCTGGCAAACAAATGATTGAGCTGGGTATTACTGGCAAGCAAGAGTCAGAGAATAATGAATACCAAGTAACTATTCGTGGAACAGTCTTACTACACACTGGTACAAAATTCACCGATTTAATCACCAAGCCAGCCACCGACCATCTAGAGAAGTACTGCAAAGATAATAAGAATAATGGCACTAGCTCAAGTGACCAAATAGCCAATCCTTCTACCACTACTCATAAGCAAGTAAGTAATCTTATAGACCTGTTTGATACACCTGAAGTTTATGCGGCTAACAAAGGAATGACTCCCAGTACTATTCGCAGCCAGATGTGCCGCTTTTATGCTGAGAAGTGTGTCCGGTTGAAAGGTTTAAGTGATGATCCATGGAGTAGGTGTATTCTCTTTGATTTTAGCCGACAACCTCGCAATCAATTCTTCCAATCCGATTCCAGCCTAGCCAAAATCTTACTTCTGGCCTTCCTGTCCGATGACCACATACTGGAAACTGCGATTATTTCCCAAAATGAGGACATTACCAGCAAGATATACAATATTCTTACTATCACCCATTCCATCCAATTCGCTAATCTTGACGCCTTTGAAATCCATACTCCTTTCTTTTATTCAATTACAGTCAACCACGTCATTAACAATATGGCCTACTGCACCGGTCAAATTATTCAAAACAATCAAGTTATTGCTTACGTCTGCCAAAATGGTGCTATTCGCAGCCGCCAAAAAACAGCTAAGTAATCGGTCTACCTTCTAATTCTAATACAATACTAATCCAATACATACTTTATCTTTTTTATTACCTTAATTCTAGTGAAGTTAAAATATTACCATAAAAGGAAATTTAAGTCATCCAAAAAATTCAACCAGCTCTAGACCATTCCAAGATAGCAAATATTTTATGGTCCGTGAGAAGTATCGCTATATTGTGCTTAAGATTTCCACCCCTTCCAACCGGCCCCTCCTTAATCTTTCTGCCAAACCTCTCTTACATGCTATTGAACGAGCAGCAGCAGCCAATCTAAACGACTGGGACTACGCCTACACAATTCCTCGCCTACAAGTAACTGAGTTCTGGCCTTATTTGGGTCTCTGTATTATCAAAGTCCTTTTAGTGGGCAAAAACACTCTTTACCGCCTAGTTCCTTATATTTCAACTATCAATGATCAAAGTTGTCAAATTACGCCGCTTAAGTGCTCAGGAGCGATTCGGAAGAGCAAGCAATGGATTCTTCAGAATAAATTTTCGTAGCCCATCTCTTGTATGACCACTCTTCTTCTTTTACAGAACATTATTCGTTGTATCTCGCCTCGGAAACTGCAAATTTGGCTTACTAATCAAGAGGTCATATTTACAGGCATTAAAGAGATAGAAATGCAAATACAAGCCAGGAAGACTGTTCTTCCAAATAGTTATGTGGGTTCAATCGAAGGCCGGGCTTCAGACTTTCTGCGTCTCTTTAGGGAGTGTAAGCTCTTCTCAGACATTGATTTTCTTAGGGATAAGGAAGTAGCCCAAGTGACTGTTGAGGAGGGTGAGTATGTTCTTTACATTGATTGTCCCTTTAAGACAAGAGAAGCACCCGAGCTTATCGAGCCAGAACAATTAGTACTAGTTGATTTGAACATTGAAATGATCAAAAACCTAGCCGTTTATGATGCCAAAACAGCTCAATTTACCTTTACTACTAAACAGCTCAAAATAACTATCAGTGGAACAATTCAGTCAGAGTCTCTTCAACATTCGCCTAAATACTTGCAAGCGGATGGGTTGCCCGCTTTGTTTATTACCACAGCGGCCAGTATCAGTGCTTTAGTAGCTATTTGCCAACTAGATCCAGAGCGAGTTGTTTTAGGAGTTAACAAAACACTAGCTGTGTTTCGCTTCTACTTTCCAGACTTAACCCTAACTCTTTATAGCCAAGGAACTCTTCTACCAATGGGGTGAGTTAAGATTGGAGTGAGTTGGAATTGAGTTGGTGTTGAGTTGGGTTGAGTTGTAGTATAAGATTGGGGCACGGTTTGTAGGGTTTTGTGATGTTTGAGATGAGATGGATTGATGTTTGAGATGTGGTGAGGTAAGGAGAGGAGAAATGGAGAGGGGTGGTGAGTTATGGGCTGTATACTATTGATTGGGTATCTCTGGGGCAGTGTTAATACTGACCCAATTAAACACCAACTTAATACTGCCCCTGCTTAGTCTCAAGTAGGCAGATACTCCTGATGGCTTATTGGTCTGTTCAAAGACATTTTTGGCGTAGGCCATTCTTATACTAAGATGGGTACGGAGTATAATGATCGTCGAGTTTTGTATCTCAATATCCATGGCCACTGTCGTGCTCGGCGTTTTAGGTTACACTCTGATGTCTCGAGGCAACAAGCACTCTAAAAAGCACACTCCTTCTATTTGGTTTAATGATCTAAATCGTGAGGTTAGCTTTCCACTAGAGGCATTGAACCAGCATCTATCTTCTGAATTCTTCAATCGCAGATGGTTTATCATTAGGCTAAGCCATCTTCATCAACTTTCTGAAGATGAACTATACTCACTATCTTTATTTTTGAAATCTAATCGCATTATTTGCGACTCTTTTGAACTACTAGATTCGAGTCTTCACAATTTACCAAGTTTTGAATGGCTAGATAATCTTAATCCTATTCGCTCGTTGTGTTTTGCCAACTGCACTCTCTCCGGCAAACTCTTCCGAGCTATTTCTTCTATTCACTCCCTTGAAAGCCTTAAAATCACCGGCCAAGCAACTAAATGGCTAGACACTTCACAATTCCCTTGCACTCTTATTGCTACCACTCTTATCTTCTCAGAAACATCCGCCTCTCTTATATCTAAAGCATTCGCCCATCTACAATTCATCCATGACATCAATCTCTTTTTCATCAACAACCAGCTAACTAATCTCCATGTCCTCAACTTAATTAATCCCCAATCACTCAAGCGCTTACATATCGAGAAAGAATTCCAACTTACCCTTGATATTTCCCAACTCACTCAATTTGCCCACCTGGAATCTCTTACTCTCCAATCACTTCCCAAACCACCCATTAATCCTACTCCTTTGCATTTACCTATTCTGTGGCGCAGTTTCATCGATCACCAACTTTACACCGCTACTTCTCTAGTCCTCCATCCATCGGCCAACGCTCCCGCCCATTTAGGCATCTACCTGCCTAATTCCTTTCTAAAGTACGTTATTTCCAACCTCCATCTAGAAATCTTCCTAAACCAGTCAACTCCAGACTTCCAGCCCGGTGATCTATTCACATTACATACTCCTTGTCCTGACACCTGGAAAGTCTCCTCCCTTTCCCTCCATCTCGCCCTAGCAGTCTCTTCCAGCCAAATACCAGATATTATTTCGTTCTTTATTAACCAAACCCTTCCTTTCCACCTCCAAGAAATCAACATTTCTCTCTCCAATCTCTCACCCATTCATCGTCCCATCATAGAAGAGATTCTTACTCTCTCACCCCACAATACCCTCAAAAAGCTCACTCTAAACAACATCATGGTTTATTCTTCCCCAACTATGTCCTCCCCAGCAGTCCTTCCCACCACCATCAGCTCCCAACCCACTTCTATTCCTTCCATTACTTTCAAGCACCAAAACTCTACGGCCGGTCTCGAAGAATGGGCCATCGAAGAGTCCCTCCTCCCTCGGACCTTCCAGCCCCCACGCATCCAATAAAGACCACTGTAATACTTACTTTACTTTACTCTAACCCAATACAACACCATCTTATACAATAATCCATTTAATTGGTCTAGTACCCAATCAACTCTTAAACTCTTATTTCCCACCGCCAAACTAAGTCTAAAGACCGCACCCAATCACGCCTAACCACAACTACGTTACAGCACATGTAGATGCATAACAACATACACTTTAGATATTATAGATAGACTTACTGTATGACATAAATCTCACAAATCATACTAACCCAATGAAAATAGTTGGTCATACTGAACAAGATCTTATTTTTATTTGATGACGTCATCAGGTGATCATAAAATATAAATAACGATGACGTCATCAAATACATTGTAGTTTCACTCCCAACCCAACCAACACAATACCAACCCAGTCCAATACCAACACCAACACCAACCCAAACCAACTCAATATTCACTAGTTTCCAAAACTTAACTAATACTTTATTAAACTAATTGATAGCTTCAATGTAAGCTACTGTTGCCCCACTAAGAATAGCCCGGCCAATCTTCTCATCCGTATTCCAATGCACTAACTCATTCATTAAAAGGTTAACATTCGCGTCATAATTAACCAAAACTCCAGTATAAACTTTACCCGTTCTAAGGACTACTCTAACTCGCTTTCCCTTCTGCGCAACTGCCCAGTCAACCGGCTGCATAAGAAATTTTAAGAGATCTAACACTTATAGGAGCTTAATACTTAAATGTCCGGCTGAGTTAATCCGCAGAATAATCTTTGGTTATACTTTAGCCATTAAATCTTGACTTCTGTAGCACACCTATTCATAAGAAGGATGTGACTCTAGAAGCAGGGGGTCCTAAAGAATTTTACTAAGTACTTGCTAATTCTGCTTAGATATGAGTCTAATCTAGTACTAATTTAGCTTATCTTATCTCTAATTTAACAAACATGATCTTATCACAACTTTAATAAATATTATTTCAAGTCTAATCTAAGCCTATCACTACCTAACATCCAATACTAACCCAATCTAATCATAATTCAATTCTATGCGAATTCTAACTCAACCCAATAATATGTACTTTTATTCACTCTAGTAGTAGTAGGACTACTACACAAAACATAAGCATGATTGCATAAAAGATCTTGGAGAAAAAGCAGTGGCGATTATAGACGGTTCTTCTGTATTCTAGTCCTTCCATATGGAAAAGTCTAATGCTATCTTGATATGATAGGCCTAGTGGATTGTTTTTAGGTTGGTGCTTGGGAATTGGTGGTGGTTTGGGAAGAGTGCCTTTAGCCCCAGCTACGCCTTTAGAATAGATTGGTATGACGGAAGAGAGTGAGCATGTGGTCTTGCAAACCGGACAGATACTAGATCTAGCCCCCCATTTGCATAAGCATCCCCAGCAAAACAAATGGCCACAAAGGGTTACCACTGGCATTTCTACTTCACAGTGGCAAATACTACAGTCAAAGTCAAAGGAACTCTTCAGCTGCCTTGATAAAGTCTCCTCTTGCATCTCCTTGGCACATGTCACTCCTTTAAAACAGGATCTACCAATTGGGTATCGATTCAACCCAGCAATTTATGGCTGCTATTATTTTATTGATTGCCCATCGGTTTTGATTTGTAACCCACGTTGAAACACCGATCTTTGATCCCATCGACCATCATATCCCAATCCCAACCCATTCCTATCCCATTAACTTGATACAAATTACAAACCATCAAATGAGTCGAGTTGAGTTGAGTTGAGTTGAGTTGAGTTAAGTTAAGTTAAGTTGAGTTGAGTTAAGTTAATATTAAGATTATAATTATGACCAGCTAATATTAGTTCTACATTCCTCTAATTACCCTACTAGGATAATTAGCCCACTAATCTCAATAAATCATTAACTCAATCAAATACTAACTCAATACTAAACTCAATCAAATACTAACTCAACTCAATACAGACTAATTAGAGTATATTCCAACTAGATCATATTGCATTACTCATCAAAATATAACAACCACTTAATACTAACCCAATACACAACTTAACACAACCCAACCCAACCCAATACACACCCCAACTCAACTTAACCCAACTCAACCTAACCCAATACTAACCCAACCCAAATACTAACTTAATTCTAACTGACTGGTTTATTTAAACGAGTATCTTATCTCTTCCATTCACTACTCACGCGTGTAGCAAACACTCAGTGCTTCCATAACATGAAACCGAACATCCTCACTGCATTTCGAAGCTAGAATTTCAAACAAGGCCTGATGGATATCCATTTGCCTGATCGCCCGAACCGCTTCCGGTTGAGCCTCTACAATCCGGTAAATATCATTCGAGGCAATCCAAATGTTCTGAGGATCTTCAGATTTCAAGTACCTCTTCAAAGCCTTAACTATCTCCAGCCGCCGACTACGCACATTCTCTAAATTGTTCTTCCAGAACTCCGCACTGAAGTGATAAGAGTAAGGCTGTAAATGCCCACTCTCTAACTCTTCCAAATAAGAATCAAAAGTAGACACACTCTTAGATAAGGCCGCATATCTAGCCCGACATACATTCAAGTCCTCCTGCTCTTCCGGATCGTTCTTATTCCCTCGATTTGAAGCCACAGATAAGAGTTCCTCTATCTTCTGAAAGGCCCCATAATTATACTTCGTGCTATAACTCAAGTAATTACGTACAATAGCTAAAGATATCCTTAATTCCTTCTCCTTACAATCCCGCGATACAAAAGATAACATATAGAATAAAGGTGAAACTTCTAACTTCCGCAAAGCCCGTTCTGAAAAGGTCAACAACCATAACAATAACAACCCCTGATACTTACACTCCCGCTTAGTACATACAGCCAGAATAGCACTAACTAAATCCTCATTACTAGCCATCTCCGCCCTAATCGGATCCTCACGAAACAACTCGACCGCCAAAGCTTCCTTCTGGTACTCCAAACTCCCCAACCGCTGCATAAAGATAAGAACCTGCTCCGTCTTCTTAGCATTCGGAGACTCTTTAATCATTTCAGCCACAATTGCATAGTACTCCGGTTTAGCCGTATTCCGATAGCGAAAGATTCTTGTTAAAATCTGTAAAGCTTTCAAAGAGATAAGTAAGTCAGACTCCCGCGCTAATTTTAACAACTTTTCCACCAATTCTTCACTATCTATATCTTTTATATCCTGACCACCAATGTCTAATAAAATTGATCTTATCTGGTCTTGACTACTCTCGCCACTTAGTGCTTTTATGTAAACAGCTATACTCATTGATTAGCTTTAAGCAAATTTCATTTTCTTTTATTTAGCTCCATCTCTGGTATGAAAGTAACTAATGAAAATGTGATTTTGATAGGCAATAGAGATAAGCGAGGAGTAAGAAGACCTTTTGCCGAGGTAAGGAATAGGCGGAGGAGTTCTCCCATCAGTAAAGTTGAAGGTAAGTACCTTTTAAATGAGCAAATACCATCAGAATATGTAGTAAGTATTTTGGCGCGCTATCAATTGGAAGAGAGAATGTTTATGGCTGTACCTGAGTATATGTCTTTTCAGGATGAGTTACGTTGGGCTATGCGGACTGTTTTAGTGGACTGGATTATTGATGTTCATTCTAAGTTAAACTTACTTCCTGAGACACTTTATTTAGCAGTAAATTTGATAGATAGGTTCTTATCAGTACGAGTGGTTAGTATAGGTAAATTACAATTAGTTGGTGTATCTGGTTTATTGGTTGCTTCTAAGTTTCAGGAGGTGGCTTCGCCATCGGTGCAAACCTTTGTGGGGTTGACCGATCGGAGTTTTACGGAGGAGGAGATTTTAAGGGCGGAGAAGTACTTGTTGCACTGTTTGGAGTATCGGATGGGGTATCCCTCACCATTGAACTGGCTAAGACGAGCGGCTGGTGCGGAGGAGGAGGTGGAAAGGTTGGGGGTGGTTGTTCTGGACTTGGTGATTTTGGATGAGCACTTCTTGCGGTACCCGCCTTCTTTATTAGGAAGTTGTGCGGCGTATGTGGCCCGGGCGTTGTTAGAAGTTGGGGAGTGGGAAGTCTTTCATCACTTTTGTGTGTACACTATAGAGGAAATGGCAGAGTGTTTGCGGGCGCTTAAAAGTGCTTTAGGGCGGCCGATTGTGCACGAGTCGGTGTTTAAGAAGCATGGGACGGGGTTTACTAAGCACTTAGAGAAGGTGAGCTTAATTGGTCCAGAAGTTGGGCGGCAATAAACAGATGCTAGTTTAGTATAGTATAGAGTTGGGTTGAGTTAGTATTGGTTTGGTGTGGGTTGGTTTGGTTTGGTTTGGTTTGGTGTGGTATAGAGTTGGGTTGGGTTGAGTTGGTGTAGTATCGTTTGGTGTAGTATAGTATAGTTTGGTGTAGTATTGGTTTAGTTGTAATGTAGATGTAGATGTAGGTGTTTATTATAATATAATGGGGTGTAGTATGGTATGGTGGTGAGAATGTAGTGAGTCCGTATATAAGTTGGGATTGGGGATCGGTTGGGTTAAGCTAATGTTTGACGTGGTGTTTAATTAGTGTTTGACGTGGCAGTGGGTTATTGTTTAGATTGGGTTGTGTTGAGTTGGGATTTGGATTGGTATTTGGGTTGGGGTGGTATTTGGGTGGTGGGAAATCATGGTTCTTAAATCATGGAATCAGTTTGAGACTGGGATCAGATTTTGGGTTTATATGTAGAGATCTAGATAGGAGTCGGAGGAGTATGTGGTTGATGGAAAGTATGAAGAGGTTGTTTAGAAGAGTGATTAGGCGGATGGTAGTGATTAGGTTGGGATTAATGGTTGTTTGCTTGGTGGTTGGGAGTGAAGTGGATGAGGGGGATTTGGAAAGACGGGCGGAAAATTGGAGTAATGCGTATGAAATGACTGAACAGATGAAGAAATTGGGGTTTTGTTTTACTCTACGGAAACGGAGCTTTTATCCTATACCTTATAAGCCGAGTCGAATAGTGGAAACAAGTTTTAATCAGGCGACTTTATTGAATACACCGCAATATGAAATGAATTATGTTGGGTGGTGTATGCGATATACACTGCCTAATTATAAGACCATGGATCAGGCGAGTGCGGATTTGGAAGAGCTAAGGAAGATATCGCTTATTCGGGTGGAATGTGTTTTGGTGAATTATGAAATAGTTGATTCAGTATGTCATAGACTGAACTTGCAGATTCTGTCTCGGGTGATTAACATGTTTGATTGTGCGACTTTGGTGGTTTATTTGAGATCTACACTGGTGGGATATTTATCTATAGACCGGAGTGTGCTGGATATGTGCTGGATAGAAGCGGCAAATACGGTGGCGCATGCGAATTATATGTTTGATTGTCAACTTGAGTTTGGAGCCGCCTCGGATTGTAATCTTTTGAGTATAATTGGGTATTATCTTCCTTTATTGCGGCCGATTTCAAGTCTTCGTTTGCAAAGTCAGCAGATACACCATCTGTCTCTGGTTAGGGGTTTGGTTCTAAATAAGGATTATACTTTCACCTTGGCGTTTCTACCGGATGAGACTGAGATTGATCTCGGGGTCTTGCAAGAATTAGTGCCGTTTTGCCAGAAGATTAACCTACAGGGTTCGATAGAGAGCAACACTACTTTATTCGGGCTTGAGAATGCGGTAGATAGACATCCACGTATGATTTTGGCGGGAAATTGGGAAATCTTTCTTTATCTGGGCAGATACAATAAGTCGACGATTAGAGTGCATACACTCTGTGGCTTAGATGTTACGTTGGATTCGATATCCTATATGCTGAATGCTACTGAGCACCACAAACCGGCCATGGCTAGAATTATTGCTAGTAAAGCCCATACTATGGTGGCCACTAATATGCCTTGTATTCCTTTGGATTCTTATGGAGAGATGTACAATGCTGCGACATATGCTAGGTATGGAATCTCGGTTGACGAAGTATGTCTCAGGTATAAACGTGGCCGGAATGACTTGTATGAGACTTTATTGACGCTCTTTAGACTTGGTGCTTTGCTTTGTGTTCCTAGGGAGATTGTGGAGAACCGGGTTGTTTGTTGGGGTGAAGAACTTAGTGCTCCTGATTGGGGGCTTGAAGAACCGGTTATTATTCGGCTGCACCCAATCAGGAACGAATGGGTTCTATCGGATTATCAGGATAAATACATGTGCTTCTGCCAGAACATTTGCTATACGATTATTAAGATTGTGGGAATGGGCGCTACATATAAGGGACAGACCACAAGATGTATTGAGATTCTTGAATTGTTTCAGAACATAACTGCGCATGAAGTTAATATTTCGAATGTTCAAAATGACCAGCCGGGCGATAGTACGTTTGAGCCTTTGACTCTGAAAGCAAGAAGGGCGGAGGAATATACTAAGCTGCAAATGAACATTGGGTTTTTGGTGCTAGACAATGTTAACATGCGTGTTATCTACCATATCTTTGCGGGGTACAATTTCACTAAGTTAGTGGAAGTGCATATTCTGAATATGCGGTTTGATAATCTAGCCATTACCCAACTTCTGGCTTCGCCTGAAGGCCAGATGATTAAGGTCCTTCTGATCAATGACTTTCTTGAGCTTAATGAAGTTGTGCACTACCAGCAGCAAGAGAAATTCGATGGATTCTCCCTATTTAGGCATGTGCATGAAGAACTTCGGGACCATGAGTCAATCCAGAACCTTGGCTTAGACAGACTAGTTATGCAGTTGGGCAATATAAACTTCCGTTTGTATAGTAAAGTCTTGACCAAGCTTACGAACTATGGAATTAAACTACTGGCCATTCCCTTGGCCGAATACATTATTAATCCGCCTGATTACCTTAGAACAGATATTATGGCTGGCAAGAAAGAACTTGTTCTTTATAGAGCTACTTTATCTACCTTAAAGGTTGACTTTTTAACTTGCTATTATATAACTCGGTCTTTATTCAATCCTAATCAGTTCGACCAAGATTTAGAGTCTTCGACCACAAGACATTCGGTGCAAAAGCTAGTCCTGCGCTTCTGTGGCAACCAGTTTTTAAGTGAAGCCGACTTGGCAACTATTATTCGATGGGTAGATTGTCGGTTTAAGAGCGTGATTACCTTATGGATAACTAATATTATGGTCTCGGAAAGTACGCGGAAGACATTAACTTCAGCTCGTTACTTGATTACTTGGCTAAATTCACTTGAGAGTATTCACATAGAAGAGGCAAGGCCCAATAATACAAACGGAGATATAGTGATCTACCCCGACCGCACTATCCTGCTGGCGAATGCTCCAAACAAGGAATCACACTTTGTCATGTTGTCAGCAACAATGCTGCTCCGATTCGCCACCCAGCCAAAACATCTTGCCGAGCTTATCTCTACCCAAGCTAGTCCTAATCCAACTCTTCAAATGATTCAAAAGTATCTCACTAATAATCCCACCGAGATCCTCTGCCCAATTTGTCACGAGGCCCTTTATATCCCAAAGAAAAGACCTGCCTGGTGTCGTTTCTTATGCACTTTAGCATCAAAGTTCACCTCAAATAATAGTATCACTATGCTCTGCTTCTTCAAATGCGGGCACCTAGTCTGTAGTGTATGTATCGGCCCTCTTCAGCCAAGTAATAGTTGTCCCTCCTGCCGCCAAGAAAAGGTGTATGCGAATTACCATAGACTTATTCGTCTCCCGAAATCTAAGTTTGTTTTTGTCAAAGCTAGTGCCACTATACCCTCTATTAAATCCAATAATCTGGCGTCAAAATCCGGTTATGTTTACTTATATCTATCTTATGATAGCCTATCTGATCTGTGCCTAAACATTAACATTGACACAGCCGCTATTACCTCACGCCCGATTCACATCATTTAAGTCCGTCTTAAATAAACCGGCCTAATTCACACTTAAACTGCCTTTATTTGGAAGAACCAACCCAATACTCACCACAATTATGCTGAGCAAATGATCTAATGACAATTACTAAGCAAATACTAAGCAAATACTAAACCAAATACCAACCAAATACTAACCTAAACCAATATTAAAATCACCTTAATTTATCTATAACTTAAGCAGGCAGTTCAATTATCAACTACTCCACACCAACTCAACTCAATACCACCCTAAACCCACCTAATACTAAGCTAGTAGTTTTGAAAGCGACGAGTCAAACCTTTCTTCAGGTAGTGCTTCTTAGAATAAAGCAAGTCTTCAGCCGATAGTTTAGCTTCTGGCTTCTTCTGGGCCTCAGCATACCAATCATGATTTGGAGTTGTATCTACTACAAACTCATCTGGTACCCCATTAGAATCTTCATTAAACTTAACAGGACAGAGACCAGGTGGAGCATGTACGTACTTAATCCGACCTTCTAAATAGTCCTTAACTAACCCCTTCACTAATTTACCCTCTTCCTGGCACCCAGTTGTTCTCTTCAAAGCATCCATAAAGTTATCAGCTAAAGACCGTCTTGAATCATTAATAAAACAACGTACACCCAGTAAGTAACAAAGTGTTCTTACTCCAAGTCTTTCTACTATTACTTCTAAACACCCTCTAATATCCCGGGTATGATCTAAAGCTAAAATACCATTTAAGACTAAATCTTGCTTATGTGCTACTAAAGAAGGAAAGACTAAACCTGGACAATCACAAAGAGTTACTTCTCCTATATTTAATGTCTGAATAGATTTAGTCTTCCCTGGAACTAGACTAGTTTGAACTACTTTCTTTTTAAAGATAGCATTGATAGTAGAACTCTTTCCTACATTAGGATAACCAATCATACCTACACACTTACCTTGACTACCTAAACCCTTTAAAAGATCTCCATCTTCAGTACTACCTCTTAATTCTTCACCATTAAGACCTATCCAGTCAACCCAGTCAATACAACCGGTCTTACTGGAGTAGAACAAGTGAGTAATACCCTGGGCTTGCCAGTAGACGTGCCAGGCCTGTTTTTGGGCCGGCGATAGTAAATCTGATTTATTGAGGAGTAGAACGTGTTGTTTTTCTGGGCTTAACTTAGCAATATCCGGGGTGTAGTAAACTAAGGGGTTACGGGCATCAACAATCTGGACAATAATATCACTACGTTCTAGGGTGAACCATAATTGGCGCCAGACATTAAGATTACGTTCATAGGGAGTAAGTACTCCTGCTTGGCGGAGTAGACCGTTCATTTGTAGTTTCCATTGGTTGAAGAGTTTCCGCTCTTCGTTTTTGTACTCCTCACGGGCTAGTCCTGGTTGTGGTTTTAGAGGAATAGTAAGTAAATTTGTTCTTATCTGAGTTTTTGAAATATCAAAATTATTACACGTCATATCAAACTCATTACTTATTTTATCAAAACCAAGTGCTCGATTGATTTCTGAGCCTTCTATCTCTCTTAAAGATGGACCCGGTTGCGCAAAATCGTACTGAACTATCTCGCCAGCCTCTACCAAGCCGTCAACTTCGGTAGTTTCTAATATACTCTTCAAAGACTTACATTCCTTTTGTTGTTTGTTCGTTCGTCTATCTTTGATAACCAATCTCCCCCACGCATATTTCGTTTTCATGAAAATTTTGCAGTTCGCCATCTTTATTCTGAAGATAGTCCCAAGTATTCGACTGCCTCGGCAGCTGTAATCCTTTTTTCAGGATGTTCTTGAAGACATTCAAAAACCAGTCCGGAATAAGTTGGAGATATACCGGTATGTATTTTTAAAAAGAATTCCATTTGATCAGATTTGGAAATAACCAAAAATTTTGAAATTTTCAAAAGCTGATCTTGCTTATCTGTTCCAGAAAAAAGAGGAGTTCTAGTGATAATTTCACTAACAATACATCCTAGACTCCACATGTCAATGGAGTACCCATAGATTTTACAGCCGCGTAAGAGTTCTGGTGAGCGGTACCAGAGAGTAACGACTTCTGAGGAGTAGGAGGGCATTTTGATTTCAAAACTGCGAGCGAGACCGAAATCTGCAATTTTAAGTTGGCCGTTCTTATTGACTAGAATGTTTTGTGGCTTGAGATCGCGATGGACAATTTGTTGGGCGTGTAAGTACTTGACTCCAGCCACGAGTTGGGCAATTAAAGCGGTCTTATCTATTTCGGCTGGTGAATTTAAGAGTTTGCGCAAATCGGTATCAATGTACTCTAAAATGATAGTGAGTTGAGTCTCTGTATGCACAACATCTAGAAGAGTTAAGATATTAGGATGGGAGAGTTTCTTCATTAATGATATCTCTCTTAGGGCCGTATTGGGCATACCTTCCTCTTCAGTTAATTTGATGACTTTTAGGGCGACAGTGGCTCCGTTCATGATATCGTAGCCGCGGTAGACCATAGAATAGGTCCCATAACCAAGTAAGTCCTTGCGTACCCATCTATTCATTAAAAACTAAACAATGCTCTGTAAATAGAGGATCTGGTTGTTCCTGATCCAGAGTTCAGACCATATTTGGTTGTTCTGTCTAGCTTGTTTCAAGTAGAGATTGAAGTACTTATCACTACTGATAAGAGTGCCGGTGTAATCAAGTCCGGATTTAAGTCGGACACGTACAGAAGTGCCTTGTAAACGCCAGAGAAGCTTTAGAGGTGACATAGATCGGCAAATTTCTTTGTTTATGGACGAATTAGGACGGGTTGGTTTAGTAGTAGGTCTTATCTATGGGAACTATTTACTCTTTCGCTCGAAACTTTGGACTATCTTTTGGGCTTTGTGTTACAATGTGCTACAACGTGAGATAAGGAAAAGTAGATTGCGAGTACTGCATCCTTTATTACTTCTGGGTTCACTCTTCCCAGTCGTACTTATAGTTGGTCTGCCTTCTCTAGTAGTAGTGGTGGGTGGCCAGGAGTTACTGGCTTATACGGAACAGGTTTTGGTCTTAGTAGAGGGAGCGGCTTGGACTCGGCCTTGGCTGCACCAGGGTATTCGGACGGGAGTAAGTTGGGTGCTGGCTTGTTTAGGTGTGGGGGCGGAGGAGCAGTTGAGTGAAGAGTTGATCTGGTACCGGTTGTACGTTAAGTTAGAAGAGTGCATGGATGAAGTCCTAATGGGAAGTAAAGTAGCTTTTGGATGGTTGAGTGAGTGTTTATTCTTTTGGGGTGTACTAGGTTGTTTTAATGCTTTACCTGAGAATCCTTTGTACTATGCCGTTCGACCCTTACCACAGCATCGTGAAATAGTTGGGGTGCTGGAGACTATTGTTCATGCTTATTCCGTGGGGTGTTTAGGACATTTTATCTATGCAGTTGGTTTAGGGATGTGTACGGGATCGCCTTTAATTCTGGTGGGCGGAGTAGCTGCTGCTTTTTTGAGTCTCTTCCCGGTGGCACCTTTATGTCTCTATGTTCTACCGAGCGCAGTTTACTTGGGTTTGGCTAAGCACTGGATAAGTTTGGGTGTATTGCTAGTGGGCGGTCTGGTGCAAGCTCGAGTGGTAGGTAAGTTAGTAGGACGTAAACCATTGAACAGTTCCGGACGAACAATTAGTGCGGCGCTGGGCATGCAAGCTTTTGGCCTGGCTGGAGCTATTCTAGGTCCTTTTCTACTGGGTTCTTTACTGGTGATCTGGCGAGGCAGTAGTTCACGTAGTTCTAAACGTCTTAATCTAGTCCGGCCGAGTGTAAGTGTAAGTACAACTAGTAGTGCAACTAAAACCAGTACGCATCAGCCAACTAAACCCAATACTCAAACCGTGGCTGAGATCATGCGTAAAAAGAAGTAAGACGTCGAAAGTAAGTTGTTTATTGGTGAGAGAATTAAGTTGGATTAGGTACTTGGATTAGGTACTTGGATTAGGATCAAGGAGAAATTGAAGAATACTGGGCCAGGTAATAGGATTACCAAACAGACTGCTGTGCGACTCGTTTTCAATACGTAGGAAGAGAGTGGACTGCCCGGCCTCGGAAAGGAGACGGCCGTGGTGTTCAGGGATGAGCCAGTCAGAGGACCCATGAATGATAAGAATGGGTAGATCTAGTTGTTTGATACTTTCTAGAGAATTGAAACCCAGTGCATCTTGGGCGTACTTGGAACTGTCTGGAATAAGAGACTCAATCATATTCCAAAGTCGGTACTCCTGGAGTAGTTGAATAGTGGACAAAAACGGACTGATTAAAACAACCTTGGCAATCACAACTTGATGGTCTTTCTTTTTGATGTAGTATTTGGCCAAATAATCTAGAGCAATCGCAGTGCCAAGTGAGTAGGCAACGATTGAGATGTTAGTGACCTTCTTTTTATACAGATACTTCGTACAGGCAGCTACATCTTCAATAAAAGCCTTGCGACTAGCTGTGCCTTCTGAATCCCCAAACCCGCGGTAGTCCACGATCAGAGCAGCTGTCCCGTGCTCAATCAGACGTTCAGCATCGTACAAAGTCGAGAACGTGTACCGATTCGTACTGTTCCCATGCAAAACTAAGACCCAACGAGTAATCGGGACTTTCTTATTGTAAACAATCCAGGCGCCTAAACTCTCACCAGAAGTTGTTTTAATACGTATGTCCTTAGTTCTAATGTGACTTTTGAAAGGCGATTTACCCGTCGGCATTTTAACACGACTTAAAGGAGTGGCACAAAATATCGCTTTCACAACTTTTGATAAGATTAAGGCTTTATAGTAACTTTCCTGTTGGGTTACACTAGGATCAATAGAAGGTGAGAGAAGAACTTCTGTACAATCGCTACTAGGACTTAAAGCTTCGCTGTCACTCGGACTGTGCATCTGAAACCGTATGAGAATGACTAAGAAGAAACCCAGCTAGAATTTTGAGCCCATGCCCGAACTACCAATCAAAGAATTAGCTGCACTATGTGAGGTTGTTTCCTACAAGACCATTGAAGAGAAAGAGGCTAAAGAGATGGCAATGGCCTTTGCTAAAAGAGATCCTGGTCTGTCTGAAGATAACAAGCTATTTATTGAAGCATTTATCCAGTCGCATTAGATAGATAAGCTGAATTTAATAAATTGAGATAAGATTGAATTGAGTTGGGTTTAGATAAGATTTGGTGCTAGAATAAGAGAAGTACTGGTTAGAATGGTGTTAGAATAGGGTAGAATTGGGGAGGAGGAGAGAAGAACAAAAAGTGCAGCACCTTGTGTTCCCACGCGGTCACCCATCGCAGTACTATCAAGGCTGTCACGGGCTTAACTTCGGAGATCGAACGGGATCCGGTGCTTACCCGAGCATATGGCCGCACATGTGTAGATTGAGTTAAGAGGAGTTAAGGAAGGATTAAGTTGAGATGTGGTTGAATTGAGTTGGTATTAAGTTGAGTTAAGTTGAGTTAAGAGGGGATTAGAGGTCATTGAAGAAGATGAACTTAAGGGAATGTTGTTGGTTGGGAAGTTCGAAGGGTTTAGTGTAATCGGCGGATCCGGATGAGATGAGGTTGTAGAAGGCCTGGCGGTGGTGGATAGCTACTGTTGTGCGTTTGGTCTTGATATTGTTGAGAAGACCGCCATTTTCGATAAGCAAGTCTATCTCCTTTTGGGTAAGAATGCCGGGGGCGGCTGATATGTTAATGGACCGGAAGAATTGTCGCGTGGTGCTGAAGGAATGGGCAAGTCTTGGCGCGGGTGATAGGCCGTACAACTGGTCGCCGCCAACTATGTGTTTGTCCGTGAGTTTCTTAATATAGCTGCTTAGTGTTGTGTTGGCTGGAGAGGGCTCAGATAAACCCTTGGCTATTTCAAAGAGCTCGATGTACCACAAAAAGGAGACAATTGATTTGCGCTTGATGAGAGCATTGATGTACTTTTCGGTGCGGGGAGTAAGCATGTCTTTGTTAGTTCCGGCTAAAAGATGGGTACACTTCTCAATACTATCGGGATTGAGGTATATTCGACACCGGAGTTGTTCACAAACAGATCCAATCGTATCACAAAGGAAAATTACTTGGTTCTTATCTAAAGACGTAATGGCTATCTTTATCTCTGGAAGAAAAGAGACCTCTTCTGGCTCGTAAATTAGCTTTTCGGAGCTGACTATTTGGGGTATACTTATAATGTGTTTTAGTTTAGCGCATGTACATGTCTCTTCTTCAAGACAGTCTAGGCCGAGGCTGGTGTCTGATGACCCAAAGAAGGCTGACAGTTCGTTCTCTGGCTCCACCTCTAACTCCATGGAAATCTTGTTTCTTGGAAATCAATAGAAATACTACCCCAAGACTCTGATAGTACTAATGGTGGTGATGGTTTGTGATCTGCCCAAATTAAGATTGAGTTGAGTTGAGTTGGTTGGTTGAGTTTGGGTAAAGTTTAGATTGAATAAAGTATTGAATTGAGTTTAGTTGAATTGAGTTTGAGTTTGAAGTGGATAGTATTGGGTTGGTATTAGGTTGGTGTTGAGGTGTTGGTAATGCGAATTACGTAGTGGTCGCTAAAGTTCTGGTACTATTAGATAGTTAAAGTAGTAGATAGTTAAAGTAGTAGATAATTAATCGCTGTACTATTTAATCTTCGTGGTAGTTAGAGTCTTCATGGGCGGCCGAACATTGGCTGTGGATCCCTTGAAATTGTGGGTCAAGACGTGGAAGAGCACTGACGTAGTTCCAGAATGCGGGGTTGTTCTTTAAGCGGTTGATTTTGCCTAGAAAGGTCTGTTCGAGCTGAATGTACGCGAGTCTCTCTATTTCAGAACAAAGGGGTAAGAAATGAGATAAGAGGGCATACTTGATGGCATAGGCTGAGTTGTTGCGGATGTCTAGTTTGATGAAGATAGTGGCAAAGGCTATGGCTCTTTCATGTGAACTAAATAACTTAACTGTGCTAAGGAAGAATCCCCAGAAGTGGATGTTTTTAGGCTCTTCTTTGGCCATGTTATAAATATCTGGGTCGCGAGTGATGTCATATTTTAACTGCTTAACTACAAAGAGGAGATGGTTCCATACTTGGTAGTTCTTTTGGTTCTCGGCGGCAGTTTGTTTCGTCCATTGGAACTCTTGCTCCATGGTATACTCTGTTGTGGGTATGTGGGCGATTAGCTGCCTGCGATCCATCCACAAGCTATAATCACTTGGTGCATAGTAAAGGAGTTCATTTAGAACCGAAAGAGACTCAAAAGTGTAGATCTTGTTGTGAATGTTATGCTTGTGTTTATCAATGGTTAGAAGATAGACTGAATGGTGTTTAAAGCGGAGAAGTGAAGTCATAAGAAAAATAAATCGGGCCGATCTTGGTTAGAAGGTTATCTACTGATTGTATTGAGTTGTGATGGGTTGGGTTGAGTTTGGTTGAGTTGAGTTGGTATTGTATTGGGTTGAGTTGAGTTGGATTGTGGTGGGTTGAGTAAGGTTGATATTGGGTTAGATTTGCTAAGTTGGTGGTATTGGATTGGATCATGAAACTACAATGCTTTATTGATTATGTTGATACTGTGCTAGACCTAATTCTATTCTTTATAAGATGGGTTGGGTTGATGGATTAGTGGGCTGGTGAATGTGTTGGTGGACATAGCCATACAATAACAGCCAGGCTCTCTATGTGGGTCAAAACAATTCCTGGATTGAATCTGATTGTCAGTTAGGCAACCATGTAAAAATGGGGTAGGATTGTTGATTGGGGTTATTGGGCTGATTGTTTGTTGGGTGATAGACAGGTGATGGCTGGGAAGATGGCGGCTAGCTAGTGTCTAGTAGGAATTGAAATTGTTTGGTGGCGGAAGTGATTGGATGGTCGGGTTTTGGTGTGTTAGGGAAGATCTGGGGAAGATAGAAGAGTTGGGTGGGAGTCGGTTGGTGGTCTTGAAGGGCGAGTTTGAGGATTTGGGTTAGAGTGTTGGCCGTATTGATGTCAGGAAGAATAAGTGCAACTTTGACACGAAGAATGATCATTAAGAAATGCTCATCGGAATGGGCACGGGTAAGATCCTTTTTAAGAGTGGCGGCTACGGTTGACATGATCTGTGTTTCGGATTGAGTAGTATCAGGTAGCTCTAAGTTGGTGTTTGGGTCGGTGGAGTCGAGTTTAAGCAAGGTGGTGACTTGGGGGATAATATTGTACTTGAGAAGAAGAATGGTTTTGAGGGCTTCTTCTGGGGATTGTGTTTCGGTTTTGCTGATGATTTGTTTGATAGTCTTTTTGATGCTTTTGAAGAGCTCTTTGGTGGAAGCGAACATGGCTTCGGCCTGGGTTATGAGCTCAAGAAGGTTCTTGATCGGCATGTGGTGGGCTTGTGAGAAAAGAAGAGTAATAAGCCGAGTATAGAAAGAGGACAGGTGGTAGTGGGTGTAAATATCGGTTGCGGTATCTCGTTTGTTTTTCTTGGCAAACTCTTTGATCTTCTTCAGAATAGTGTTGATAGTGGTGAGCAAATTGGCATTATGAACCGAGCTGTTCTTTTCGTACTCACTGAAGAGAAGATCGACTCCTTGGGCAGCTGTATGGGCAAAAGCTTCGATTCCACTACTGATGAACTCGGTAGTGTGTTTGTCCTGGTTGTAGAGCAGATCAACCGCTTCTAAGGACCGGATCATAAAGGAGAACTTCTCTAGGAGAGCCCCAATGAAATGGATTATGGACTTTTCTGGGTAGAGTCGGGAGTGTTCTTGGTGGCGACTGAGTTGTTCGTGGTGCTGGTAGAACTCTTTCTTGGCTACAACTAGTAAAGTCCCAAAGATATGTGATGCACTTTCTGGGTCTACGTGGAGATAAGTGTTAAAGTAGTGCAAACACTCTGTGATACTTTGACTTGTTTCTATTCGCTTACTTATCTCGGTTTTGAACATAGTAAGTACACGAGTAAACTGGGACCAATAGTAAGCAATGAATTTGGAGTTTTTGTACCGATCGGCAATGGCTTTTGCCTCAGCAAAGTCTGATAAGAAGGCATCAAAATCTCGCAGGGTTAAATGTTCCTCTAAGATAGCCGGGCCTTCAAAAAGAATCCTATTCTGTCTGATAAATAGTTGTTGTTTTTCTTTGATATCTATTTCACGATTCTCTCTAATTACTGGCAGCAAGACTCCTTCAAGCTTAGTCAGCTTCTCTATTTGGGCTAGTGCTTTAGTATGGTCCAACTCTTTCTTTATCCCCGCCATATCTTCTAGGAGAGTTCGACATCTAAAATACGTATTAAAATGATCACGTACTAGTCGCTCTCTTTCAACTAAAGAATCCTCCAGAGATTTTGATAGGACTATCTTTCCACTTTCAAAATCATCAATGTCTAAGTCTTTAAGAATTCGTGCCACTAACTTATATGGTTTAAATCCTTTACTTTCTGGGTTAGTCTCATCACTATCACCCGGCAAATCCTCATTCAGTCTCTCTTTCAAGTTAGCTACTTCATCTGTCCAAACTCCATCTTCAATCCCATACTCTTCTAAACACTTATGACTGTCTTCCATGTCTAAATTGCTACAAATAAACTAAATAGATTGGGTTGAGTTGAGTTGAGTTTGGATTAGGTTGAGTTGAGTTGGATTTAAGAATATCTATTGAATTAGTGGCTAGAAATTAAATACTAGAGAATGTGTTGTTGAAATGAGGCCAACTAGTATTAAGCTTGAGTTGGGTTAGTATTGGGTTGAGTTAGGTTGGGTTGAGATTGAGATTGAAATTGAGATAAAGCTAAGTCAGATTAAATTTGAAATTAAGATAGCACCAACCTAATGCTAAACACAACATTAATAGACACAGTTCAATACTAACTCAATCTAAACATACCTTGATTGTATAGCCAACTTAAATTACTATATTTGGTAATAGATTGGCAGAATTTTATGGCTAATATTGGGTTAAGAGACAAATTAGAAGCAATTGTGCCAGAACTACACTATTATCAGAAAAGAAGAATATTCAAACCCAATGAAATAGAAAGTATTGTCAATCAAAGAAAGGCTTTTGAACTCAATCTGATTAACAACTCTTCTCTTCATGCTTATCTCAAGTACATTGAATACGAAGTTCTTCTCGAACGTATCTATCAGAAAAGAGTTGCCCGCAAAAACAACCCCAGAGATTATATCTCTAAACGGGTAGATAAACTATTCACTCGAGCTGAGCGCAAGTACCCCAATGATATATCTCTACCTATCTCCCATTTAGATTATCTTATCTCTGTAGATCAAAGGGATAAAGCCCTTCAACTAGCTCTAGCCCTTCCTACTAGACATGCCGGTTCTCCAACCATCTGGATCCACTCGGCCAAACAACTCCGTAAACTTGGCGAAGTAGATGCCTCCCGTATTCTTTTCCAAAAAGCCCTTCGTCTCATTACCGATAAAGAGGAAATCATTAACTCATTCATTGAAATGGAGCATCTTGATACTCAGTCAGACTCACCCCAAATTATTGCCATCCTTGAACAACAACTTACAACCAATAAATAGACCAGTATATTACTATTCATTTATACATTCAAAAAACCAGTATATTACTATTCATTTACACCTTCAATAAACCAGTATATTGCTATTCACTTACACCTTCAAAGTACCTCATTACCCTATAACTGCCAAGTAACTATCAACATAACACAATACGTATCACAATACTATACTATACTATACTATACGTATCACAATACTATACTATACGTACCAATCTGTATCAATACGCATCAATACACAACATAATACACATCAAAACATAACCCAATACAATACAATATACTAACAGAATGCTAATTTAATATTACTCTTTGGTTTGTGGCTCCTGAGATTCTAAGTACTGCGTGCATGCATCTATTTGATAGGTCAGATCTTCAATTGCCTGCTCGTTCTTGTAATCAATCGGGTAAAAACCTAATAAACCGTTATCACTAATAATTGTTGCTAAAGCCATATTAAACCTATTCTCCTGCTCAGATTCATAACCCATTCGTTCATGAATCGTTTCCTTATCTAAGCCATAAAGAAACTCTTCTATCTCCTCTTCCCCCACCAAGTCGCATTTAGTAAACACATTCATATGGGGTACTTCAAACTTAGCCATTGCAATTGTAGCTGAAATAGCACCCGCCACAAACTTACCCATCTCCAGTACATGAGTTGCATCTAAAGCATACACCATCATAACCGTATGACACTTTTGCACATTTTCTACTATGCGCTTAATCGATTCCGAATGAATGTACAACTCTATCTGGCCCGGACAATCAAATAACATAAAAGCATCTTCTTCCTCAGGCAGTTCCAAAATATCTAAATTATCAGCTACAGCTTCTACTCCAGCTAGTAGTCCTCCATTTGGCCCAAAATCAGCCTCTTCCATAACATCCATTAATGATAAATGGTCTCTAATATCAATATCAAAATCAAAATCTTCGTGCATTTGAGCTGGATCTAAATTAACAAGCACAACCCGCCTTTTGGCCGCTACATAGTACTCTCTTAAGACTTGGCAGAGCGTAGTTTTACCCGATCCAGCCGGTCCGATAACAAAGACACCGCAACCCATGAAATTTTTTGCCAGATGCTCTTCTGTATTGCTTCAGTTCTACCTCGTACTGCCCAACAGACTCTTGCCCGATTGCATCAGACTAAAATTCAAATCATTAATTCCCCATTTGATCTAAACCAAAAAGTAGGAGAAATGCCGGGATGGAGTACTTCAGTAGCCGTACGGTTAGATAGTCCTAAACAATGGGATCTATTCCGTAAGTGGCCATTCAGTCTTTTGGTTATTGTTCATCCTATCTTACAACCTAGTGATTTAACAGATACTTACTTGGCACAGGCTAACCAGTTCAACCAAGAACTAGCTGAGATAAGAGAGAAGACCTTTATTCATCGGATTAACTCAGTGGAAATCTTAGAAACTGGGGCTTTAGATCCAATTCTGCAAAGACATTCACGGCCGACCTGGCAGCAGTACTTTATGGGGATTGCCCATATGGCCTCTACCCGGGCCAACTGCATGAAGCGTAAAGTAGGAGCAGTTATAGTCCGAGATAATAGGGTGGTTGGTATTGGGTATAATGGGACTTCAACTGGATCATTGAACTGTTCGGATGGTGGTTGTGCTCGGTGTAATGGTAATGCCCGCCAAGGCGAGCAGTTAGAAGACTGCTTCTGCATTCATGCTGAGGAGAGTGCTTTCTTAGAAGCTGAGTCTAGTAAGTGTCATGGCTCTGAGTTATACACGACTGTCTTTCCCTGTCGGTTATGTTCCCGTAAGATTGCTCAACTTCGGATTAAGAAGATATACTATGTCCATGAGTATAACAAAGATCCTCTTGTTTTAGCTATCTTTAAAAACAACAATATAGCGATAGAAAGATTGCCAGAATAATCATGCAAATGTCCCCAATAGTCCAATAGTCTTTTTGTTTCTTCAATAGATAAACTAGTGTTTTGATAAGCAAAATCTAGTACAACTAAAAATTAAAACCAAATCAATCTCTTCTCTTTTACTCAACTATCTCGCTTTCATTTTGTTTTAACCTTTTAAAATAAACTCATCAAGTTGTCGTTAATTGTTAGATACTAAACCCATTTCTTAGCCCAATTAGCCACTAGCCAGTATAGTATAACAAATCACAGGAGAGTAAGTAAATGTAGAGTGCGATTGTTGCAATATAAGAAGACTAGTTACATGAATAAATTGGTGTTGTGTTGGTGTTGTACTGTATTAGTAGTTAATCAAAGACCTTTATTAGCAATAAACGAACTTATCTAGACAAAAACACATATGATCATTACTGTATATGAGTGCGTGTCTAGATAAGTTTAACTTTCTGGTGTATTTGGTGGTTGTAGATAGTACAATCTTTGATTCTTAAAAAAGCCGGTGTTTAGTATTGGTTTGGGATTGGCTGGGTGGCATGTTTGATACTCTGGGTCTTCGGCACATAATGCAATACTGGCCTAAAGAAGACTTACTTATCTTTTAGTCGAGGAGATGTATTTGGTCAGGGAGTATGTCGGCTGCTTGGGTTGATGACTGAGAAGGATGATCGGTTGTATCTTTAGGTTTTGTTGTATTCTCATTGGGTTCTTGCACATAGGTATCAACGCAGTATATTAGATAATGCTTCTCATCTGGTGTTGTGGTTAGAGCTTCGTTCAAGCCATTATGTGCTTCAATTCGGCTTTTGTCGAACATAGAAATAGGGAATGTCTTAACCACAAGTTGGCGATAAACATGAGAAGATGGAACCACTTCCTGACAGATGAGGCATTTTATCCAGTTCTTGTCCGACATCAAACTAAACAGACAGTCACTACAAACAAAATGACCACAGTTGAAATAGCAAATATCTTCAAAAGTAGAGTATTGACCGCTAACCTTACTCTTCTTGAATTCAGATAGACATTTCTCTCGTTGGTATATCTTCTGTTCATCGATGTAAGCTTGTTTTTGTAACATTTCATGTCGATCTACTTCTCGGTCTACCTGCTCTGTGACTCTTCTTAGCCACATCGGAGTCTGTTCCTCACGCAGGCGGGCTCTGTTGGCGTCGGCTTCTGTTGACATCGTATTGTTATTGGGCTGCGATGTAAACCAACTGAAAGCGCAGGCGAGCCAGCTCTTCTTACTCCTTACTTCTTCTTCTTCCCTTTCGCGCAACTGCCTATCATGAATTTGGTTTTGCACGAACACGAAGCTCATAGGCCCTATCAAGGCTTGCTGTTGGTCCGTCAAGTTCGCCTTTCTTGTTGCCATTTCCTTCTTATCCTTATCTAACTGTTTTATATCTTCCACCAGCTTCTTTTCAGCTTCTGTCAACTCTTCCTTATACTCCCACAGCTTATTTTCGAGTTCGTTCCTCATCGTAGCTTCTATCTCTTTCTTCTTCTCCTCATCATCCAAACCTTTCGTTGCTTCATCTACCAACCTTTTTATAAGCCTTTCATTTAGCTGATCTCTTAACTCATCCGACAGATAAAGGTCGCTAAGACAATAGATACAGCTATAAGCGACTTCTGTAGCTTGGAAATACTTTAAGAATCGATGGATAGGTGTTTCAGGCTCAAAGCGTGCGCTGTCTAGATTAACAAGTTGGTGCAGGCTGCTCGATTTCACAAAGGTAACAACATCTTTAGAGAAGTCAATAATACTCGAGGCTAGTTTCTGAAGTAAATTATCTGCCAATTCGTCCCGACAAGCTATCAAGTCATTACCTCTTATCTGAAAGGTAAAGAATGAATCCATGCCACTAACCCAAAAGCTTGCCCTAGTTATTTTACTTCGCTCTTTCTCTGGTATTACCAGATTTGACAATTTCCATGTCTTCAGACCCACTGATATGCAATTTACCCATCGAATAATAGTCGTTAAGGCCTCTTCGGTTAATATCTGGCCAGTTTGGAAGTGTAAAGTGAAAGTGCCAGCCTGTGTATTTTGGACTAGGGAGGCGTTAGATTGAGTTTGGTTGGGCTGGGACAAGCTTTCATTATTACGAATGGCCAGATCACGTTCTAACCACTTTATCTTGAGCTTGTAAAGCTTAAATTCTTTATGGCGTAGTTCACATACTCGATTATTGTAGTTGATTATTGCATTTGTGATGTATTCCTGGCCGGAAACAATCTGACATTGAACTTTCAAACTTGCTAGCTTAGATAACACTTTAGCATACAAATCACGATCAATTATCCCCAGTTGCAAAACCAGCTTATAAAGACAGAGATTTTGTAGTCTATAGCCTTCTTGTTCTTTTTTCGCTACATAGCTGAAGAAGTGGTAGTTCTTGTCTAGATCTAACTTCTGATCACTCGTGGTTGGATTTTCGAAGGTGTCGGGATTAATATCCTTTACTTCAAAAAGGTCATTGAGCACAAGCTTTACGATATTCCGAGCTTTCCAATGAGAGAGAATTTGGGTAATAGCAAGGTTCTTGTAGCTCTGATTCAGTATATGGACTTCTACCGAGCCAACAAAGGCATATTTCCCCAAGACCCAATGGACAATCATATCATCAACATTATCCAATGTCAAAACATCAACTTTCATATTATATTGGTGGCGTTCACTGGCAATCACCTTGTTGAGCTCGGTCAAACTAAAACTGCCGGTATAACAGTGCTTGCGAATATTTTTGATTGTAAGCTTTTTGGCAGTAATATCTCGGAATTGACTTAGGATGTCAATGGCAAGCGTAGGGATAAGCCCCAAGCACTTGTGTTCCCCAGTAATATTGATATCGGTGTAGTGTATGTGTTGGCAAAAGTACTGGTTCTCTCTTATTTTAAGATGAAAACAGTTAGGATCAATGTGGCAATGTCCATAGTAAATCGGAAAAACTAGAAAGTTAACGGGCACCGCAATCGTTATATGATCGGCATCTTTAAGCTTATAACCAAGACAGGAATTATCAGAATAGGACTCTTCTTCTAGTTTAGGCAAAGCACCAAGCGTACAAAGCGTTCTGAGAGTCTCACAAAAGTCTGATCGGTCAGCTTGATAGCGGACTTCGGTTGTTTTAATCGAGATACCATATTTAACACAAGCAACTCTTATGTAATTGTCGATCGAGGATTCAGAAGCTTTACAAGGAAAAAGGGTGCCCGCCAAAACAACAATTTTCTCAGCAAAGATACGACTACGACCGGGTTTTGGTTGTGACTTGCTAAGACCTGGTAGGTTAGTATAAAGGGGGCCATCTGCTTGGACTATGATAGTGTGTACATGGATTTGATGTTTAGAGGTATTGCTCATGCGTTGAAGATCTACCCAATCAATCACCAATTTTATGCCTTCGTGCTGTTTAATGCGGCGCTCAAGACCTACTATTAATAGGTGCTGTTCACCGGCGGCCTTAATTGTGATTTCAGAGCATTTGGTAGAAGTTCTGGAGAGAAAAGTAAGGTTAATCGTGGGCTGAGTCGGATTAGGGAATACAACTACATTAAAGTCATCCCTTAAACATAGATGGTCAATGTTTCGGGGCAATTTATCTATTTGGTAGAAGTGGATAGACAAAAACTGTTGCTGGATAGCGATGACGTTATTGTTTCCCTGTGGAAAAGTGTCACTCATAACTACGAGCGTGGATGGCAATTTAGGAATAAGATCGACTACTTTCTTCGCTTCGCGCAAACTAGCATCACAGATGGACTGGTTTTCAGCATTACGTTCTGTAATGCATTTCAAATCAAGCTGTAACTCGTCACACTGAATCATGTTAATGACTCGCGTTACAATTAAGATGTTCGTTTCATACCATTCTGACTTGACTTCTGTATACGTAATCAAAGCCCGCAGGACTTTGATAACAGCGATCGTATTTAGAAGGGCAAAGGCCGCACTAGCCTCGTCAGCACTTGAGTATTCTGGCATGATAAACTCAATAGACTTGGAGTTAGTATCAACCATACTAACCCCCGACAAATCCGTTTCTTCTGGTATAGTTGGACTTGGGCTTGGGTTGGCGCTGGTTTCGGCAGTTGTTGGCTGCTCTAGACTGTAGGACTTAATCAGTACTGTCGAGTTATCCTCAAAAGGCCCGAAGCCCAGTTTCTTCAATCGAGCAACCATCTTCGCTGACTCCGTCCATCTAGCTCGGAGTTTCTCATTATAAACCTTACTCTTATCAACCAACTCACACTCTCTAGTTCTATCAACCAACTCACACTCACTATCCTCAACTGACCCACAAACAACGTTCAATAACACTAATAGCTTAACAATAGCCATCCACTTAACTATTTTAAATGGGCAATTCCTATCTGTAATTCTAGCAACTCGACTTTTGAGATAAGACATATTCAAAAATAAATAAATCTCATTAAATAGTCAATTTGATCATATCAAAATTCAGAATAATAGGCTGCTTGGGTTAGTTTAAGATGTTATAAATATTTAAGAGCTGTATAGTACTGTGGTGTCTATACCCGCCCACACATCTTAATGAGACTCTCGACTCATCTCTACCTTTACACGAGTTAACTACAAAAGCAAAGAACTTAGACATTATTCTTTTCTACTTAGATAAGAAATATTATGCAAGAATTGGGTTATTATTGATACCACTTGAGATTAATATAAATAGACGACGATAATTGGCAAAAGGCTTTCATGCCGGAGGTACAAAAGATAGTATAAGAAGCAAGAAACAGCCCAATACTATCCCAATACCAAAACACTTTATCCGCATAATCAATAAATTGAACCCAATACCAACTCAATACCAACTCAATACTAAATCCAATACCAACTCAATACTAAATCCAATACCAACTCAATCCTTCGCATTGGTTTGGACAATGGTGCCAATTTAGCGTAAAGTCCTTTTTACCCACATAATAAACAGCAGTACGTCCTATTACAGCATTATCTTACTTCAATCATGTAAAACCCGCCCTAATTTATCTTATCTTATTGATTCAAAATTACACAACAACATAATCCAACCATAACTTAACTTAATGCAATACATTTACTTATCATTTTCTAGATACCTCTCAATGCTCTTCCGGAGGCGAATATCAGGTATAACCCGGCCTACACGCTTATGACAAACCGGGCACCGATTACCAACACAGTACTCACAAACTGAATGCCCACACTCTAAAGCCATAGCATCGGCCAGTAAGCCTAAACACTGGCCACACTTAAAAGCCACCGGAACAGTTCGACTCCTACTCCCAGCCCCAAAGTGTTTAGAGAACTCTCTTGTTTGTGGCTGCGCCCGGACAAACTTCCCTTCTTCATTCAACAGCACCGAAAACGTACTCTCTTCCGCCGGCACCAAGAATGTCTTAGGAATACCGGTTGCTTTCTTCACCCGCATAGCATCGTACTGCTTATTACTATTCGTTGGACACATCTGAATGTAATGCCCCTTCTCTCCACAACGGAAGCATATGTAATTAGGTGGTGGAATACGAGCACTAAAGGTACTGGGCACTGAGATAGAAGATCTTCCTTCTTCTCCTCTTTTATCACCTGCCTCATTATCCCCCTTTTCCTTACTCTTCTCCAACGCCTCCTTAACTCCTACTTGCATATAAGTCGGCACCCGTTCTACTAGCACTTTCGTATTACTATGAATAGTTGTGTAATTATCAGTCACTGGCGTACTTTCATTCTCTAGGTAAAAGACCAAGTGATAATCATGCAATGTTAAATGCCGCAAAGAAACAATCTCAGCTCTTAATTCCCATAAGGGCATACTCGATCTATCCGTCTCAATTCGGCTAAACTCTTTCTCAGACTTGAATCGATATAGGACTTGCATTAAAATCTTTGCATGACGTGTGAGTACATTCCCCAAGAAATAGAGAAGATTAGATTTGAGATTATGGAGGAGGCTGAAACACATCGTATTTCAGTGGTCAGTGTTTTTTCCCGCGATCTGTACACTGGCGAGGGCAAAGTTCCGGCTAATTCTGGACCTTTAGATTTAAGATTGGGTCCTAGTGCTAAAGATGGAGTTTGTGGTACCTGTGGGGGAAAGATGGCCGACTGTCCTGGACATTTTGGACATATTGATTTGGCCCTTCCGGTCTTCCATCCGGGGTTATTGAAGAATGTGCATAAGGTCCTCCAGAGTATTTGTAAGAGTTGTGGGCAGATTCTCTTGAGTGCAGAAGCTGCTGCTACTTTACTGCAACGCATTCGTAGTCGTGGAGACAATCGACCGGCTGTGCAACGAGTGATTAAGAAGACGCATGAAGAGGCTAAAAGAACAGTTGAGTGCGGTCATTGTGGGGCGATTAATGGGGTAGTAAGAAAGAGTGGGTTTAAGTTCTTCCATCGGGTGCATCGGTTGAAGAAACATGATGGCTTGAAAGGAATAGAACGAGCGGCCTATACTGGAGCAATTACTGAGAGCAATGAGTTAGAGGAATGGTTGAGTGGACCGCCGGATGAGTACATATCTCCTGTTCGGGCTCTAGGTCTGCTCCAGAGAATCCCAGCGGGTGAAAGAGAACTGCTAGGTATGCGGTGTACACCGGAGTCTTTATTACTACAAAGTATCCCTGTTCCACCCGGTACAATTAGACCGAGTGTTATGGCAATTGACTCGTCTTCTAATGAGGATGACTTAACTATTAAACTAAGTGAGATAGCTTATACTAGCCAGCTGATTAGGGACGAGATTGGGAAGGGGGCTTCTTTAGCTGCTTTGGCCGAGAATTGGGACTTGTTACAATCACAGTGTGCACAACTAATTAGTGCTGACTCACGAGCGGATGCGGCTAAGATTCGTAGTTTAGTGCAAAGACTGAAGGGTAAGCACGGTCGGTTTAGAGGTAATCTGTCGGGTAAGCGAGTGGAATTCTCAGGAAGAACGGTTATTTCTCCAGACCCAAACTTAAGTGTAGAAGAGGTAGGTATTCCTCGGGAAATGGCCCAAACTCTAACTGTACCCGTTCCGGTAACTAAAGAGAACATAGAGCGACTTAGTAAGTTATCAAGGAATGGCTGTGATGTATATCCTGGAGCCAATTACTTGATTAGAGAAGATAGACGGATATTCTTGCGGCCTAATAATCAGCTGGCTATTCGGCCAGGGGATACGTTAGAGAGACACTTGCTGGATAGGGATACAGTCTTATTTAACCGGCAGCCGTCTTTGCATCGACTAAGTATTATGGCGCATCGGGCTAAAGTCTTAACGGGCCGGACTTTAAGGTTTAATGAGTGTGTTTGTGCCCCTTATAATGCCGACTTTGATGGGGATGAGATGAACATTCATTTGGCCCAAACGGCCGAAGCCCGAGTTGAGGCGCAGGAGTTGATGGGGGTGAAGAATAACTTAGTAGTACCTCGAAATGGACAGCCGTTAGTAGCTGCAACTCAGGATTTTATTACGGGTTCTTATCTCTTATCTGGTAAGGATACGTTTTTTAGCCGCGAAGAGATGGGTATGTTATTGGCGTATGCTTTGCCGCAACGCCGGGGTGGAGGAAATCTTAAGCCGACGCTTCTAAGACCGGTAGTACGCTACACGGGCAAGACTTTACTAAGTGAAGTTTTAGGCCTCTCAGTTACTGTAGAAACTAGGACGCGCGGGTATACGCCTGAAGGTGCTACTGCAGCTAATGAAGGTTTGTTCGTGATGCGTCGGGGTGAGATTCTCTTTGGCCGGGCGGATAAACGGGTGGTTGGTGGGGAGGAAGGCAGTGTTTTTCACTATGAGTTACGGAATAGTGGGCCAGCTCCAGTTGCCGCGGCCTTAGATGCCTTAGCCCGGCTTTGTGCACGGTATATGGGCGAGCGTGGCTTCAGTATTGGGCTGGATGATGTCTTTGCCAATGAGAGTTTAGAGGGCCAGATTGCCGCGGCTGTTGATCGGTGTGAGATAGAGGCTTTAGAAGCAGCAGAAGACCGGGCTATAGCCGTTTTGGCTCGAGCTAGAGAAGATTCAGGTGCTCTATGCGTGACTATGTTGGGCCGGCACAATTCACCAGTTACCATGCAGGCGTGTGGTAGTAAGGGAAGTTTGATTAATGTAGCGCAGATGGTGGCTTGTGTGGGACAGCAGGTAGTGGGTGGTCAACGAATTGCTTTGGATTTTGGGAATAGGTCTTTGCCGCACTTCTTACCGGAATCTCCGGCTCCGGCCTCGCGTGGTTTTGTCCGGTCGTCTTTCTGTGCTGGCTTAAGGCCAACCGAGTTCTTCTTCCATGCAGTTAGTGGCCGAGAAGGTCTAGTTGATACGGCGGTTAAAACGGCCGAAACAGGGTACATGCAAAGACGGCTTATGAAAGTCTTGGAAGGCGTGCATGTAGCCTATGATGGGAGTGTGCGGCGAGGTGGGGTGATTATTCAAAGCCATTTTGGCGATGACGGATTGGACCCTGCTCTTCTGCAACGCGGCTCTTTACTTTCTGATATGCCAGCTGCCCTTGATTGGGCCCGAAGTTTATCTCTATCCTCACAATCTACTTCACAACCTGATTCCCAAACGACTGTACAGTCACCAACCCATCCCATGCTAGCCAGACTCTTACAAGCAATTACTGCCATTTGGCCGCAAATCACCACCAACCATGAACTTAGTCCGATTCTCTGGTCACTGCTTAACCAGGCAGTTGGTGCACCTCTATTCCGGGCGGAGAATCCTAAGCTACTGGGCGAACTAACTCATTTCCTCTGTATGCATACTCAGCCCCAAGAACGATATGCCGAGACAGGTATACGCTTTGTGGCCAAGATGATCTACCAGGCTCTGCGGGCCCAAGTAGAGTACGGTACCGCCGTGGGGGCTTTGGCCGCACAGAGTATTGGTGAGCCGGGTACGCAAATGACTTTGAAGACTTTCCATTTAGCCGGAACTTCTGGAGCTAGCATTACCTTGGGAGTACCGCGGCTGAAGGAAATCATTAATGCTGCTGTTAATATTAGCACGCCAATTGTTAAGGTTGAACAAGTTCCCGGGGCCGTTGGTGTAGCCAAGCGAATTAGAGCTGTTTGTGTGCGTGATTTAGCTACTAGTGTGAGTATTGGAGGAGGAACAGCTTTGTTTACTCTGTCGGGAGTACTTGTCCATAATTATGGGGTGAGTAAAGAGATACGCTTGCTTGGTGCTATGCCGAAAGGAGAGGACTATCGTTGGGAAGTAGGTATTGATAAGGGAATTCCAGCAGAAATAGATAAGGCTCTTCAAACTCACTTGCGCGGAGTGCAGACTGTTACTCGGGTGATTGAAGCTAATGATGAGTTGATTGCGGAGGGAACCGGCCTACAGGAAATTCTCGGGATTGAAGGAGTGGATGCAGCCACAACCCGTAGCAATAGTGTTTATGAGGTCTACCGCACGTTAGGTATAGAGGCTGCTCGGGCTACTATTGCTCGGGAGATTGAGTATACTATTGGTAAGCATGGAATTTCGGTCGACAGTAGACATATTGGGTTGTTGGCTGATGTAATGTGTGCTACTGGGGAAGTGTGTGGTATGACTCGTTTTGGTCTGCAGAAGCTTGGTGGATCGAGTGTGCTTACTTTAGCTAGTTTTGAACAAACGGGCGAACATCTCTTCTCAGCTGGATATGCCGGGCATGAGGACCGAATTGATGGTGTTAGTGAAAGTATTATTACAGGTCAAAGAATTCCAATCGGTACGGGCACTTTCCGTGTCTGCTATGATCTTGAAGCGGCTGCTAAGCCACTCACTACATCCTAATCTTATTATAATAAACCTGCATTAGAGTATCTTAGATAATATGCGTGAATTAGGCCGTGTAAATAACTTGGATGCTGCAAGTAGGACGGACTGCACTTACTTGGCAGTAAATGGAAATGGTTGAAATTGGAGGGGATGGATTAGGATAGGAAAATTATCTCTTAAGCACTAGTGCATTCCTAAAGGCTGCACTTAGTTGTGTGGTTCTAGTCTTTATTTCTGCCTTATAGATAGATAAGCAATAGTAAAGAGATGCAGGGGCATTTATTACTAATTCATCCCCTTCTAGTTTAAACACTAGCCAAATATGGTAATCCGTAATTATTTGACTAATTTCCTAATCAGGAAACTTCCTTGTATTTAGTTAGGAAGTTCGAGTTTTGTATGAACCAACCACAAACTGCCCATCTAGAAACTGACCGGCCTGCAAGGACTTCGTCCAGTTCTTCTGAGTATTCGATCATCAACGAGACCACTCAGCCGGCCCAGCGAACTAATCCATCGCCTCCTCCGGCCTATTCAGAAAGAAATAGTCCAGGCGCCCCCAATACTCCGCCCCCACAATACATTGATGAAAACACGCCTCCACAACCAGGAAGTAGTTCCCTAGTCAGCCAGCCTACTTCAACTGCAGCTAACCCGGTAACTACCACCGCTGCTGCCAACCGAATTGCCACTGTCAATACGGCCCCAAACTCTGCCAATATAACCACAAGCAGGTCCTTAGGAGCAAGCTATCCCAGTCTCATCCCAGAGCCAACCAATGATGAGCTTATGCAAGTACTGGCTAACCAAGTTAGCAACTGGGGCCTACCCCCTACCTATGCCGAATCAGTTGGTACAGCCACCGGCACAGTCAGATCCGAAAGGGATAGTAACATCATCCCCGTGCACAACCGACCCAATCGATCGTTATACCCAGCCCTGCAAGCAGCCGATTTTGTGCTACCAGCCCCGCCCAGCTACGAACAGTGCTTACGAAACCCAACCATACAAGTTCCTCATTCTGGCGTCCTTCCGACCACTCACCCCTCCGGCCCCAATCGCCCTCACCACTCCAATCACCATCATCACCATAATCACCCTAAACGCCATATTCTTAACAACAAATCATGCACCTTCTTTAAAGGATACTTTCGAACAATAGCTTACTATACTCCCCTCTATCTTGGTGGTATGTTTCTCATGAAAGGCATCTTTTGTCATATTTATTCAGTTGTTACAGCCAATCCTTCCAACGCCTTCCCTAATGGTATCAACCAATCCCCAGTCCTGCTACTACTTGTATGCTGCGTTGGTGCCGTTCTTCTGTGCGCCCTGCTTAGTTACTGGGTCCTCCAGTTCCTAGTGGGTAAGTTCCAGTACGCCAACCATATTTCCATTCTTAAACACAAAACACACTTCCCGGCCCGAACACGTGCTATTATTCTTGCCACTAATATCTTTATTCTTGTGACTGTCTATCGATGCCTTGGCACTTCCAAAGCCACCATCTTTACCTACCTCCTTCAGAATGATGTTTTTGCCTACATCCTACTCGTCATCTACGGATTGCTTATTCTCTCCTCCCTCTTCAATATTGGCGTGAACTCTTTCACCAAGACAACCCGTGATAGTTCCCGAGTTGCACTCGACTCCATTCCCAACTACTCGTTTTTGTCGTCACTCGCTTATCTCCTCATAGCCGTGATTTGTGTTATTCTCTTCTATGACCTTCTCCTCGGTGTCGTAGGCGCCCAAAACATCAGTGTATTTACCAAATACTAGCCCCAATAGGATCAAAACCACCCAAAACCAACTTTATATCTCTTACCACTAATAAACTCAAAACTAACTTAAGTCTTACTAAGTTTGAAAAAGAACCACTTTATTCAGTATTTGTTTATCATTACATACATAACTAGATCACCATTATTATACACCTCAAGATAGACAAAACACTATTTAAACCAAAACACCAATTAAACAGGCATTATTTAGATAGTACATCAATGGGATTCTAATCCAAGCAAATCACAGCCAAATCCTCTTTAGATAGAGCATTACCAGCGGCCATAGATACATAAGCAAACCAACTCATAGACTCAGTCTAGCTACAAACCCAATTGGGCAATCAATACAATAACATAATACTTGAAGCATAACCCATTAATTGGTTGGTGCTGGAGTAGGAGATACTCTGTATCTCTATTTATTTGCTTTTAATTTTGATACTATGCAAGAAGCTACTCGTTCTACTCAAACTGGAAAACACTATATTAGCACTATTATAACCAAAGACGGCTTTACCGATAAGCCTTTTATAGCCGTCTTCCTAATTAGCGCATTGTTATACTTTAGTGCAATTGGACTTTTCGTTGGCCGCTCTAATGTCGCCTCTTCAGCCGGCAAAAAGCTCTTGGCTAGTCTTGACTTCAAAACCGGACTTGTTAACTGTATGGCTCCCGTTCTATTGGTCTTCTTAATGACTGAGTGTATATTCTTATCTCTATTCACTATTCCAGTCGTAACAATTCATCTGGCTTTCTGGATGATTTTCATTGGAGGTCCCATTGGTGCCGTGATGTTCTTTTTGCCCATCCATGCTTTATTTGCGATTATCGCGATAGCTATGCTGGCTATCTTTTACTTCCTTAACTTTAGGGAGATAAAGAAGCAGGCACCACGTGTTTCGACTATTGCTGGCATTCTTTTGGCCAATAACTTCTCTTTTATCTTATATTTATTCTTATCTTATCTTTGCTTGTCTTTTGTCTTATCTATTGTTGTGTGGTGTAAAACAGCCGTACAAATAATGCCGAGCAGTAATGAACACTATCTGCTAGCTATGTGTATGACCGTCCTTTCCAGTGTAACTGCCGCAGGAACTCTGATCTTTTTAGGATACTGCTCAGATGTTTATTTTGCCCGGATAGTCTTTGCCCATATCAGAAACCGAGCAGCTGGTTCTCCCCGGACCAATTTCACCTCAGCAATAACTCGAGTGTTTAGATCATTTGGAACGATTTACATTGGAACTCTTTTATACTTAGTTATCTTATTGGCTAGAATGCTAGCTAGAACTTTATTTGAACGAGTCACGCGCAACAATAACAATGAAGGTAGTGTTGGCCTGATGATTATAGCTTATGTTCTTTACTTTGTGGTTTCGTGTATCTTGTACCTGCTGGAGATTGCAGTAGATACGGTGAATACTCACGTGATGGTATATTCTGCCTTATTTGGTACAGGGTACTCTAAGTCTATGAAAGGAGCCTCTGATGCAATTAAGGCCCAAACAAGCTACAGGTATGCTTTACTCTTCTCTTCGATTGTTTTTATTGCGGTTAGCCAGTTAGTAATGCCTGTGCTGATTTATGGATCGGCGGCTTTAGCTACAACGGCTGGAGGAGCAGCTAAATCTCTTGTTTTTGGTGCCTCCGAGTTAGCATTGTATCGCTATACTATGTTTATTGTCTTGTGTCTGATTGCGTTTGATTCAATTATGTCCGGATTCTTATCTTTCGAGCTGATTAATTCAATTGATCCACAATTAATCCAAACTGTTTATCCTAAACTAGCTGCAACTAGCTAGACCGAATGACTTAGCATATATTACAACCAGCCGCTTAAACACTTAGCTAATCACAGGCCCGGATCATAAATAAAAGAACCAAGTTAGGGTTAATTAGATAGCATTAATAAGTTGATATTTATTAGGTTAGTATTAAGTTAGTGTTTAGGGGGCAGTTTAATATTTATATGTTGCTGTATTGAGTTAGTAGAATAATTTGGTGATGACGTCACCGTCCAAAAAAAATTACCCAAAAAGGAAAATAAAAAAGACACGTATCCATAACTGTATTTACGAATAAATAAGTAGAACGTCTGATAGACAAGGACCTACTAATCAACAAGGAAGGAATCAAGGTAATATATGGGCTGGATAGTATTTAGGGCGTTTTGACATACCCAGTAGTTAAGATTAGATTGGAGATACTGATTGCAGGGGGGGTTATAAATAGATTAAACTTTTTTGATATTATGGTAGCAATTGGAACGAAACCGATTCATCCGATAGATAGTGATGGTGTTATCAAAACTATAGGGCATAAAAAATCAGTAGTTGATCCTAAATCAATGCTTAAGCACCGAATTAAAGACAAGTTTTGGCTTGGTGCTATGGTGCTTAGTATTATTGCAGTGATTGCTGGGATAGCATTCTTTTTAGTGACTACTAACAACATAGACAAAGTAGATAGGATGACTGCCGATTTGACTTGGCAGAAGATGCTATTTTCCATGGTGTTGCCGGTAATTGCCGCCATTGTTATGACAGAAGTACTCTTGGGGATCTTACGAGTCATTCCGTTAATAGCTTTGCATGTTTCATACTGGGTAGTCATGCTGACTTCAGGTGGTCTAATGTTCTATGCTGCTATTTCTCAAAAAGAGATACTTGCGATCATTGGGGCAGTAATATGGATGGTTGTGGCCGTGGTCATATATTTCTTTTTGTTTGACTATATCAATCGTATAGCAGATAGGGTTTCAAAGGCGGCATCATTTTTGCTATCAAACCAGCTATCCCTCATTACTTATTTGTTATGTGGCGCGGCAGTAGTTGGCTTAGTAGTGATTTTGATCAGTATCGTTGCTGCAGTTAATAATGAATCAATTGGCCATAGTGCCTTTCCAACACTCAAGAAGTCTCCTTATCCTGTCTTTAGTTGGGTCATTCTTTTCATAAACTTGGTCATGATTCACTTTGTGTTCTTTGCCGCCGACGTTTACTTCTCAACTGTAGTAGCGACTGATATAAGCAACAAGGCCACAGGCGCCAGTCGGTGGGGAATTGGACCGGCACTCCAGCGAGTTCTGCAAACCTCTGGAACTATATTTATTGGGTCTATAATCCAATCAATCATTACAACAGCCCGTATATTCGTAAATCTTCTTAAGCACAAGAAACTTAGCGACAACCCGTCTATGGTTGAGTGTGTAGTGAAGATCTTATACTATATTTTGAGCGCTTTCCTTTACATCATTGATGTTGTGGTTGGTATTATTCACCAGTTTGTTTTTGTTTCGGCGGCGGTTGAAGGAACTAGCTATACTGAGTCCATCAAGAACTCAACTAAGATAGACAATGTTGAGCCTGGGTGTCTAGTAGCATTCTTATCCTCTTCTATTATGGCCTCAGTTACTATGCTGATCGCTCTTCCTATCTTAGCTATTCCAGGCGGAACTACCTTATTGGCATCAAATCCTTGTGGCTGGATTGTCTTTGCGGCAGTGTGCACTTTCGGCGCAGCATCAGTGGCAGCGACCTTCTTAGCACAATCTTACCTACACGCTAGAGCTAAGAGCCACTAATGCGAACAAACCCAATACCAAACCAAGATGATAATAAATTCTATCTTCTGTATCCTCATTAGTTCACTGCAGCCCAGTTTCTTCGGCAGCTGATGACTGATTGGCTAGACAAATCACAACTAGGACCAACCAAAATCAGCCATTAATCAACCAACAAGCAAAACCTATAACGAAACAATTTAATCTCTGATATGAAAACAGTTACAACTGGCGATGCAGATGTAATTCAACCTAAGCCCGCCCCCATCCACATCTCAAGCACACCACCGCGAGCTCCAACAACCGAGGTGCTTAACGAACGAGTTATGGCCGATAAACTTTGGGTCGGAGTATTGATTACATCAGTTCTAGCTCTACTTGGCGGCAGTCTTGCCTTTTTAGTAACCACTCAAAATCTAGATGTAGTGGCCATTGCTCTAAGCCAGATTACGTGGACTAGTATTTTCTTGACCATAGTTCTACCTATTGCCATTAGCTTGGGAGTTTTAGAGGTCGTTCTCTTTCTGCTGCGAGCTATCCCATTAATTACTATTCACGTCTCTTACATTCTTACTATGCTTGTCGCCCCAATTGCCGCTCTACTGGTCTTCCCACGCACAGATCTACTTATTATCGAGTGTGTGCTCTGGTTTATTATCTCTCTAATTGTCTACATTGTTATCTTCCATCGTCTCCAAAAGGCTGCTGACTTGCTCAAAATAGTCGCTGAGCTTCTTCTAAAGAACCAACCCATCCTCCTATCCTATCTTTTTGGAGGACTTATTCTTATCGGTCCTTTCTTGTTTATTGTCTGGGCGGCTTTTATCGTCAACTACCAAAACCCAGCAGTGGGCAACGAGCAGTACCCAATATTCTTTTGGACTGCGTTTGTGGGCACTGTTTGGGCCCTTGTCTTTATTATCCATGCCGGCGATGTCTTCTTTGCACACATTTTCTCGATCTTAGCGCCCGGCATCACATCCAGCACATTGTCAATTATTCATTCCGGTTTCCAGCAAATCATCCAATCATGCGGTACTATTTTCCTAGGCACAATACTGCAAACTATCCTCCTTGCCGCCCGATCCATCCTTCAGTTCGCCAGCAAGAAAGAGATCTTCAACCGTCGCAATCCACGTTCCATCCGCAACGCTCTACTTGCTATCTATGGGCTTATCACCAGTCTACTAAAACTCCTCGACCTTTCCATCGGCCTCTGTACTCAGTACGCCCTCGTCCTAGCTGGCATAAACGGCACCAGTTTCCACGATTCCATCAATGATTCCAACACCCTCTCCGACGCTAAACTCGGTTTCCCCCTTACCTTCTTCCCAGCCATGATTCTTTCCTCAGTTGTTTCCATCATCAGTGGTCTCTTCTTCTGCACCACCATCGGCGCAACCATCCTCACCGGCCTCACTTCCGCCACCTTGATCTCAGCCACCCTCATCCCAATCCTTGGGATCTCCGCCATCTCATCATCTGCCCTCGCCCTCATCGCCATCGCCATCACAGCCCAGAACCCCCCCAAGTAATCCCACCGCCTTCTCAACCTACTATGGTATAGTATAGTATTGAGTTAGTATAGTATAGTATTGAGTTGGTATAGTATAGTATTTAGTTGGTATAGCATAAAGTTAGTATAGAGTTAATGACAACTACCAATGACATCTAAATATAGGCTTATCTAACAAAAACCAAACACAAGCTGTTGTGTATGGGAGTTTCCAACACTATTTAATTGGCGGACGAGTTAGTATTAAACAAGTATTTATTGTTCGACATCATCTAAGTTACGTGATGTTTCAACCCCAATCCTAACCCAATCCTAACCTAACCCGAGATAAGCAATTAATTAGTAGTGAATTTACAACCCTTAGATAAAGATAGATAGAAATTATGAGATCGAGATTAAAAAGAGGGTGATATAGAGACCTTTCAAAGAGATAAGCGAGCGTTATATATCTGATGGAAGAGACGAGTCTCTAACTGAAAAATCTAAAGAACGCATCCAATACGCTACACCTTCTTGACAACCAACTGTGGCACTCAAGAAGCCCACTACATGAATAAAGAACAGAGAGTCTGGCACGTTTATTTATCTTTGGATGAGTCAGTATTGATTAAGAGGGACCTTTCCCCCATGGGCATGACAATAACAAAGACCAAACACATGGTGTTGCTATCTAAATCACAACACAACCCTAACCCAACCTAAACCCAACCTAAACCCAAACTCAACTCAACCCTAACCCAATCCAACTCAACCCAAACCCAAACCCAACCCAAACTCAACCCAATACTAACACAAACATAATATAACACTAATTTACTGTTATCTAAAAATTAAATACGTTATCACTAACTAAACCTTACTCAATTTATCAAAAATTTTAAGAATTAAACGCTAATCAAAATCAACCGTCATATCTTTCCTATCTACCAACCTCAGAACAATCCAAACACCAATCCAGCACCCACCTAACCTATCAGACCTATCAGGCTAGGCCCTTTCTATTTTAATATTTTTTGTTTGGCAATATATGGAGGACATTGAGTACCAATTGCGTTTCCTACTTGATTCAGCTACCCTAACTGTAGATCGCATTCACCTACACGATCCCAGTCGGCTAGAACCCTTACAATTCCTTAAGAAGTACAAGTCCCAAAAGATCATCCCAGCCTTCATTCAGGAGCAAAAGAGCGGTCATATCACAGCCCCTCTCTTTGGTGTCCCAATCGATCCCGCCCAAACCCATCATAAGCTACTCTACTGCCACTTAGCCATTGGCAACCCACTTTTCACTTCACAGGAATATGCTCTTAATTGTAAGCCACCCAAAGGCTACGACTCCTTCCTAGTCACCCAAACAAGCACCAATATTGAAGAGGTGATCTCTGAATTCAAAAGATCAAAAAGCTTATCAAACTATAGTTATATTGTCCCAGATAGGAGCAGAGTCTTAATAATTGGAGAAGTTGAGTTTACGTATGATAGTAGGCTGGAAGAGAAGAGTAGAAACAATGATACTTGTGAATTTTGTCAAATCAAAACATCAATCTCTTTTTGTTTAGCCGAACGGGCATCTTTTTGTGCAGATTGTGATATGAAGTTTCATGATAACTCTTTTACGCAAAGACACGTCCGGTACTACTTCAACCAAGTGGGAAAGAAGCGCTTCTTGCACTGCCGTGATCATTCCGCCGTTGTAGTTGACTACTTCTGCACGGAGTGTAAGATTCCTGTTTGCACGCAATGCCGGATCTTTGGTGCCCATGCTGAAGCACCCAATAATCGGCACAGATTGATTAGTTATATTGAGGCTTGTGATTATCTGAAGCTGGCTTTACTGGAAGAGACGGAGCCCGTGGAAAGGGCGCAAAGTCGGGCCCAGCAGTCAATTAGTGCGCTGGAGAAGGAGATAAGTGGGTTTGAGAAGAATGTGGAGGCAGTCAGAGCTCGATTAGATTATGAGTACAAATCAGCGATTAGTGTGCTTTCTGATCTTATCAAGCGCAGATATCAAAAGATTAATGCTAAGTTCTTGGAGGGCAAGTACTTGGAGAAGATGGCTCAACATGCTAAACAGTACCCACAAGAGGTCGATCCGTCCGTCTTAGTTGGAAACTGGAAAAGCATTGAAACGGTCAATCAAGGTCTTTCTGAGATGCCTTTGCCGGTTTGGGAGGAAGAGGCGGGTTTGGTTGTCCAGGGATCGCTTAGTGTGGTCTTGGACCGAACAGTCCCTTCCCCGACTACTCTCCGGGCTACGTATGATGATGAACTGAGCAGGCAGCGTACGGAAATGCTTTTGAAGGTCGGCCAGTTTAAGTCCAGAGAATAAAGTACAGTAAAGTGTTATCTAGTTAGTTGATATGGTTTTTAATTGGTTTATATCTTATCTAGTTGTTATTTGTTATTTTACCTTATTTATTGATCAGTTATTTAGTATCAAGTTGGTATTAGGTTGGTATTAGGTTAGTATTAGGTTAGTATTAAGTTTGTAATCTCAACTCAACTCATCTTAACCACATCCTAACTTAACTCAACTTAACTCAATACTCAACTCAACCACATCTCAACTTAACTCAATACTCAACTCAACCACATCTCAACTTAACTCAATACTCAACTCAACCACATCTCAACTTAACTCAATCTACACATGTGCGGCCATATGCTCGGGTAAGCACCGGATCCCGTTCGATCTCCGAAGTTAAGCCCGTGACAGCCTTGATAGTACTGCGATGGGTGACCGCGTGGGAACACAAGGTGCTGCACTTTTTGTCCTTCTCTCCGACTCCCCAACTCTACCTCCTATTCTAATATTAACTCAATCTTAAACTCAACTCTATTTATTTATGGAACAATCAATGTTTGGATTTTTTTGTATATTCAGTATTTCACAACTTTTCCTTTTTGGGTAATTATGAACTTAGATAGGATTGAAGGTCTGTTTATCATACGGGAGATTGGACAGCAAATCAGAATGTTGAGTTGGTTTCTATAAACGTAGATATAGACCTGAGCTTTATAGATTAGCCGTTTAAAGAAGTATCTGTACTGTTAAAGCCTTTTATTTAGGATGTCTCAGCTGCAGCCTGCTTTTTCTGATAATAGAAGTATCCACCGACTCCTAGACCACCCAACACTGCCAATACAATGATTGCGATGAGCCAGCCGTGCTCTGAGAAGAAGCCCTTTTCTGTGGTAGCGGCAGTCTCGGTAGGCAGAGTAGCAGCTTCTTCTTCCTCGTCTGAGGGTTTGTTGATTTGGGGTGGTTTGGTTATGGCAGCCTCGGCCTTATCCAATAGATCTTCTTGATGCTTGATCGGTTCGGGATACTTGGGGTCAAAGGCATGTAACATAGCCTCGGTCTGATAGAAGATTGAGTTAACCCCACTAACAAACTTGGTAAGATCTGCTTGAATAACATTGTTAGCGTCTACAACATTCCTGGCAGTCGTGTCAATAGTAGTGCTAGGATTGGTTGTCTGATGCTCTGCAAGTATTGTGCCAACAGCCGCTTTCTTGTCACCTTCCTCAAGCCATGAGGTCAAAGTAATAAATGACGTGTCAAGATTTTTGATTGCAGAGATAGCCTCAACAAAGTTAGTTCTCTCAATTTTCTTGTTAGTAGCCGCAACACAGTCATCCATGAATTTAGACAAGCTTGCAATAGACTTATCACTATCTCCAGCGAAGTATTTAGCACAGACATGTGCACTAGCAACAGCATGGAGGTCAGCGAGGCCACTACCGAAGAAGGCTTTGGAGTCGGGAGAGCAAATGGTTTCTGGTAGGCCTTTAATAGACTTGATGTATTCCTCAACAACATTGTTAACTACGGTTAAAACCTTCACAGTCTTAGGCTCTTGGAATAAGAAGTCTGGTTTGGATACATAAGTAACTAGGGCACCTTTCTCTAACTCTTTATCACGTAGAGATAAACTCTGGATAGTATTGGCTGCTTCGTGGGTGTAACTGAATTCCGGCACGGCGATCTTCTTTGTTCTTCGGATGTAACCGACTTTGGACCAGAGTAGGAAGGAAATGTACATACCAGATCTGTCCTTGCAGATAGCGTCAATATCAATATACGCTGCGTTTTTATACTCACTAGACATAAAGAGCACTGTAGATAAGTTCTGTAACAAACTCCCAATCTTATCTAAACGATGGGCAATTTGTTGTAGAGTATCCTTCTCGTTATCAAGTAAGCCTCGACATAGATTGGCCGACCAAGTTATATCAGCAAACACTGAAGCAATGTGGGTTGACAATCGTCCCATGACAGACCGAAGGTACAGACCAACGCGTCGAATCATGTTCATAACCGCGTTGCCACCCCACTCACCTTCATTGGCGTTTGGATCAGCAAACCAGGCGTGTACTTCCCGGCCAGTGCATAGATTGGGGCTGGTCAAGTCGATGGTCGCTTTAGTGTTACCCGGCAGTTGCTTGGTCGCTTCTAAAGTTTCTTTGATCATACCAGTATCGGGATTCGCTGAAAGAGCGCTCATGGCTGCTTTTACTAACGAAGTGTGAACGGTTTCAAGAGTCTTCAAACGTTGTGACCAACTCGCAGTTAACCACGCCTTCATTTTAAGTGAATTGCCAGATGTTCTGATCTTTTCTTGGATCAAGCTATAGAAGGATGTGATTTCAGATCCAACTTTTGTATACTCTGCGTTGTTGGTTGGTGTGTGTACAATAGCTAAGGCTTGGTAGTTGATGGCTGGAATGTAGTAAGAGATAGATTTGGTGTAGAGTCGGTTGATTTCTTTCTGACCGGCCGCAAACTCTTTGGCGTCGCCAGTATCAGCTTCGGTCTTCTGACGCTGGTAGATTTCAGTGGAATCTAAGTTAGCAAAGAAGTTAATCAGCAGATGGTAGGTTTTTCCGAGTTCGTACTGAATCTTTCCGGGTGTTATAGTGTTTGGAGTTAAGTAGTATTGGTGCAGAACATGGTACCTCTTTCCCAAAAGAGTCGCTTTGGTAATGTCAGCAATGATCTTTTTCTTATCATTTGCTGTTGTTTTTTCCTTAACGGCATTCAAAACCACAGACTTCTGACGAAGAAGCTTATCAACAGGCTGCTCTTTTTCATAGAATGTGTTACATTGGTGGATGATTGTATCAAACATATCCTTCTTAACTCTATCATCTTCATGAATTTCGGCCTCTCCAGCACGTTGGGCCTTGTCAAGCCCGAAAAGCTTCTTGAAGGCGCTTTTGCTTTGGAGTTCGGGTTTGATCTTTTCCCAGGTGCTCTTTTGAGCATCAGCACACTCCTTCAGTTTATCGAAACCAGAACCCAAGGTCTCCAAATGAGTGCTCCAATCCAGGTGGGCCCTAGAAATGTTCTCATTTGCGCTCTTAAGCTGGTCGCCAAAGTTCTTGCGCTTAGCCTCTTCTATCTTCTTTCCTTCTTCACTACCAAGGAAATCGGTGGCTGTCTTGCTGAGCTCGAGAGCTTGATCAACAACGTCCTTATCAATTGTCAAAGAGGGTCCCGGGGCTTTGTTCATGAACATCCGTTTCGTTTTACTGAGCATGAGGTTCAGTTCTTGATCTTTAGTAGCAGGCGCATCAGTTGCCTCGGGTGCAGCCGGTGTCTCTGTCGCAGTGGTTTCTGTAGTTGGAGTGGTTGTTGTATCTGGCGTCTTCCCAACACTTGATGTCGCACCCGGCTGTTGTGCCGTAGGAGTGACAGTTGCGTCTGCAGAAGCCCAGACATAGCCAAGATAGACTACCGCTTGTAAGAGCGGCACTAACTTCATTGATCTTCCCATAATGAATTGATTTCATCTATATTTATACTTTTAACCCCATGATTTACTCCTGTAGATTGCTTAACGGTCCACATAAATGACTTTATTATGTATTGTCCACTGATTGTTACCTATCAACAACCAATATTTTTGATTTTTAATCAAAACCGTTTGATTGGTTTTTACTGATCCGTTTAATTGCCAATAATAGCATCACAAATCAGCTAACCCAACTACAAACCAATCAATCAATCACCAAATATGATAGGTCATCAATTATCACGTACTACATCCACATACTACATCCACATACTACATCCACGTACTAATCCATTAAGTCAGCCCCAATAAAGATCTCTAAGCCACCAACAAATAATACTTTGACACCCCACTCAATCCAGACAAGAGTATATAGATAAGAAATAAAGTTAGATAAACGACCACTAATCCAAATCATTAAATCACTCACCCACAGTTTAATCAAAATATCATACTAAAATCAAAATCAAAATCAACTCAACTCAACCCAATATCATACTAAACCCAACTCAATACTAAACTCAATACAATATCTATTTAATCTGCGAAATGAGCTTCTTCTTAATACTCCCTTGACTCACAAAGACTTTACTCCCTTCTTCTCCCCCAACCTGCTGCTTAAAAGCTTCCTGAGCTGTACCCATCTCGGACATAGTCAAAGAAAACTCAAAGTTCCGCGGACTACTCCCTGGACTCTCTCGACCACGCACAATTAAAGTCATCCGCCCATCATCTTCAATCCTTAACTTACCCCTTATCTGAGTCTGATTATCTTCTGGTAAGATAGCTGGCATTTGCAAAAGATATCTTGATTCATTTTCAAACTCCTCTCTACTAGTTGTATCACTATAGATCGAACTTTTCTTCTCTAAATTCAAGCCAGTAATCGGTCCTTCCCCTAGTTTAGCTAAATCTTCAGCAAAAACATCATCACCCGCCACTGATCGAAATAAAAAAGGTTCTTCTTTTGAATTTCCTAATAAGGAAACACTTGAACTACTTATTTTTGATTTTAAATCTTTAACTGGTATCTTAATTCGCTCATTTTTAACCTCTTTACTCTCTTTTTCCATCTGAAACAGTCCAATTGGCCCATCTCCAATCTCCAGACTTTCTGATTTTACCGACTTTTCCTTAAGACTTCCATCTGGACCCCCAACCGGTATCTTTGGAACAAAAACAAGCTTTCGCTTCCCACCTAGAGTTCTTTTATCCATCGCCTGTAAAACTTTTTATGGTCTATTCACTTACAGTCGCCGTTGCCGATATTTCAGTTGAAGAATCAATCAAACGAGAGAAAGTCTTTCAATCGGCAGTTAATTCAGTTTTACCAATACTAACTAAGCATTCAAGCCTTCACATTCCTTTAGTAATGCTGCCTGGGAAGCGAGTTAAGTCCAAGAAAGAGATGCGCGAGATAGAGGATCCCAAAGTAGAGGCCAGAAAGCCACAAAGAGTTGCACGGCCGAAGAAGGAAGATGTCCGTAAAAAAGCGCAAGTAGAAGAGAAGGTCAAACAACTCATGGCCACTGCTAAATCTAATCCAGAAGGACAAGCACCCCGGCCTGGTAAGAAGGTCATGAAGAAGAAGTTCAGATTAGGAAAGAGTAAACGCCAGAAGAGAAATTAACTGAATTAAGTATTGGGTTGAGTTGAGTTAGATTGAGTTAGATTGAGTTAAGTTAGATTGAGTTAAGTTGAGATAAGAAGATAACAATAAATTGATTTGAGTTTAAGTTAAGTTAAGTTATTATACCAACCTAATACCAACCTAATCCTAACTAAATACATCCTCTATTAAAGATAGTACTTGAAATAACTTGAGATAAGTGTGGGTACCATTTATTAAATAAATACGGTTGAGTTGGAATAAGATGACGTCATAATAAGTTAGTTTAGTTTGGGTTCAATTTATTGATTATGTATTAAGTTGAGTTGGTATTGTGTTGTGTTGTGTTAGTATTAGATATCTACTTGTGTTGGTATAGTATTGATAATGGGTGGAACTTTGATACTAGTACAAGAAACACAAATAAGTAGAAGAAGCACAAATAAGTAGAAGAAGCACAAATGGCTTGCGTTAATAATAAACTTACTGCTATCTTATTGGACTAGTTAAGATTTCAAGATCATTTAATTGGCTGGTAAGGTAGTCAATATCTAACTTGTTTACTGCAAATTCGAATAAGACATCTACTACTACTACTAACCCAATAAATACCAATACGAATACTACAAATACGAATACAAATACTACTACTACAAAGACCACTAATAAACCAAACCCAACTTAACTTAAACTAAACCCAACTCAAACTTAACTTAAACTTAACTTAAACCAAACCCAAACTAAACTCAACTTAATTCAAGTAAACTATTTAGAAGATAGTCAATCACGATTTATTGCTGGCTTATGAGAAGTAGTGCAGATTAGTCTTTTTAGTAGACAGAATCTCCTGAACACCATCAATCATATCATTTTGCGTGATTACATCCCGGCCTGCTCGTAAAGCTATCATACCAGCTTCCACACAAACGGCCTTACACTGCGCCCCATTAAATCCTTCTGTTGAACGTGCTAACTCTTCATGGTTCACGGCTGGATCCATCGCCATCTTCCGTGAATGGATTTGCAGAATACGCTTCCGTCCTTCCTTATTCGGCAATGGAAACTCAATCTTACGATCAAACCGACCCGAACGTAACAAAGCCGGATCAAGAATATCAACCCGATTAGTAGCTGCAATCACCTTAACATTAGCCGCATCTGAAAATCCGTCCAACTGATTAAGTAACTCCAACATAGTCCTTTGCACTTCCCGATCCCCAATACTATCTGAATCACTCCGTTTTGTCCCAATCGCATCTATTTCATCAATAAAAATGATAGTAGGAGCCTTAGCTATCGCTAAAGCAAATGCATCTCGTACTAACTTAGCCCCATCACCAATGTACATCTGCACGAGTTGAGGACCAGCTAGTTTCAAGAATGTCGCTCCAGTCTTAGCCGCACAAGCTCGAGCCATCAAAGTCTTACCCGTTCCCGGTGGACCGTACATCAGCACACCTTTTGGCGGCTTAATATTCAGTCTTTTGAACTTCTCCGGATGAGTAATAGATAAGATAATACCTTCATGTAATTCTTCCATTTGCTTTTCTAAACCACCAATATCTTCATACGAATCTTTTGGTTTCTCATCTAACTCCATAGCCTTAACCCGAACATCATAATCCGTTTCCAACTTTTCAAAGACTATGTTCGTCTCCTTATGTAAGGCTACTAAATCACCCGGTTGTAACTCTTCGGCCGGAATTAGTCCAACAAAGGGTAAAAAAGTCGTAATCCGATTAGAAGTCTTCACTACTGCACACAAACCTTGTTTAGAAGTAGTTTCATCTACATTAGCACCAGATTGAGGTTCAGCCGATTCTAAATCAAGAATTTCAACTACATTTCCTACCAAAAAGGGTAATTGCTTATTCAACTCAATCTTTTGCATGTTTTCATGAACACGTTCTTTCTTCATTTCACAATCATACGTCATCGCTGAGATATGACTTTTAAGCATACGAACCTCATTTTCAATCAGTTTAGTACGGACTCTAATTTGGGCTGGAGTATCATTAAAGATATCCTTATTGGTTTCGGCGAGATTCTTAAGTATTTGTTCAGTCTCTGGCATAAAAACAAATGGAGATGGGCTATTTATGAAAGAAATCCATAGATTGGAATTGGAATTGGAATTGGACTTGGTGGGACATCTTTAAGAAGGTCTAGGTGGGCTGGCTGGAATTGGTTGAATGGGTGGTCAGATGGCCGAGTGGTCTAAGGCGCCAGATTAAGGCTCTGGTCTCTTCGGAGGCGCGGGTTCGAATCCCGCTCTGGCCATTCTTTTGCGGGTTTTTTTGATAGCCCATGCAAATCTCGGATTTAGTGCCCAATTTAGCCAATAACTCTAGTGTAAGCGATAGTGCTAGTAATGTTGTAGGTAGTGATAATAGTAGTAATCTTGTAGGTGGTGATAGTAATAGTGGTAGTAGTGATAACAAAATCAAAAGTAATAGTGATAACAAAATCAATACTGGTCCAAATGATAATCTTAATGTACTTGATGAACTAGGAGAGTTTTTAGATGATGCGGAAGAGATAGATAGTTTTGTGGAGACTGCTGATAAGAATGCAGTTCGTCATTTCTGTATTGCCCCACGGGCTTTTCCCTACTTGGGCTTAGCTAGTAGTACGATGGAGATACGATGTACTTATCCTTTTCAACTGGATAGATTTCAAGAACTGGCTTTACAGTGTTTAGAACGTGATGAGAGTGTTCTAGTAAGTGCTCATACTAGTGCAGGTAAGACTTTGATTGCTGAGTATGCCATCCATCTTTCTATTCTGCGCAAGCAACGGGTGATTTACACTTCGCCAATTAAAGCACTGAGTAATCAGAAGTACCGTGAACTGAATGAGAAGTTTGGTGATGTAGGTCTAATGACTGGTGACGTCACTTTAAATCCAGATAGTACGTGTATTGTAATGACAACTGAGATCTTAAGGAATATGATTTATCGAGGGACTGAAATCTTAAGAGAGACCCATTTTGTGGTCTTTGATGAAGTACATTATATGCGCGATCGAGAAAGAGGTGTAGTTTGGGAGGAAAGTATTATTTTACTGCCATCTTCTATTCGGTTTATCTTTCTGAGTGCTACTATTCCTAATGCTGCTGAGTTTGCGCGTTGGATAGTGAGTATTCATAAGCAGCCTTGTCATGTTATTTATACTGAGAAAAGACCTACTCCCTTGGAGCATTATATTTACAGTAATCAGCCGGGCCGGAAAGTAAGTGTGCGATCGGGACAGAGTTTAGTAGGAGTTAGTGATAAGGTATTTTTAGTAGTAGATAAGGATGGTGTTTTTCAAAATCACAATTTTATGCGGATTCCTAAAGATCAAAATGGAGATACGCGTAAGAACAATCGAAGTAATTACAATAGACGTCGGGAGAGTATTAATGTAGTGGAGATAATCAATATTTTACAGGCTACTAAGAACTTACCAACTATTGTCTTCTCTTTCCGTCGTAAGGAGTGTGAGAGTTATGCCATTGCGGCTAAAGAGGAGTTTGATTTCAATACGTCGGAAGAGAAAGAGTTGATTGAAACGATCTTTAGTAATGCTTTGAATAGTTTAAGAGAAGAAGATAGGAAGTTAGAACAAATTACTGGTTTAAAATCAATGTTACATCGTGGGATTGGTGTCCATCATTCTGGACTTCTACCGATTGTTAAGGAAATCATTGAGATTCTCTTCCAGGAAAACTTGTTGAAAGTTCTCTTTGCCACTGAGACTTTCTCAATTGGTTTGAACATGCCGGCTAAATCGGTGGTCTTTACGAGTATTAAGAAGTTTGATGGAGTAAGTACGCGGTTTGTAACGAGTGGTGAGTATATTCAGATGAGTGGACGTGCTGGTCGACGAGGTACAGATAAGATTGGGAATGTTATTTTGGCTTTAGAATCTGGGACTTCAGTGAGTGAACAGGAGATTAAGAAGGTTTTACATGGTCCTTCTAATCCCTTAGATAGTGCTTTTAGGTTATCTTATAATACTATACTTAATATTCTACGTCTAGATGGAATGGATGAAGAGTATATTATTAAGCACTCTTTCTTGCAGTTTAGACAAGAGATTGCTGGTAAGACTTTGTTCTTGGAAGTGGTGGCTTTAAGTAAGGGTTTAAGTGAGATAACTGAGCAATATACGGCCAGGTTAGCTAAGTTAGAAGGGAGTAAGGAAATAATGAGATTCTTCCGTTTAAAGCTGGCCTTAAGTAAGGCGGCTAGTTTACTGTTCCCGGAGGGAGTACTGAGTACGCACTTGGCCCCGGGTCGGGTAGTGATGATCCGGCGAAACGTCCCGAAAGAGGAGACGTTTGGGAGTTGTAAGGTGAGTTATCCCGATTTAATGGCTGAGATAAAGGAAGAACCGGCGGTTGTTTTTGTTTTTAAAAACAATCAGTTACAAGTGATTGGTGAAAGTGGCCGAATTGAGGAAGTACTTTTAAGTGCTGTAGTTAAGTTATCTAAGAAATCAGTGCCTATTGATCGACATACTTCGGTAGCTAAAGTAGTTAAGACGTACTTTGATGAGCGCAAGAAAAGGAAGATGTCAGAGACATTACCGGACTTGCAAGTATCACCAAGTGAATGGTGTACGCCTAAGGACTTTGGTCTACCCGATGAAATAGATAAGAATTTGCAAGCAATGAGTGCCCAATGTGAAGTCTTAAGGCAAGAGTTTATTATGAACCGATCCAAAGCGACTAGAGCCGAGATAAAGTTACTAGCCCGGGAGTATGCATTGAGTGAAACTTTACAAAGAACAGTTCAAGAGTTGAAAGTCCAAGTGCAAAAGACTCGACTGGTTATGATTGATGAGTATAATAACAAGCGTAAGATCTTACAAGCACTTTCCTATGTGGTAGATCGGAATGTTTTAATCAAAGGTAAAGTAGCGAGTGAGATAAGTAGTGGAGATGAGTTACTTTTAACTGAAATGTTATTTAACAATGAGTTTAGTAAGTTATCAGCCGGTCGGATTTGTTCTTTACTGAGCTGTGTTGTCTTTGATGAGAAATCGGATGATTTTACTCTATCTACTGAAAGTCAAGCGGCCTATACTATCTTAAAAACAACAGTTGATCGTTTAGTAGGTGAATTCCAAAGAATTGATCCACAATTCGTGGCTAAGGAGTACATTGAGAAGTTTTGTCCTAAACTGATGGATGTAGTCTATCGCTGGACAGAAGGGTACAGTTTTGCGGAAATCTGTAGCACAACTGATGTCTTTGAAGGCAGTGTGATTAGGTGCTTCCGCCGCTTGGAAGAAGTACTTAAGGAAATGTGTCGGGCTTCCAAACTCATTGGCAATGTCGAAATGGAGAACAAGTTCTCAGCTGCTATTTCTCTAGTTAAAAGAGATATTGTTTTCGCCAACTCTCTTTATCTCTAATGAGCTTATTATTTCATAAATAGTCTATTTATTGAGCTAGTTTATTGATCCGATATGTCCAGTTTAGTTTAGTTTAATATCCAATTGCTAGTCCCTCATTTGAGTTAAGTAGTGAGTTAGGTTAAGTTAGTATTGAGTTAGGTGTAGTGTAGTAATATTCTAGCTGGGTTAGTCCAATACTTAACTTAACTCAATACTCAACTCAACTCAACCCAATACTCAACTTAACCCAACTCAATACTAACCCAACCCAATCCAACTCAATACTCAGCTCAACCCAACCCAACCCAATACTCAACTTAACCCAACCCAACTTAACCCAACCCAATACTTAACTCAACCCAATACTTAACTCAATAATGATCCTATTGGTATAGTACATTGGTGTGAATATTTAGTTTGTTTTGAAATTGAATGATAAGTTGTTTTACTTTGGTTATTGAGTTGGGTTTGTATTGAGTTAGACAGATGGTTTAAGCTTATTGGTTACTTGTTATTTTGCTTGGTGAGACTATTGCTATCTTCTCAAACCAGATCTGTCTTAGAGTTGTCCCGGCCTAGACCAACTCAGTATTAGTACTAGTACTGTGCTGTTTATTATTTTATGGACGCAAGAATAGCTGACAAGGCTGGTAATAAGACTTGTGTGGTTTGTGAAGGTAAAAATCCTACTTGGGGTTGCTTTCCTTTTGGTGTTCTCTGTTGCACTCAATGTTCTGGGGCTTTTAGAGAGCTTGGTACGTCTGTATGCTCAGTTAGATCTCTATTACTTGATGCAGTTTCGGAAGAATATCTAGTTCCTTTTCGCCAAGCTAGTAATGCGACTTTTTTAGAGTGGTACTTAGCTAAAACAACTGATCCCTTAACGCCTGAGTATTTTAAGAGTGCTGAAGCCCAGCAGTACGTGCAGTTATTAAAGTCGGGTCAACTGCCACTTAAAAGGCACCAACCGACTCGATCTAAGCCAGTAGTTGTACTTCCGCCTACAAGTAGAGGACCTAAGAGTAAGTTACAATTAGTTGCTGATTCAGATTCAGAATCTCAATCGGCTTCTAATGACTCAGAAGATTCAACTGAGTTTAAAGAGGTTAAAACATCTTCCAGGTCTTCTAAAGCCTTAAAACCTATTGAAACAGAAGCACCTCAACCTAAAAAGGCCGTTAGAAGAGTACCAGGTACTATTTCTGTTGGTTCAGAAGGAAGTATGCGTCTAGGTATGTTTAAGAACATTCAAAAGGAAGGAGAGAAATCACCGTACAGTCCCAATAGTCTAGGAGGTGCTATGAAAAGCAGTAGTTACACCGAGTCAACTCCAAAAGCAGAGATTGTTCGAGGGGTCAATTATATCGGTAGTGCAGATATTCCCCAAGATACAATCACTGATAAGCTTAAAAAGCAGTTTGAGAAAAGTAAGAAGACACTTCTTAACACTCTTAAGAAGAACCCTAAACCCTAGTTAAATAAAACCATTATCATGTCCAGTTGTTTTGGGTTAGTTTGGGTTAGTATTTAGTTAATGTTGAGTTGAGTTAGGTTGATATTGAGTTGAGTTATGTTAATGTTCAGATGGGTTAAGTTGAGTATTGAGTTGAGTTGAGTTAATGTTAAGTTAAGTTGTGTTAACATATCTAAATCAAAACTAACTCAATATCAACATAACTCAATACTCAACATAACTCAACACTAACCTAACACAATATCAACATAACACTAACCTAACACAATATCAACACCTATCTATGTCAAAATCAAATACACCATATTCCTTTTATTTATCATCATACTCACTAGATACTCAACTAGCTACTAACTAGCTACTAACTAGATACTCACCTAGTTATCTTGATTGCACCCCATATTCTTTAGTATTCTTTCTCTAAGTTGTTCGTATTCTTTCATAAGACTATCTGGAGTCTCTTCTTCATGTGTTTCTTTGCGGATACTTTTGAGAAGAGTTGAGATACTTTCAGAATTCTTCTTTCTGGCATAGCTAACTTCCATTACACGTCTTAGAACCTTTGCGATCTCTTCTTCGTAGGCCCGCTTCTTCTCTTCCATTAAATTTTTGGGGTTCGCTTGCCGTTTAGGCCGTAGCCTCTTGACTCGTTAACAAATACAATGAATAAAGATGTAAATGCAGCACAGGCACTAATTAGGACCGTATAGTACTCAGAGATAGTGTAGCCTGGATCGGTTAGGCGGCTAAGTAGAGGGGGACAGATTGTATAGGCTAAGTTGATTCCACAAGATAAAAGGGAAAGACCGACGGCTAAGTTGTTGGGTGAAATAAGTAGGGGAATACAAGGCCAGCAGCAAGCCAGTAGACCGTTGGATATACCTATTAGTAGGGATGGGAGATAAGATAGTTTGATTGAGCTTAGAATAAGGGCATGGCCGAGGGAGAGTAGTAAAGAGCCTAAAGTTACACAGGATAGTCGGTGGCCGTACTTATCGGTTAGAATACTAATTACGACAGTAGAGACTAAGGATACGCCTTCTTGGATAGCTAGAATGCGACTGGTGGTTTCGTAGGATACGCTGAGACGTTGTTGTAAAATGGCGGAGGAGGCGCCGGAAAAGGGTGAAACGGCACAGGCGACTAAGAGAGTTACTGAGAGCATGTGTGGAAGTAAGAAGTGATTTTCTTGGTTGGTTGTTTGGTTGTTCAGTACTACGTCTCCTGGCTGCCATTCGCGATCAATAAGGTAGCAGAGGAAGCCGCAGACTAGGATAAGGCCGAATCCAATTCCGGCGCATAAAGGAATGCCTTGCGTAACCAGTCGGCCTAGTAGTAAGTAAGCTGTAATTGAGCCCATTCGGGCAATAGCTAGGCTAACCCCAAATACACGGCCGTACTCATGGCTGTGAAAGAGGGAAGAGAGCATTTTGTTCTGGGCAACACTGAAGCTCTCGCCACCAAGACCAATAACAAAACGACCTGCTACTATTACGGCAAAGAGTTCAGAGTAACATCCACCCCAAACTAAGCCTTGGCCCAAGACGATCAGTAAAAAGGTATAGAGCATTGTCTTACTAGTGGACAGCTTAAGCGAAGTACTAGTGATTAAAGGCAGCAGTAAGTTAGGCAGGGCGTATGCCGAGTACAGTAATGAATGCGAAGCCGCATAGTCTTCACCAAAGGTCTTTTTCAGCTCGGGAAACATCGGGGACGGACTATCATACACAAAGAAGAATCCATAAAGAGCTGCTGATGACAGCAGAAAGAGTTTAACCCTAGACTGAGCATTCCCATCCTCAGCATACTTCATTGGTTCTGAAACCACCTCAATCCCATACTAATACCACACACCTTCCCGGCAGTATTACAATGGGTTGTTTGGGATGACCAACCCTTCCATGATTGGTTCAGCCCGTATTACCACAATATATTCAACCCAATACTAGCACAACCATTGGCCAACTCTCAAACTTCACCTACCAATAAGATCACCATCTGCCTCTATCGCCACTCTCTAATCCCCAACCAATCACCAATTCCAACCGCCTCTTCCTCGTAATCAATAAATCGAACCAATCCCAATCCCAACCCAATAGGCAATACTAACCAGCACCACCTCAAAACTACAACTACTGCCACATTATAATAAATCCCGACCATTCGACAGTATACATACATAACTACCACTACCCCACCATAACATCACCATAATACCATCCTAATATCACCCTAACACTAACTTAACACCAACTCAATACTAACATAACACCAACTCAATACCAAGCCTTACTTCTTTATTACATCTGCCTCCTTCATAGTGACCAGCTGGGCCGTCTTGACCGCTCTATAGCATCCTTAATTCGCCGCGGTTGAACATCTAACATCCCTTTGGCTTCCCTCAGCATGGTCATAAAGGACCCGTCACCCGATCGGCCATTAACTATCTCGCTGACGTTCTCTTCAATATACTGAGCTAGCTCGGTGGGTCGACTTGATCCATACTCTGCATCTAATAAGATTGCCTCAGCCGCAAACGCACACAGGGCATTGCCCACTCCTAAATAGTCCGTTTTAATCACTTGCAATGGTAGCAAGTAATTCGTACTAAATGCCATTTCCATGAGCACCTTCCGCTCCATAGCAATAAACTCCTCTTTAGTATACGCACCATCACATAGACCTACAAACACACTAGCCCGACACCTCTTTGTATCTGCTACTTTCTGTCCAATATACAAACAAACAATACCCAGTAACTGAAACGTCCGTCGACTCAAGAGACTTTTCATGGCATACCCATCCACTAAACGCACACCAATTTGAAAGGCTGAACTACTTAATAAACAGTCGGTCTTCACTTCGTACATCCATTCCACTAACGTACTTCTCATTTCTAAACTCACCTCACCTGTATACTGTTGTTTCAGCTCGCCACGACCCCAAAGTCGGCCGTCCATGTGCCTGTAAAAGGTATCCAAATACTCCCAATACGGCCTTAATATTTCCCTTCTTAGAGCTTGGGCTTCACGCTTAATTGTGATCTTAATGTTTGTGTTTTTGATGTTTGTAATATCTTGGAGTGCTCTTTGCATCATTCTCTCATTTTATGAGTATTTATGTCTGAGATAGTTTTGGCGGCATTAAAATTTCCCCCTACTAATGTTATCAGATACATACGAGAAGTCACTACTAGAAAGATATACGCTTTGTATTAGTTCAGTTGTGTTGCTAGCAGCTGGATTGTGCTTTAATATCTGGGAACCATTGCAGTTTTGGGGTCCGGAGAGTCTTATGCCCGGTAGAATGTATGCCCATCATGAAACCGTTCGTTTTTCAGTTGTGTTGTTCGGGGCTTTACTCATACCATTTGTTATTTGTTGGATTAAGCGGGTAACAAAACAACGTGAGAAGCCTCTAGATACGCTTTTGGTCTCAGTTTTTGCCATTGCTTTGACTAACTTCATAGTTTGCACGTTGAAGTTTGCGATTGGTAAACAGCGGCCAGACTATGCCGATCGAGTGAGTCAATTTACATCGGGTAAGCAGTTTTTGGAAGCAACCCGGTCGTTCCCTTCTGGACATAGTGCGGTGGCCTTTGCCTGTGCGGTCTTGGTTGCCTATTCAGTTTGGATCGTCATGCATAAGTACAAGCACACGGCGCGTCATTGGCAATTGACCATTTTTGGGATAGTGACTCCTTTCCTTTTGGCTAGTTTTGTGGCGCTAAGTCGTATATACGATGGACGTCATGACGTAGTTGATGTAAGTGCTGGTGTTTTCATTGCTATCATTGTCTGTGTACTAACCGTCAACTATTTGGGCGACCGACAGGACATGTATCACAAGTGGGTCATATAGCAAATATGGGCAGTTGCCCTGTTTGTTGGAGTGGCAACTGTCCTATTGGGCGCTTTTATGACGGGTTACTACCTGCAAAGCACACCTGCGGTAGGTAACAGTGTTGGATCGGTCATTGAATCAGCCGTAAGGTCAACCGTACGATCAATCGTTGGAGGTGGTTAAGCCATGTAAAGGACGGCTAATGCATACAGACGACGTCACTAATCGTGATCATTAAAGATAGAGCTTTAAGTTCGAAATGTTTTGGTATTTACTTAGTCTTTAGTTAGTTGTTTGATAGCTGGGCTGACAGTTAGTTGGCCGATATTTGATGGTTGGGGCAGTACTCAACCCCCATACCAGACGATAGTGAGTTGCCATGGCAGCCTAATTGCAGTGATTGTTTGGGAATGTCATGGTTTGTTTGGGAATTGTTTGGATATTGTTTGGGAATTGTTTGGGAATTGTTTGGATATTGTTTGGGAATTGTTTGGGAATGTCATGAATTGTTTGAGTATTGTTTGTTGTTACTACTTTGTCCTTTTGGGGTTATAGTTAGTTTGGAATTATTTCCTTTTATGGCAACAAAAAACAACAATGACAAAACAAAAAGAGTTGAATGTTTGATTGATTGTGTGTTTTGTTTGGTTTTTAGATTAGTTTTTAGTTGTTTGTTTGTGTTTGTGTTTAATTGAATTATTTCCTTTTATGGTAATAAAAAGAAACAATCGCTAAACAATAATAATCGGATGTTTAGATTAGTGGCTAATTAAGCATTTGTTTTGGGGTTTAGTTGAATTTAAATCACTTAATATTTATTGGACTTGTGAGATAGTGGTATTGGATTGGTCTGCGTCTTTCTTTTTGATGAGGTCATAGAGTAGTGCGATTTCTTTGGCATAGATACTGGGATCGGGTGTTTCAAGAATAAGCGGGATATCAGAAAACATGGATGAATTCATGATGAAAGAGAAAGCCTCGAGGCCAATTAGGCCTTTGCCAAGGGACTCATGGCGATCACGACGACTGCCAAGTGGCTGTTTGCTATCATTGAGATGGACTCCTTTGAGGTAAGACAGGCCAACAACTGTATCAAACTCCTTCATGATTTTGGCAAAGGAGGTAGAAGTACGGATGTCATACCCAGCTCCAAAAAGATGGCACGTGTCTAGACAAACACCGACTCGGGATTTATCAGTTACACCTTCGATCATCATCGCGATTTCTTGAAACGTCACTCCAAGCACTTTGCCTTGGCCGGCCATGTTTTCAATGACGGCACAAACTCCAGTTGTTTCCTGGAGAGCGCGGTTGATCCGGCTAGAAATAAGCTGGCAGGCCTCAGCGACTGGCAACCCGCCTACATTACTGCCTGGATGAAAGTTCAGATTAGGAATGCCCAATTGTTCGCATCGTTTCATGTCGTCCACAAACATCTGATAGGCTCTTTCTCCTTTTTCTGGATCGGGCTGGGCTAAGTTGATAAGATAGGAAGCATGGGGTAGATAGTACTCTTTTATATCGCTGGAACTCTCTCTAAAGGCTTTAATAGTAGCTGGAGTGTACGGCGTGCTTTTAAATGTGCGCTGGTTCTTTAAGAACATAGCTGCAGCTTTACCTCCAATTCGCTCAACTTCATTAACAACAAGATCAATCCCATTTTGGATTGATAAGTGAGCACCAACATATTTGCACCCGCCATCTGAGCACTCTCTATCTACCTCGGCGGCTTCACTATTGGCTTGATTCTCTTTGCGCTTTATATACGCGGTTAGTTTGGCCATTCAAAGCCATGTCATGACAAATAAATATGAAGAGATTCCTAGAGCGAGTTCAAGTCATTAGCAGCGACATAGATAGGCAAAAAGAGGCCGTAGATAAGATAGACCAACTTACTCGACGAGTAAGTGGGGCTACCAACGAAAAAGAATCAAAAGAACTGATTGATAATCTTCAAAATCTTCGAGAGGACTTCTTAGAAGATATGGGCGAGGTCAAAGAACAAATATCAGCCATTCAAAAACAAGCCAAAGACCCTAACATTTCTTCTCACGAAAGACACATCAGGCAACAGCACACTAACTCGCTAATCGAAAGAACCAAGAAGTTAATTGAAACCTTCAGCACGGCCCAAACAGAATTCGGCCACGAAGAAAGAAGCCGAATCAAGTCCCAGTACATCATTGCTCGGCCAGCTGCCACCAAAGAAGAAATAGATGCCGTTGCTTACGGCGAAGAAGAAAAGGCCTCCTTCTCTATTACCGATAGCAAGCATGCTGAAACCAAGCATCGCAAACAGTCTCTCCAGAAGATCTTCCAAGGCATTCAAGAGCTATCACAAATGACAGATCAACTGAACCTTTTAGTTGATACCACCGAAAAGGATGTTGATAAAGTTGCAGTCGCCACTACTGTCGCCGAAACCAAAGCCAAAAAGGCCGATAAAGATCTCAAAAAAGCCCTCACATACCAACGACTAGCTCGGTTTGCCAAGCTCATGGTACTGTCTCTAGTCATAATTCTAATCATTGGATTCATTATTGCCATGATTGGTGGTGTTCTCTTCCTAATCATTATGACCGCCAGAAACATGTCATCATCCAATCCATCTCCACCAACCGACGGTTCATCATCTACACCCACCACCCCCACCAACAGTATCACCGACTCTCTCCCTTCACTCCCTTCTCTGCCCTCCTTTCCTTCCCTATCACCAAACTCGCCGGCTGATACTCCTCCCTCAACCGACCCAAATCCACCAACCACCACCTAATCCAACACTAACCCATCACTCCATATTATTACCATATACGCCAAACCACATCCATACTTCAACTCCCATCCCATCCCAATACCAACTAAACACTAACTAATTACAAATTCCAAGCTAGCCTTCCAATGCCCATCTTATCTCATGTCAACTTAACCAAACTCCCAACCCAACTTAACCAAACTCCCAACCCAATACTAACCCAACTCAATCCCAACTCAATAGCACACTAATAGCATTTATTCCGGTGACTCCGAAATGAAAAGAGTCCTGCTGCAGGTATGGCTGGAGTAAATCTCCTTAGTTGCTTGGTGCAAACTGTATAGATCGGCCTTCAACCCTAAAATATCTCCCTCCACAATCAAATACTTGAAATCCAACGACTTAATAGAAAACAGCCTAGTATCAGAAATTGGAGCTCTCTTACTCGTCCCAACCAGTTTGGTATACATCACTAATGTGTTCTCAATCTTCTTGATGTTCTTCTGCAGATCTTCAAAGAGGAAGAACAATCGTTTGATTGAAACGTCCCCTTTATTAGTCAGCAATGACTTCTCCATATTAACAATATTCTTAGCCTCTTTACCCACTTTCCAATTTAAGTTGTCTATCTCCCCCATAATACTCGTATGCTCCATCAAACACTTATCAATTGCTTTCCGCCGCAGAGAAATCGATCGCTCATGGTGAAGAATCTGTGTCTCCAAATTATAAGTCTGATAAGCCACAATACTATCATGAAAAGTTGTCCCAACTCCTAAATCCACCTCCAAAGTCCGCAAAAGCACACCTCCTTCCGCCAAAGCCATCTCCAACATTTCCAAGATCTTCGTCTGGTCACTAATTGTCCCAGCAACATTCCGATAAGAGAGCAAGTACTCCGCCAAACTAAAGTAAGAGTGCGAATAAAGCGACTTCAATAAGGCCAGCCGATCAAAAGGCAGCCATTTCTGTTCCAACTCTTTCTTACTCCGTGCTACCTTTTCACATAAAGTCAAGGCCGAATAAAGATTCCCTTCAATCTTCCCTATCTTCATCATCAAGTCGACCGATAAGACATTCCGAGCCACCGACAAAACCGAAAACGCCGTATTGTACAACGTATTATGCATCTTCACAAACTCAGCATACCGCCGCGCCAAAACCGACTCCTCCACCATCGCTATCTTCTGAGCAATCGATGCCCCCAAAGACCGAATATGCTCCTTAATCAGCTCAGTTATCTTCTGCAACGCCCGCACCACCGGCATAATCTTCTCCTGCTCCACATAAGCCTGCTCCGGCTCATAAATACCTTCCGCCGCCAAATAAGTCGCTATCTTACTCTCCTCCTCCTGAAACCGATTCCAAAGATCATCAAGTGCCTCAATAGTTGTTTTGATGGGAGCATGTTCCTCCACCAAACCACTTCTCTGCACATACGAAATGAACACCGGATAAACCACTACCTTCGACTCTTCCAAAACCTCAGATGGATTCAAAAACATGCTTCTAACCCAAACCACCCATTATATGCCCAACCCAACCATCAAAAAGATATACCAATAGAAAGCTAAATACTTGACGTCTCCACCACCAATCTATCTTTTTGATTTTTAACAACTATTAACTAACATCTATTTAACAAATAAAGATAAGCCATTTTGCTTTATTATGATCAAAAACCAACCAAAAGCCATGACTTCCCTCTTAGAACGAAGTCAGACTAAAACCCAAACTCAATAACAAATCCAGTTCAAATCCAACTAAATCAAGTCTCCTAATGACTCGCATGAATCTTGCCAATACTAAGCACGTACTCCCGTACTTCTTCTCCTTCGCCCACTAAGGCCCGCAAAACTCCACCTTCCCTATTACCACGCACCGACTCAGCAAAGTATTTCAATACTTCTTGCTGACCCATCTTCCGCACCGTAATAAGCACCTCCTCCACTCCTTCAACTTCATCTTTCAGTCCATACTTACCCAAAAAGATACACCGCCGCCCAATCACCCGGCCAATTCCTTCCGTAACTACTTCAACTTTCACTACTTCATTAGTCTCTTCATGAGTATTCTCACTATCTCCACTAATTTTATCACCTTCACTACTACTAATCTTATCTTTTTCTTGTTTCTTATCTAAGCCAGTAAGTATCGCCTCCAGTTCTTCACTAGTCTTATCTCCTTCTCCTTCTCCATTCCCACTAGTCTTATCTCCTCCTAAGTTGTGATTTTCCTTGATCTTATCAGTTTCAGAGACTTGTATCTTCTTCACTTGTAAATCATTCTCTTCTTCACCCGCCTTCCTCTTACTCTTCCNCCATTCTCTTCTTCTTCACTCTCTTCTTCACTCTCCTCCTCAGCACTCTCCTCTTCAGTAACCCAAGTACAACCACTTAATTCCTCCTCTTCTAACTCATCACCACGTAAGATCAAAAGGTCTACTGCATTAGGACCAGCCACTCCAAAGACAATCTCTTCACCAGCTGCTATCTCTAAATCCAAAACCTCAGTCTCACTCCGACCTGGAATAAATGTCACTAAAGGTACATCCCTCTCCTCTCCCTGCATAAACAGAACTGTCCTTCCTAGCTCAACTCCACCCTGCAACTCACCCTCTTCCACCCGAACAGCCGCATTAACTACCCGTAAACTTACCTCCTCCTGAACACTCACTCGTTGTCCACCACGAACTGTCACTGACATATACCCACTACTTACTTCCCGAAGACCATTTAAACCCGACTTACTACTTACTTCACTTACTTCACTTACTTCTCCCTCTTCAAAATCACTATCTCTATCTCCACCATCTAAATCACTATCACTCAACTCATAAAACAATAAATCAAGATCTGAACTCCCTAAACTACTCAACTGAATACTAGTACCAGCCTTTAATGGTAAATTAAGCACTTTACTCTCACAAGTATTAACAAGTAAAGTACAAACATTAATCTCTGGCTGATTATCTACTTGCATTAAAAGACTAACACGTTCAGTTTTAGCACTAATTATTGGAGTTAAACTAACTGATTTTAAAATTGTATCTCTTTCAATACTTTCTTGTGTATAGATATGTTGGGGCCTAATAGTCAGACTGTGGAATACCATGGCTAATAAAATATTTTATTCCTCTAATTAAGATAGTTACTTGGATCAAAATGTAGGCTGTTAGCTAGGGAGTAGAAACTGCAGTAGGAGGAGTTTGAGGGGGGGTTATTGCTTGGTTTAGGTTTCTTTTTAACATTACCTGATTCGTTTGAATTCTCTTCACCTAAAATAAGCTTATCAAGGGATTGGAGATCTTCTTCTTTGAAGGCGGGTAAGTCTTCTAGGAAGGGACGGGAGGGGAGGGCGGCGCATTCATAATCTTGATTAAATCCTGGATAGTTTAGTAAGAAACATTCGTAGTCTTCTTTTGTTTTCTCTGATAGTTCTTGGGGGGGTTTAGCGTAGAGGGAAGGGGTTATTTCAATTTCGGCGCGAGTGGGGGGTGGGGAAAGGTCTTTGGGGGAGGCTTGGCGTTCGTTTTTGACTTTGGCTCGTTTGTTTTGGAACCAGACCTGGACTGAACGTGGGGTCATGCCTAGTTTATCGGCGAGGGCTTTACGGAGGGCGGCATCCGGTTTAATGTTAGTGGCAAAAGTCTTCTCCAGGACTTCAAGTTGTTCTTTGCTAGTGCGCTTACGTGGCTTGACATGGAAGGGATTGTAGTAAGTATTCTTGAATTCACCTTGAGGAGTCTTATGGAAACTATCGAAGTAAGAATCTGGGCTGGTAACCATCACACGCCTCCTCTTTGGCCTATTTATATTTAAGTTTTGCTTGTCGGGACTCATATTACTGTTATTGGACATATGACTTTAATATACCTATTGGAGCGTATGTCACTTGCGAATGAGCTTTTTTGGAAAGGGTAAGAGGGTGGTCGAATTGGGTATATTTCCTTATTTGGGAGTCGGAAAGGCGGGAAGAATCTAAAAAAGGAAGTTGAAGTTTGGAGGAAAAATTATTACCATAAAGGGTAAAATATGACGTCATCAAGGGGTGAGAATTGAGTGGGATAGGAGATGGTAATGTATTAGATGAGATATAAGTTAGTATATAGTATTGAATTAAATAGATAAGTTATGTATTAAGATAAGTTATGTCCTATTGGGTTGTGTTTAATATTATATTGTCTGAGTTGTATTGAGTTGAGTTAGTATTTAGTTGGTATTGAGTTGAGTTGAGTATGTAATTAGTTGGTGAGTTAGTGTGTTAGTGGTAAATTAGGATGGTAATTGGATGGTATGGATTGGATGGTGATGGATGGTGATGGGTTGTGTGGTGTGGATTGGATTGGATTGGATGACGTGGAGATGACGTGGAGTCGGGGAGGGGTTAGTGTAGGGCTGGAATGGTTAGTGGAATGGTTTGTTGGACTGGTCTAAAAGGGAGAGTTGAGGAGGAAGAGGAGAAGGGGGCGATGGATGGATGATTCGGGGCGGGTGAGAAGAGTTTGGGTTAGTGTACGGGTGAGACGGGCGTGCCATTGGAGACGGGTGGTGGAAAGATTGAAAGGATTGGTGGGTTTGGTGGCGGCTAGGTCGAGTGCTGTAAAAAGTGGGAGGAGAAGAGTTTCTCGGGATAGATCTTGTGGGTGCTGTGGATTGGTTAGAAGAATTTCGGTAATGCGCTGTAGGATAGTGACGTAGTTGGGGGTTTCCATGTAAATTTCTGATGTTTGAGGCTGAAACATGGTATATAGTGGGAAAGAGTGGGTGTATGTATGATGGAGAGGGAAAGAGTGGGTGAAAAGGGAGATATAGGCCGGTTGATCCTGCGTGGACATGAAGTTGAGCCTTTTACTCAGCGACCTTTTGCTGAGTTAGTGCAGGAAGCGGTGGCTAAAAGAGTGGCGCATGTGGTGGGCCGGGTAGAAACAAAAGAAGGAGGGAGAATGGCAGTGTATGATGCACGGCACTTGTGCAAGTTTATGTTTGAACTAGTGATATCTAAGGAAGGACGGAAAGTGCGTGTGAAAAACTCAACGAACCCACTGGATGACCGGCAGATTAAAGGAGTGACTTTTTACCGGGTAGGTGAGGATATGGTTGGTGAGTCAATTGGTACACAGAAAGAGTTCTTGGAGTCTAGTAAGTTTAGATCGAAGATCTTTAACCGAAATGATCCTTTTGACGCGCTGTCTATTAACTTTGTCTTCAAAGATGGCGTGTCAAGTAAGATCAAAAAGAAGACAGTGATTCCGGTGCTAGTAAGTGTTTTGGTGCTACTACTGATTCTGATGGCTTGTTCCGTGAATGTACTGCGCAGTAGCCGTCTTAAAGGCCATTTGGGCGAATAAATAGATCTTTATTACTAGTGCGTTGTGTATTGATTGGGGTGGTGTGCTGAGTTGTGTAGAGTGTTGATTTGGGTGGTGTGCTGCGTTTGTAGAGTGTTGATTTGGGAGGGGTACTATGTTTGTGGAGTATTGGGTTGTGTGACGAAGTGGGCTGTTATGGATGGGTGATGATGGGTGTGAGAATCTTGGGAAGACGAATGGTATTGATGTTTGTGGCGGGGATGAGAGTGGTAGTGGCATTGTGAAGGAGAAGTTTGAGGTCGGCGCGTTGGGAGACTTCTAGAAGGATTCCTTTGACTAATGCCCCGTCTTTGGTTTCGACGGAGACTTCTAGACTTATGGCCTCGTAAAGAACATCCATCTTTGCAATGGTGATTGGTGGGATAAAAAGAAGAGCTCGGATTGTATTGCCTGGTGTTTGGGTTGGATTAGAGTGGATTAGATTGGGTTGAATAGTGCCTGGTTTGGATTAGAGTGGGTTTAGAATAGGGTTTAGACCGATTATGATGAAATCCGGAGTGAATGGCGCGGATGGACTTTGGATAATTTCCTTTTAGGGTGATAATCCTTATTGGGAAAGTTAGCCCGGGACTTTAGAAGCATACTACTTTAGGAAAGTCCTTTTTTGGACATTCCTCTTTGGGAAATACCCTAATTAGGTAAATTAAGAATGGCGGGCTTATTTACCCAATTAGGTAAGGACCAGAAGGACTCGGCAGGACTGAGAAGAAGTCTAAGCATGTCCGAACTAATAAATGGTCTAAGACTAATATATCGTAAGGTATACTTAGGTTAATATTACCTTAGAATGTATTGGCCTTGAATAATAATATACTGTAATGTATCTTTCTCTTACTAATGATTTATTGGGTTAGTTTTGGTCTTTCCGGCCCCAGGTAAGTTTGGTAGGACTGTCTGTATTGGATGGAGTTTCTGGTTTAGGAACTCGAGGCCGGTGCATAGTTGATGGTGTATCTGGTTGTGCTAAAGACTCTTCCGCTGGTTTTCTAAACCATTTAGACTCAGTAGTCGTACTTCGAGCGGGTGTATAGAAGTTAGAAGTACTGGAAGTACTAGTTGGAGGTGTATATAAGTTAGAAGTACTAGCCGGAGGCGTATAAAGACCGGAGGACTGGGAATTAGTAGTAAAAGTACTGAATGCTTTAGTGGTAGATGCAGATCCAACCTCCCGTTCGTTCTTCCAGCCGCGCTGTGGTGGAGTATAAACAGCTGCAGCTGCCTCATGGGCTGTAATGGGATCCCGAGCATTAGTCCAGCCAGAACCTGAGGCCGGAGTTGCTTCAGATTCAGACTCAGTATCTAGATCAGCTGAAGCAACGGATGAAGCAACAGTTGAAGGTGTTTCCGGAGCAGCCGGTACCAAACGTTTGGCTAAATCTTCAACTAACTCATGAACTCTTGGGGCCGAAGCCAGTACCCGAACTAACGTATCTAAATTCCTCTCTCTAGCCTGCTGGAAACGTCGATTAACCGTATCTAAGAAAAACTCAACCGGAGTAGAATCAACCGGTACTGTCTCTCTCTGGGCTCTTTCAATAGCCAGACGCAAGAGATACTCTTTCTCTTCAAAGATAGGACGTAATGGATTCCTTTTCCGGGGTTCACGTTTAGTAAAGCCAGAATTAGGCGTAGCCGGTTCACTAGGTACATCTGGAGTCCCGGGAGCATCAGTAATAGATAATAAAGGAGCTACAGGTGGAGTAGGAACTACTTCATCTTCTAACTCAACCAGATAATCAATATAAGAAGTATAAGAGTTCTTAGGATAAATATGAAGTAGACCATTCTGGACTCGATACTGAATACGATGTTTACGCAAGAAAGTAATCTTAGCCAAAGAATCCGTCTCATTAAGTTCTTCCTGAGTAGCAATTGCTCCTATATACCACTCCCAAAGCTCATGAGGAATATCCGGACTAAATACATAAGCATGACCAGCTACTAATCCTTTCTTATGCTGAGTTGGCTTATACCTAATGATCTTATCATAATCAGTTAAGATCTTCTGGTACTTAGCATACTCAGCTAAGGTAGGAATAGGCGAAATAGCCATATGTAAGCTCTGGAGACGTTCAATAGAGTTTAAGTAACCTCGATAATTATCAGCCTGTAAGAAGTACTGGGCCATAATCATCAAACACATTCTATCGGTTGAAGGAGATACCTTATCTAATTGACAAAGAAATTCTAATGATTTAAAAGCTTCATACTCCATCCCCAGTACATAGAAAGCATGAGTAAATTCAATGATTTTGACTCCTAAAGATGAATCCAGTAGATCTAATGAGTAGATTAAATGAAGAGTAGAAATTAGTTCACTAGGAATACCACTATAAATTGCTAAATCGGTCAATCTATAAATAATAGACTTAACTAAGTCTAGAGGTCCTTTCTTCATAAGTCTTAAGAAGGTCTGTAAAGCAGCTAAATCATCTAAACGGTCTCTTTTTTCAACTAACAAACAATCACACATCTTAGGTGAATCTTTGTTAATCATCAAACAATGTTTATAAGATCTAATGGGAACTTCAGTTAGACCTTCTAGATAACCAGTAATAAAGATTGTTGCATAAGGATATACTCTTCTTTCTTTAGTACTGAGTTGTTCAACAATTAATGAAGCTGTTTTGTTATCTTTGGCCTCTCTTACTAAGTCGGGTAAGACTTCTAAGATTCTTCGCTCATGAATAAACACTCCAATTCGCATTTCAATGTCTTGCACTGGAGCTTTCATCAAAAAGAAAAGGCCAAAATTATGCACTATATAGCTAAAGGACTAGAAGAAAGTGGTCGAGTCTTGTTATTGGGTGAGTTTTTAAGAAGGATAGGGATTGAGGGGGGTTCTGTTTTATGGAATGGTCTTTATAGTGGTTTAAATGCTCGGGGTAGGTCTCCTTTAGTTAGTGGATTAGTGGCTGGGTATGTTACTGGTATTCCTAATCAGAAGAAGATTCTTAAATCAACGGTTCTAGGGGGTGTATCTGGTACGAGTATTGCTTTAACCTCTAAAGTTATTCAGCAGTTGTTGCAAATCAAGATATTTAACAATAAATAGGTTAAGTTAAGATTGAGTTAAGTTGGTGTTGAGTTGGGTTGGTATTGGTATTGGTATTGAGTTGAGTTGGTGTTGGTGTTGGTGTTGAGTTGAGTTGATATTGAGTTACTGAGTGGTTAGATGCTGTTTTCAACTAATGCTAAACTAATACTAACACAATGCTAAACTAAGACATAGTCATATTAGATACTTGTAGGATTTATTGAATAAAGTATCAACGTATTGGATTGGTGTCTTCTTAAACCAAATACATACTCTAGTTGTACTTTACCAATCTCTAACCCAACCCAACCCAAATTAACTCAATGGAACTACTGATAAAGAATAAAGATATGTTGATTTGTATGTGTCTCCTGTGAAACATACTGTAATGCAATACCAACTCAATACTAACTCAATACAAGCAAAGAATGTGTTGGTGTTATGTTGAGTTAAGTTGAGTTATGATCTGCTATGTTATGTTAAGTTGTGTTGGTGTTCTGATATAATATGTTAATATTGAGTTATGTTGAATCGAGTTGAGTTGTTGTTATGATATGTTATGTTATGATACGTTATGATATGATATGTTATGTTATGATCTAATGTATTATGATATAATATGTTGGTGTTATGTTATGTTATGTTATATCATTGTGTAATTGTGGTTTAGACTGACTTACTCTTATTTGAACTCTATGTTAATCCTAACTTAATGTTGACTTAACTTAATGCAACCTAAAAGTTGAGTTTATGACGTAGCCAGAGAAGAGGATTTGATAAAGTTAAAGAGAACTTAAAGTGTATCTAATTTAAAATTAGTTTGGGTTTAGTTTCAATTTGAGTTGACTTTAAATTCGAATTTAGGATTGAGTTGGTATTAGTGTAAATAGTGATTTGGAATCTGATTAGGTCTAAGTGTTCTATTGGTAGTATAACTGAATGTAGACATAAGATAAGATGTAATATGGTGTAGTGTGGTGTGTTGATGTAAGATGAGATTGGAATGAGTGAGATAAGATAAGATAAGATTGGAATGAGTGAGTGAGATAGCGTGCTTGAGTGAGATAAGATGAGATTGAATTGAGTGAGATAAGATAAGATTGAATTGAGTGAGATAAAATAAGATAGAGATAGCATAATATAATATAATATACGATTGAGCAAGATAAGATAAGATTAAGATATAAATGGGTTTATTATAAGGTTTATTTAGAGAAATGCAACAGTAACAGAACCAGGGCAAAAATCAAAATTAACATGGATAGAAACCGCCGAGAAGCCTTTCTTCTCTCCGTGGCACTCCGTAAATAGTTCTTACTGATCCGGACATCAACTGATGCCGAGGTTGTTTTGGTCAAAATAGTATCAATTCGCTCATCTTGCGAAAATATCTCTTGCGTAATTAACTTCTGCAGTGTATCTATCTCAGATATCTTTCTTTGAATAGTAGCTACTTCCCTTTCCGTATACTGAACTGATTCTAAGATCCGCTCGTTCTCTTCCCGTAACAACTGCATCATTGGTGGTGGCGTACGTGTAGAAGGAGCTTTCTCTGGTTCTAAAGCAATATTAAGAGTAGACCTTCTCTTCCGATGTCGTTTAGTCTCTAATTTACCTCTAACCTTCTGTAAGACCGTATGTAAGGCTAAAGCAATACCATTAAGAAACATACTATTATCCTCGGTCATTATGGACTCTAAAACTGTTTTTAATGACTCTTCCTGAGATTCAGACACTTTAACTGATCTTTCTATTTCAGCATATTCAGCTGAAGTAGCTCGATCTATCGCATTATAACAGCTTATCAGAGCTTCTCTCTGCTCAGTCGCCAGACTAATTGCTGTGGCCAGTGGGTCTATCGGACTAGTACATCGGTCTTTTGGCTGGTTTTGAGTAGCCAACACCCAGAATTCCTCTGTCTTATCCATAAATTTTAAATTAGAGGTATTCCGAAATTTGTTTATCCCCTTCGGCTAAAACATGATAGTTGATACGAGGAATGTAATTCTTCTTAGTTGTATCGATGAGAGGAACTACTTGATATGGCTGGATTTCTTCTGGAAGTTCTTTAGTTTCTGGGTTTGTATAAAGATTAAAAGTAGATATCTTATTATGAGATAATTTTGAAACTGATTGGACATTATTTGGGGTGGGTGCTATCCAATTGGGGTAAGTTTTAGGCACTAAAAGTGAAGAAGATGGAGAGAGAGATGACGTGTCCATTTAAAATTTTATGGAATGTGTTAAGCCTATTACGGCTGAATTAGGAATTGCTGATTGCTTGGCATGTTCTGGATGCGTAGGAGTGGCTGAACCGGATGTTCAGAAGCACTTAAAAGGTTTAGAGTTGATTAAAGTATGTTTAAATAAGGAGAGTAGAGATAGTGCTAAGATTGGAGTTGTTTGGAGTGTGCAAAGCAAGTTAGCTTTATATTGGCGGTGGCTTAATAGAATGAATGAGTTGGGTAAATTAGATGGTCGAGATAAGGATATAAATGAGTTGGGTAAATTAGATGGTCGAGATAAGGATATAAATGAGTTGGGAGTTAGTATTGTTAGTAAAGATGGTAGAGGTGTTGGTAGAGATGGTGGTAAAGAGTATAGTATTGGTAAAGGTGGTGGTAGTGTTGGAGGTGGTAGAGATGGTAAAGAGTATAGTATTGGTAAAGATAGTAGAGATGATGAAGTGGATGTTAATGACTTGGATAGACTGGGGGAGAATGGGTGGATTTCGTTTAGGGAGTTTGAGCGGCGGGTTCTTTATTATATGCAAGATGTAGCTGTGATTGATGCGAGTTTTGGGAGTCGTCGGCTTTTGGAGGTGGAAAGTATGAAGTCGGGGCCGGTGGTGGCTTCTATTTGTCCGGGAGTAGTGGCTTATGCTGAAGGAACGGCCCATCATTTAGTTCCTTATTTAAGTCGTAGTTGGTCACCGATGGAATTAGCAGCTAAGTACTGGAAAGATAAAGGGTATACTGTAGTGGCTATAATGATGTGTAAGGATAAACGGATGGAATCAGAATGGGGATCAGTAGTTGATTATTGTTTAACAAGTAATGATTTGTATACTGGTTTATTCGAGGACTTAGATTTACCTGTTCCGCCTGAGTCTTATCAGCCAGATAGTTTAGGTATGTCTTTTCCACTGCCTGGTCATTCTTCGGGAGGTCTTTATGAAGGAATTAGAGACCAATTAGATCCAAATAGTATTATAGCCCAAGTTAGTAAAGAGAACTATCAGGAAGTGACTTACCAGAGTAATAATCAAATCCGTAAGATAGCGCAAATTCATGGCTTACCTCGGGTTGTTTCTTTTGCCACTAAAGCCAAACAACCTGCTTTCTTAAAACAGTACCACTATGTAGAACTCATGATTTGTCGTCGTGGGTGTCTCTATGGTCCATCCCAAGGCGCAACTGTTCCAGAAGCTGAGTATGCTGCACTAACTTCCCCTACTATATCACATCCCAACCCCATCACCAAACAAGATGCCCAAACTCTCCAAAAGCGCCCCTTCCTTGCCAAGTTAGCTACCCGCAAGTCTTTTGCCGTCAAATGGTAAGCACCCTCCTATCTAAAACATCCATTGCTACTAACTGCAATACTACCATACGACCACTACCAACCCAAGACCAATACGATCAACCTGATTACTGGCCAGCCATACACCAATAACTATCAATTGATATTACTACGAATACGCAACTTTAATATAACCAGGGCATTTTAATCAACTTAGTTTTGCATATCTACAATTTGATATGACGTCATCTTATTTCAACGCACCCTTATTTACTCAATAAATGGTACCCACACTTATCTCCAGTACTACCTTTAATAGAGCATGTATTAGTTAAGTATTAGTTAAAATGGAGTTAGTATACTAATCCAGTAAGTATCTCATGAATAAATACAATCAAATACTAACTCAATCTAAACTCAACTTAGCCAAATACCAACTCAATCTAAACTTAACATAACTCAACCACATAACAACTCAATCTAAATCCCAACACAATCTAACCTAAACTCAACTTATTTCTACCTGTTTTATTCTATTTACTGGGCTCCTTCTTCATGTTACGGCGAATTGGCTCCTGGGTGCGAGCATATCTCTGGTACCAATCAAAGTCAAAATCATACACAAAGTTATTCCGTACCATGGCATTAGCAAAGATCTTCTTGGCATACAAGTAGTCAGGCATATCATCATAAGCCAGTGTCTTGCAGTAGACCAAAAAGTCCTCAAAAGCCGGATCCAACCCACTACACAGTTCAGCCGTATCCGTAGCACATTTTATCTCGCCAATTCGTGCATACTTACTCTCCTTAGTACTAGCCTTAACATTCTGCCAAGGCAACTTCCCCTTCAAAAAGTAGATCAGCATATAGGCTAAACTCTCTAAATCATCCCGCCGACTCTGACTTATCCCTAAATGCGTATTAATAGAAACATACCTTACCGTTCCCACCAACTTCTTACCAGTAGCCATAGGCACATGCGCATAAGTTGTAGCCAACCGATAGTGACAAGATAGTCCAAAATCCAAAATGTAAAAAGCATTCTTCTCCAACCGTTCAGCTATCTCTCCCTTGCCAGAATAAACACCAAAAGCAAAGTTATCCGGCTTAATATCTCTATGTATAATATGCTTATAATGCAAATACTCCACCCGCGTAATTAGCATCTCAGCTAACATCAAAACAGTCTTCAAACTAAACCGGCGCTGGCAATAGTTAAACAAACTCTCTAAAGACGGTCCTAATAAGTCCATAATCAATACATCACGTTTAACTCCCTTGATATTAACAACCCCAGCATGATAGATCTTACAGATATAATTACTTTCTGAACGTAATTCCTTATAGATAACATATTCTTGTCTTAATTGATTGTTCCCAGCCTTCTTCTCTAGCTTAATTGCAACTCGATCATGAGTCTTAGTACATTCACCTTCATATATCTCACCAAAAGCACCTGAACTAATCTTAGTTAGCACCCGAAATCTTCCAATACAGGCATCCTTGATGTTCATACTTACAAATTTTGGCAAACATTAAAATTAGAATTAGATATGCTAAGGAAGCGATTACTGAATGAATTAGAGCGGATCCTTAAGAAAGATGAGTTCGAATGGAGTGTCCTAGTCCTGGACAAAATTGGACAAGATGTGATCGCACCACTCTTTCGTATGAGTGACTTGATGGAGATGGGAATTGTGCAATGTTTAAGATTAGAAGAAGAAAGACCAAAAGTAGTTGAGGCTCGGGCGGTTTATTTAGTAGCTGAAACGGCTGAGAATTGTGGGATTATTGCTAAAGATATTACAGGGGGATGGTATAGATCGGTTGAGGTGATTTTTACAGGGGTAGTAGGTCGATCTGAATTTGAAAGTTTGGCACAAGTAGTTGGAGCCCAAGGTGAAAGTAGACGAGTAAGACGAGTAATGGACGGATTAGTGCGGCTTTCAATGGTGAGTGAGCGGTTTTATAGCTTGAATTTGGAGGGGAGTTTTATGGCGGGGGGAGAAGAAGTATCGGCAGCTATAAAACTAGGGATATTATCATTGTTGCGGGGTTTGGAAAATCCGGTGATTTTAAGTGAGGCTAAGTATATGGGTTTAGGGGAGAGTATAATGAATCGAGCGAAAGAGTTGGGAGTGAAAGGTCGGCCGGGTAAAAGGTCGGCGGCGGTAGTTATACTGGGTCGGGAGATGGACTTAATTACTCCGGTAGAGCATGGATGGACATACGGGTCATTAGTAGTGGATTTATTGGGATACGATTTGAATAAGGTAACTATTCCTGGGAAGATGGTGCGTACGGATGGAGTGAGTGGTGGAGATGAAGGGAGTGATGTAGGTGAAGATAAAGTTTTTGATTTAAACCGATTTGATCAATTTTGGGCGCAAAACCAGAATGAGTACTTTCCAACGGTTGCTGAACGGGTTGAGCAAGAACTTGGTGAGTATAAGGCAGATTTAGCGCAACGATCAATCGATTCGTCCTCTTCGAAAGAAACAATTTCACAAGCACTAGCGCAAGTACCGGAACTGTCTCAGAAGAACAAGCAGATTCATACGCATATGACTATTGCTCTGTCCTTGGTGGAAGAGATAAAGAAGCAAAAGCTTGATGAGATTGTAGGATTGGAGAATGACACAAGTAAGATAGCAGAGATAAAGGATGAGTTGGAAGACCTACTGCCTAAAGTATCAGCAGAGAACTTCTTGCGGGCTTTAGCCGTTCTAACTAGTCGATTCCCGGAAGAGTCTGGCTACTTGGAAGGTTTAGCGCGTAAGAAGGGATGTGCCGTGGAAGTCCTGCGGTTCTTAGCTCAGAGTCAGGAAGAGAGTACGAGTGAGCGACGGTCAATAGTTTCGACTGCGGCCACTTCACTCTTCCGGAACATAAAGCGTATTCTGCCTCTGAAGAAGAAGATGCCCATTACAGTAGCTGTTCAGGACATTCTGAACCGGCGCACGAACTACCAGGCCGTGGAGTTGTATCCTAACCAGAACTTGAACTATGCCTCAGTGCATGTTTTTATGATCGGTGGAGGAACCTTTACGGAATACAAGAGTCTAATGGAGCTAGCCGAAGAGACTGGGATAGAAATAACGTATGGGGCCACAGAAATTCTAGTGCCTAGTAAGTTTCTGGCCAGAATAGCCGAGATATTGGCAACTAAATAAAGAAGTATTCAGTTGATATAAGATAGTATTAAGTTGAGTTGAGTTGAGTTAAGTTGAGTTAAGTTAAGTTAAGTTAAGTTATGTGTAGTGTTAGTATTGAGTTAAGTTGAGTTAGTATTGTATTAGTATTGAGTTAAGTTGTGTATAGTTGATATAAGACTGTGTTAGGTTGAGTTTGTGCTAAGTTATGTGTAGTTGGAAGACATCGATATTTAGATGTGCATTGGATTAGTACATTGTGAGTTGAAAGAACCCAACACTAACCTAATTTAACTTATTTGAGTGCATATCTGGCTTGAGATAAAGTAGGCTGGAGATAGGGTAAATTAAAGATAGAGTAAGATAGAGATAAGATGAAGAGACAAAGTGAAGAGATAGAGTCAAAGACCATGTTTATTTAAAGAGAATCTTTACGAAAGGTACTGGAACTTCATTACCTTCCTCATCCTCAATAACCGGATCAACTCGGGCTGAAAGAACTCCGGCGGGAATACCGCCCGGATAAAGTATTTCCGAGATCTTCTTTTGGAAGTTGGCCTTGAACTTAGCCGTGTTGTAGAACGAGCAGTAAAGCATAGTTAAGTCGTGCATAAGGGTTGAAATCTGCACATTCCATTCTTTGTTAAGTCGATCAAGTACTTCTTCCAAAGTACTATCAGCAATCTCTACCCGGTCCCATTGTGAAATCGTAATGGTTTTACTGGGCAGTTTCTGAAGTGTCTTATGGGGTGGTGCTGGCTCACTATGCGCTAAAAGAGGAATGGCTAATGAAACATAATTGTTCATGTAGATATCCTCGGCTTCCGGCCTATCTTTCCAAAACAAGTACTTTAATCCTTCCAGAATAGCCAGTCCAGATACAACAGCCGTTGTAGTTGCAATAGCTGGAATAATCCGGCCAGCTACTTTCTTGGCCTCCAAAGCCGTGATTGGAGTAATAGAGTAAACATGGCAACGAATATTAGCGGCCGAAGAGATAAAATCAATATGTCCATTCGTCTCAGAATCCTTCTCAAACTCTTCTTCCTGTAACGAAACACGAATATCTACCTCACCTTCTGGCACTGAATCGTCTTTCTCCAAACGGGCTTCACGAATAGCCGGATCAATATGGGCAGCAATTTCCGCCGGACTGAACTGCTTAGCCGGCAGATTGAATGTCCGGCTGAGTATAGCCTGGGCTGAATTAATGAACAGTAAGTGCTCCGGATCTTCAACCGATAAGTCAATAGGAGTCGGCATTTTCTTAGGTGGAATCCAAAAAGGCGTACCCTCCTCAGTCATATGATTAGCCGGGAAGGTTTCCAAAAGCAAAGCCGGCGTCTTAGTGAATCGCTTATAAAAGAGCTTAATTGCTTCTACCAAGGCATCCTCAGGCGTTTTAGGCCGAGTAGCTAGCAGGCGTTTTACTTGTAAAGGCAGTTCAGTTACAGCTGCTTCACTAATGGCCGATTTAGCCTCTAAAATCCGCTCCGAGAACAAAGACTTGAATTCAGCTAAAGCCCATTCCACACAATGCACCGGCAAGTGCGGAAAGTTCCTAATCGTGCACAAAGGAATAGATCTTTCCTGCGGATCATCCGTATTGCCATAATGCTCTGTTTTATAAGGAATAACCGTCTGTGTATGTCCTTTAGTACCTAAAGTCCCGGCATCAATCATTGGAATTTGCTGGTAAATAGCCGTCTTATCCATGTACAGCCGAGCATCCACATTATCTAAAGCATTAAGAATTACATCCACTTGGGCATAAAACTGGTCGTTAAACAGAGTTTCTGTCTCCTTCCCTACTTTAGAGGTATAAGCCAGCATAGCTGCGTTCATGTCCTTATTAAGAATAGCGGCTTCACGAGTAGCCACCACCGACTTCATTTGCGAAATATCACCCTCTCTAAACAAGAACTGCCGGTTTAAGTTACTCTTCTCAATAGCATCCATATCAGTTACTACTAAACGTTTGTCCTTCCCAGCACCAAGTAAGGCTAAGTTCTTCAAGTACTCGCACCCAATAGCACCCGCACCCACCACAAACAAGCCCGCCTTAAATATCTTATCTATATCGGCACCCACTAAGTTATACAAAGATAAGTACCGACGATCACTCACCATTTCACTACCAGCTACACCACTACCATTAAATCCCGCCGCTTTCCTTTCAGCAGCATAGTACCTCTGAGGAGGCAGCATTTCCAAGGCACTGTAGTACAAGAACTGCTGTAAAGGCATGAACTTAGCACTACAAGCCTTTAAAGCCTCATGCGCCGCAATACCTCCAGCCACCGAAGTAATGGGAGCAATTGACTCCCAGCACTGTCTAAAGAACTCTTCCACCAGAACTTCTTCCTGTTCAGTCAGACTTACCCGGGCTTTGAACTCCTGGACTGGATCTACCTTACTAGCTAGCTCATCAGCCCAATGGAAGCATTTATGCACCAGTTCAGAGGTAGGCTGAGTACTAACAATCAAAGGATTCTCTAAAGCCCGAGCTAAATCCTTAAAACTCACCACTTTCTGTCTCTTCACCTGCTCAAAAGACTTACCCACCAGATCTTCACCACAGTACCCTTGAATAGAGAACTTAAAGGCTTTAGCATCTCTAACAGTGTACCGCTTAGCTCCAGCCCCTTTTATCTCAATCTCATCTCCATCCTCTAAATTATGCCGTTCCAAAACGGCCAAAGTCACTTCACCCGTTTCCGAAACACTCTTAATTGTTCCCAGGAAAGGTTCTTCACCAGTGGCATCAGTTGTAATAAAGCTTTCCCCAAAATCACAGAAGACTTCCAGGAAGAGACCTTTTACACGAGCAATCACCAAAGGCACTTCAGCTTCCCGGCACAAAGCACTTACTCGTAATTGTTCTTCTAAGACTTGGTCACACAAAACAACTACTCTAAAGACTGATAAATCCGAAGGAAACTCTTCTAAAACCGAGACAGATACTTGACTGTTTAAAGCTTTCAGTTTATACTCCACACTTTTATCTACCCGATCGCCAAGATCAGAGTCCGAGCAATAAAAAGCCGTCCCTAAATCTTCACTACGAACCGGTTCCTTATCTAGAATACTTACACTCCGTACACCAGCCAAACACAAATTCTTAGCCACTTCTAAGCCAACTCGACGCAAACCAACCACCAGAACATTTGACCTAAGCATTCTCTTCATTGCCTCACTACCAATCACATACAATTGACGCGAGTACAAACTTTCATCTACTTTTGGGGACAAAACTCTCCCAGGCATTCTTTCCGGCATAAACAAATAAACAGAATCCGAGGTATATATTGAGTTGAGTTGGCTTAAGTGGGTATTGAGTTGAGTTAAGTTGAGTGGGTATTGGGTTGAGTTGAGGTGGTATTAAGTTAAGACAATCTAATGCAAGTGTATACTGTCCTATTGGGTTAGTATTATTATGAGCTTATCTGTCTTAATGTTAGCATTTAGCATGTAATAAAGTCAATGAAGTCAATAAAGCTAATGACTACTTATTGAGTTAGTTTAAGTTATGTATTAGTCTAACTCAACCCACCCCACCACAACCCATCCCAATACTAACACAACCCATCTCAACATGGTATATATACATGATTTAAGTCTAAGTACCCAATCATATTCCAATCACATTTCCACCCAATACCAATCCAATCACATTACAATCACCTTCTAACTACATATGCACCAATCACCTAATACCAACTCAACTCAACACCACCTCACCTCACCTCAACACCAACACCAATCCATTATTTTCCTTTTATGGTAATATATTTACAGACACCAACCCAATACTTACCCAATATTTTCTCAACCCAATACTAACTCAACACACAAACTCAATACTAACACCAACACCACCCTAACATAACATAACACAAGATAAGATAAGACAACCAAAGCATATCTACTTATTAAACCCAAGACTTTGTTTTTTTTAATGCAGCGCGATTGGAGTGCACGTATCGAGAAGGTTCCAGTGCAAAGTAGACCGTATAAAGCCGGAGAAGTCCCTAGAGAGGAAGTCGTTAATATTTCAAAATCACAACAAGATAGTGATTTTGATAGCCAAACAGTCGAAAAAGAGTATCCCCATCTCTTTAAACCACTAGATAGTGAGATAACAACTCCTATCTTAGTTCCTATGCACTCTACTTGGTTTAATCCCCAACGCATTCATGATATAGAAAGAAGAACCTTTAAGTTAGAAGGAGAAGAAGAACAAAACAAGTACATGGAGATAAGAAATAAGATCTTTAATATCTTTCAAAAGAACTCAGATATGCATTTAACAATTACTCTCTGTCGTAAAAATCTTATCGCTGATATCTCAGAAATCATAAGAATTCATTCTTTTCTAGAACATTGGGGTTTAATTAACTACAAGATAGGAGTTAAAAGAGATATGGCTGGTATGTTATCTAAAATCAAAGATCAAGGCGTTGCTTTAAATGATATCAATTTAGGTTTAGGTTTAGGTGATGTAAATATTAAGTTGGCTAGTAATAGTAGTAATGATTTAGATAAGACTGATTTAGGAGATAATTCAGATAAGTCTGAATTAGATAAGAATAATCAAATCAAAAACAAAAACAAAAATTTAGATAGTGATAATAATTTATTAGTAGTTGGTGAGTCTAATCTTAGTCCAGCAGGTATTCTGCCTAGTCTTACTAAGAGTCCAGTCGATCCTTTAAGAGATATGTCTAAGACTCATCATGTTCAAAGTAGTGGGCCAAGGATTACTAGTATTCCTAGTGCAGTTGAGTGCACTGAGTGCCATAAATCTATGAATGGTTTAAGTGGTGAAGATAAGATTTATTTTGCTGATAAGGAAAGAATTATCTTATGTAAAAGTTGTTTTGATTTAGGGAGATATCCTAGTAATTTCTCCTACACTAACTTTCACTTGCTAGAAGCAGGGGTTATTAGACAGATTTGGACGCCCGAGGAAGAGATGCTTTTACTAGAAGGAATTGAAGGGTACAAAGATAACTGGAAGGCCGTAGCAGCTCATGTTAAGACTAAAACAGTTGAACAATGTGTTTTACACTTTCTAAAGATGGGCATTCAAGATCCATTGATTGAAATGGAAGCTATCTCGTTTATTGAAAGTAAAGTCCTCTTTAACTATACGCTTAATCCGGTTATGTCTACAGTGGCTTTCTTAGCTAGTGTAGTGCATCCAGGTGTAGCTAGTGCAGCAGCTAAGGCGGCGGCTGAGGAGATACAGAGATTAGCTGGAGAGAAGCAAGATCAAGTAGAGGAAGCACCTTGGCTTAATGATAGGTTGAATGAGATAGCAGCTGTGGCCTTATCTGCCTGTCTTAGTCGGGCGGAGGAGCAGAAGAGTTTAGAGGAGGGGAAGAAGGAGCGGTTATTGGAGTTATTGGTGGAAAGTGAGTTAAAAAGGATTGAGCATAAGATAGCTGAATTTACTGAACTATCTAATACATTGAAGAAGGAAAGAAGTGATTTAGAAAAGATGCGTGAAACATATCGTAAAGCTCATTTTGAAGCCCGGAAAGAGATATCAGAGATTGTATCTAAAGTAAGAAAGATATGTGAAGAGACGGGTCGTAACTTCGAAGAGATCTTCTTTAAAGAGCAGTAATCAATTAAGTTTTGGTTTAGTTAGTATTAGGTTGGTATTTTGGTATCTTATCTTATTTTGATATCTTATCTTAACCCAATTCATCTTATTATCAATAAAAATCACATAAGTAATTGTAATGCCCATGGGATGGATAACATCCATTAGCCAATACATACTCCATTAAAGACATTCCTTGAGACGAACACTGGCACCGTTTATTAAGTAAATGTGGCTGTGTGTGAGAGGATGACGTCATATCGAAGTATATCGTAGATATGCAAAACTAATTTGGTTATAAGACCCTGAGTCTATTAAAGTTACGTGTTAGTATTGGTTTAGTACTAAGTAGTGAGCAGCTTGCCAGTGATCAGGTTGATCGTTGTGGGAAATGAGTAGTGGTCGTATGACAGCACTACAATTAAGTTGAGTTAAGTATTAAGTTGAGTTAGTATCTATAATGCATTCATAGCTAGTAAGTCTTATGTGCAACAAGTATAGCTTCATTAAATATCTCTTATGTAAGCATACCTTTAATTATCATAACTTAATCACAAATAAACCATATCTTATCTTATCATAATCTTATCATAACCCAACCCAACCCAACTCAATCATAACCCAACTCAACTCAACCCAACCCAATCCAACTCAACTCAACTCAATACCAACTCAACTCAACTCAACTCAACTCAACTCAATACCAACCAAATTAATAAGCTAATTTCTTTGTTTGGCCATGCATAATATGGACTCTTTATTGGAGCAAGAGAAACACTTTCGATTGAATGGTGAAAAGGAGCAAAGTACTCGTATTCTTCAGGAACTAGTAGATCATAGTTTGCCCCAGGGTTCTGAATCTCTTTTAGAAACGATTAGACTAATGGGTAGACGAAAAGGCCAGATTAAAGAAGCCTTTGAAAAGATGATACTTTATGCCTATGATAAGATGCTTAAACAGACTAATACTACACTTTCTCTTTATTCTTATCGTGATACACCTTTAATTGATATTAAAGAAGCCTATTCTACTCCAGCTAGCACTACGGCTAAAGATACGCCATTCTTGCAATTCCTGCAGACTCTGCTTAGTACGGTTATTGAGGGTAAGATATACTTGGAAGGTTTGCGTGTCTTAGTTACTGATGCGATTAAGCAAATCTATTTATCACAAGGAGATATTCAACAAGGTTTACTTAGTATCTATAATGTTAATGTTGAGACTTTCTCTTCTTTACCGGTTGATGAAGTTCTTAAGTATCAGTTGGAACAAATGCGCTTATCTATTTTGGCTAAAGATCATGAAAAGGCTGGTATTTTGGCCAATCGAATTAGTCAAAGACAGTTGCAAGAAGTGCCTAGTCTTAAACCGGCTTATCTTAACCGGATGATTTTTGTTTATCTGGGGAAAAAGGAGTACTTTAATGTAGCGGCTATCTTTCAAGAAATGACGCAATCAGATGAGGAAAGTAGTAGTACACTTACTCATTCGACTGCTCCGGCTTTTACTATCTTTTATGCCCTTCTTTCTCTCTTCCATAGTTCGACTCCTTATCTCTTACAGAAAAGTACGGAGCATAAGCTTTGTTCTGATGCCGCTCGGGTCTTAGGAGAGAAGTTCTTGGCTCGCCATCTTATTCAGCCTAGTGCTTTGTTAGCCGTACTTAACCAATCAGAAATCTTCCCAGAACTTATCAATTACCACCAAAAAGAGATAGAAAGAACTATTCTACAACATAATTTACGAGTAGTCTCTTCTTACTATACTAGGATTACTATTCAGCGTATGTCAGAAATCTTTCAAATGCCCGAAAAGGAAATTACTGATCTTATCACAGAAATGATAAGAGCCAAACTTATCAATGCCGAAATAGATCAGATTTCAAGTACGCTCACTATTCATTCTAATCAAAATGAACTAGCCGAATGGACCAGTAGTATTGAGAAGTGGCTTGATCTCCTTATAAAAATAAGTCATCGCATCTCTAAAACCGAGCAATGACCCATCGTAGCACTAAACATTACCCTGCGCAGGGCATCACCATTACTATTCTTAGCCGCGATCCTTTTCCCGAGCAATCTCCACAAGTTAATGACATTCTGGCTTCTGGATCACCTGGATACTATACGGTTGATCAGACTTCTACTCCACCTCGAGTAGCCTATAGCACTCAACCTCCTTCTGAAAGTCTCTTTCTTCCTCCGGAGCATTTCCAGCCACCACCCGATCCTAATGATCCCTTCCGTAAGTTTGATCCAGATAATGACCATCTACCTCCTCCCGGCAATCCCTCTTATTTCATCTAAACCTCACCATCTCCTACTTACTATCCCCCACTCACCATTTCCCACCCAATACTTCCCACCCAACACTAACCCAATACTCTACCTAATAGGATGAAATAAACTCATTTGAACATCAACTGGTTGGCTTATCTATTTATTTGTTCATTTACTGATTTGTCTTTTGAGTTGCTTAGATCTATCTAATCCAATCAATCTAGTTACTAAATCCAGTCTGCAAATTCTGATTAACCAATAAGAATATTGTCTTGACTTATCTAAAGGCGTATTTAAATAGAGATGGGATTAGCAGGCCACTGAAATACATATCTCAATTCTACTATGTCACTGCCATCCCAATCCCGCCCCACTACCATCCCAATCCCATTCCAACACTAACCTAATACCAACTCAATACCAACTCAAGTACAGATAAAGACGATGTCAGCCCGACTCTTACTTGATATTAAGGAGCCGCTTGAGTGCTAGGAGTACCTATAACCCTTGTGGCTATGGCCCTTGCTATTGAGTTTATGGGTGTTTTAGTTGCTTAGTAGTCTTTGGCTTGATGTAGATTGTATCCTTGGGTTAATTTATTGCGGATATCAGTTTGATGGGGATTATTGATTTATATTGTAGAAGAGAAAGAGAGATATGAAACTATCCTTTGAATCTATGGGAATTGGACTTGCTTGGTTGCTGAGCTGGTCAAGTAGTCCGTCTAGCGCTAAAGATACATCTGTGATAAGATGGTGGCATGAATGTGCCAAGGTAGAAAGTGGCCATTGGCTTGCTCGTAGCGCAATTGTCTATGAGTCCGAACGCTTGTGTCCAAACTTAGACACCAAGGATCTAGCAAAGCTTAATGGTCCGGAGGGCCGAGCACTGAAGCGGTACATACAATACTGGAAAGAGATACTAAAGACGGGACCGGTAGGACCTTCTGGCACTCAACAACTTGTTGCAATCCTAGATAATTGCCAGCGGATTTCTAGTCCTCATTTCGACTCTTGTCCTATTGATCTTGAGAAGTACTCTTTATCGCAGGCACTAATTGAGATTGCTGACAGCCTTAAAGAATACCAGGCTTTAATCCAAGCTTATGCTCAAAAGCTTACAATGGCTGGCAGTGCGCCTAATGGGTACTATCTTAAGCATTTATTTGAAGTTGCCAATAGCGAACAATTTGGTGATCAGTACAAAATATCCACTGATGATATCCGTGGCTTTTTCAACGATTTTATCACTATCAAACAATATACATGCAACTTTAATGATTTAACCGAAAATGATATCGAAAAAGCCGTTAGAATTTGGAAGGAAATTGTTGAAAATCCCGATCGGCCGCCAGCAACCAACAAGACTTTTTGTGTCGAGAAACAACTTAGACACTTCTTGTATCGTGTAATGAAAGGCCAGTTATTTGCCTTGAACTTTTTAGATCTTCCTAAAAGTCCTATCGGGAGATATTGTGAGTTCCAAGTTAATTCTGAACAGAAGATAGTATTTGAGTCCTTTTTAGACCTAAAGATGCTTGATCTCATGACAAGCCTGCCGGCTAAGGACGCAGCCCAGAAGATCTACCGAGTTCTAAAAAGCATTAGCGACTCGCCCTATTGGGTAATCTGGAATGAGCATGTAGACAAAGTGCAGAATCACTTGGATAATCTCCATAGGTCTCTAAGCACCGCTGGTACTTATGATGTCGCTGCCACCGATCATCCTAAGCAACGGTCCGATGCTCTGATGGCCATATCAGATCATGCCCAGGCGGTCTTAACTAATGTGTACCACTTACGAGATAAACTTGTTGAATCTTTAGCGGTGCATCCTAACAATACCAATAGCATTCATAGTTGTGTGGACTACCTCATTACTAAACCCAACCCAGACTTAACCCAATCCCCCAGTAACACTATAAGTGAAAGCACCACCCTCAACGAGCTTATTTCTGAGTCTAATGGGCCTAATAACGCCAGCCACAACTACGATGAAGTCTCTGGCTCTTGCACACCCAGCGGTGCCGCTATTGAAGAGCCCATTACACAAAACCAATGCACAACCTCTTCTCTTTCCAGTCCTAACAACACAACCAGTAAGACTACCCCGCCAGATCCAGAAGAATCTCCCGAATCTAACAATGACCCAACAAGTAAGACTACCCCGCCAGATCCAGAAGAATACCCCGAATCTAACAATGACCCGACAAGTAAGCCCCGTAAATCTGATCCAGAAGAATATCCCGAATATAACAATAACCCAACAAGTAAGCCTCGTAAATCTGATCCAGATGAATCACCTGAATCTAGCAATAGCCAGACAAGTAAGACTAGTAAGTCAGATCCAGAAGAATATCCCGAATCTAGCATTAGCCAGACAAGTAAGACTAGCAAGTCAGATCCAGAAGAATATCCTGAATCTAACAGCCAAACCGAATCTAGCACCCACTCCAGCACCACTCAGCCCAACCCTAATACTAATCCAGCAGACAGTGTCTCTATCAGCCTTAGGGTTGTCCTCAACTTAATCGTTTTATATTTCGGCATGAGTGGCTTAGTCTGTGTCACACTCTCCTGCCTATTATAATCATGAGTGTTCTACTCAACCCATTATACTAACACTATCTTCAGAATTTCTAGATAGCAAAGTTAAATCTGGAATTCCGGAAAGAAACATCTCTAAAACCAACCGCCAAAATCCCCGCCGCCAAAAATGAAACCAGCACATCCAGACTACTACTACCTTAGGCTTTTAAGACACCAGAACCAGAAAGTAATAAAGAGATACTTTATTGAACCACTCTAACACCTACTACCAGTTTAAAATATGCCCCAACAAACTACACTCCCACCAACTCACAATATCTCACCAATGTTTTGAAACGGCCATCAATTTAACAACTATCCAATAACTATCTAATAACTATCTAATCTAAATCTAAATCTAAACCCAAATCCAATCCAACAACCATCTTAATATAATCTAAATCTATTTCTAGGCGTATTCTGAATATTTATTATGTCACTAGTGGCCGTTATTAAAGTGGTATTTCAGGCCGTTCGGGTTCTTGTAACGCTTGCTGCACCCGGGCACATCACACGCATAAGGCTTCTCACTCTCCACTCCCCCGCCTAAATGCCCCCGACTCATATGATACTTAAGCCCATAGGCCGAAGTGTACTTCTTGTTGCACCCCGGATGCGTACACTTAAACGGCCTCTTCTTATCCTCATCTTCATAATGCGACTCCCCTAACATCTCTACCTCAGCATCCATATTAAAGTCCTTAACTACCACCGGCGGCAACAACACTCCTAAAGATAAACTCTCAGATTGCAGAATCGTATTGTAAAAGGCAGTCGGCTTAGAATAGTCGTAAGTCATTGACGTATCATTAAAAACCATAGTAGGCACTTGCACTACTTCATTATGACTCTCACCCCCATGCCACTTAACATGTTGTAACCCATCTTTCTTATTCATAGTAGAAATGAACTTATAATGGGACTTCTCATAATGCATCACTAAATCACGTAAAGTAGGCAAAGACTCACCACAGCACTGATAATTACTCTCAACACTTTCATCTACGCCCTTAGAGTTCTCTTTGAAAGTAAATGGAGATAGATCAGAGATACAAGGACCTGCTTGTTCTGGAATCTTTAAGGAAATACCCGGTTCTTCTACTATCTCGGCATCTATACTTGTTTCTATACTCTTCTGGATAGAATCGTAATCTAAAGGGATGGGTTTACGTTTCTCGGGCTGTGATGAGTTAAGTAGTGATGAGTTGGGTGGTGATGAGTTAGTGGGTGGTGATGAGTTGGTGGGTGGAGTAGTAGTAGTGTTAAGTGGAGTAGTAGTAGTAGTAGTGGTATTTGGAGTGGATGAATTATTTGTGTTATTATTGCTGATATTATTGCTATCTTGATTTGTTGCTAAAGAACTGTATTTAGTTTCAGTTAAGCCATTTTCTTTATCCTCAACGGAGCTCATTCTCTCGCTCATCTCCTATGAATTTATATAATTGTAAAATATATTACCAAAAAGGAAATCAGCAGCCAATTGGCGCAATATTTGCGAAGGAGTCCAATTTATTTTATGAAGGAGAGGAGGGGGCGAGAAAGGAAGCGGCTGGATTTAGTGGAGGCGGAAATAAGACTCCTGGAAAAGGAGAAGGAGATGGGGTCGCATGTAATGGTGGATATTGAAAGTGAAGCTGAGATTAAGCGGTGGGTTAAAGGTCGGCCGATAGTTAGTAAGGGTGGGGTTTTAGGTAAAATAGATGGTAAATTAGATAAGATTGAAGTTGTTAAAAATAACAACAAAGATAATAATGATTTAAATAAGCAAAATAACGGATTAGGTGGGGGTTTAATTGATAATGAGGCGGTTAATGGGTTAAGTAAATTGTACTTTGAAATGAGTAATTTGCCTTTGGATTATATGTTGGGCCAAAGTAACAAGATGGTCTTAACGGCTGAGTGGGAGTTATCTTTGTTAGAAAGAGAGTGGATAGATAGATTGCGAGAAATAAAACGGGGACTAGATAGGAAAAGGCTACTGGAAGAAAAAGTGGCTAGTTTAGGTACGGAAGTGGAAGTAACCAGGCGGCAGATAGTTAAGAGTACTCGGGCTAAGCAGTACTACCATAAAAGAATAGGTAGTAGTGTTAAGTTAGGAGGTAGTATGGTAATGGGTGACCTTAAGTTGCAGAATAGGTTGGGTTTGGGTGGTGTTAGTTTGGGTGGTTTGGGTGGTAGTAATAGTAGTATTAGTAGTAGTGATAAGTTGGGGCGGTTGGTGGCTGGGGCTGAGTTTGAAGAGAAGAAGAAGGAGAGTGTTAGTGAGGAGGAGTTGCAGAGGAGGTATGACGTGTCTTTGTCCCTCTTTTCTTTGATGAAGGCTAATAAGAGTGCTGTGCGTGTGAGTATTCCGGTGACTAAGAAAAGTTCATCTGCTATGCACTCGTCACATGCTGCTTGCTTAGAGAAGGTGAGAGCGGAAGCTGGACGTATTTCGACTATTCCGGAATTGGCTAGGTATAGACAGTGCCGGAGGCAGCAGGAGCCTCAGTCGCAACAAACAGTTCATTTGCACAAGACGGCTAAGCATGGTATTCCTATCATTTATGCCCAACCGAGTGTTAGTGGTGCTGGTAGCGCAGTTAGTAGTGGTGTAGCTGGTGATAGTGCTAGTAGTGTAGTTAGTAGTAGTGCTGGTGATAGTGTTAGTAGTGGTAATGCTAGTAGTAATGTAGCTAGTAGTAGTGTAGCTGGTGGTAATGCTAGTAGTGCTAGTAATACTGTTACTAATCCTACTGCGACTAAGACTGCTGCTAACAATGATAATAGTGCTAATAATGGTAATAATAGTTGATTCAAAAACTATCTAAATCTTATCTTATCTTATCTTATCTCAACTTATCTCAACTTAAACTTAACTTAAATCAGTAAATAGACAACTAACTAGTTCAATTGTTATATCTTGTTTTAATATATGTCATTATGGGTTTATTAGATACTGTATTGGATTAGTATTGGTATTGGGTTGTGTTAAACTGAATTGGATTGCATTTCTATCATTACTAAGCAGGAAGTATCAAGTACTAAAGTAGATACTAACTGCATCCTAATATAATACCAACCCAACCCAACCCAACATAACTCAACTCAACCCAACTCAACATAACAGAATACTAATGTAATCTTGTTTATGTGGGTTGTTGAGTGGACTTGGCAGTCTGTCATAATGGTAGTAGACTCCTTGCGGGGAAATCACTTAGCCCCTATCGATATAGAATGGGACTCCGTAGGGGTAGGAGTCGCGAGTACTAAAGTGGCTAAAAAAGGCGGGGTATGCAGATACCAGTGCCAGAAGAAAAAGACCTTCAGAATAACAAGTATATTCTGAAAGAAGTTATTGAAACCGGCACAACCAGTTGTGTTTATCGTGGGATTGATACGCGCAGTCAGCAGACGGTGGCGATTAAGGTGATTAGTCGGAAGAAGTATGTTGGGCTTGAGAAACGGCAAACCCGGGAAGAACGTATTCTTAGAGAAGCACTTTTGTCCTTTTTGGTGGCGCATCCGCATATTGTAAGATTGCGGGAGTTTTGTTACTCGCCGGACTTCTTCTTCTTGGTCTTTGATCATGTAAAAGGGGAACAGTTGCTGAAACGGATTGTTCGGAGTAAACGGTTGTCAGAAAGTGTGGCTAAACGATACTTTTTGCAAATGTTAGATGCCGTTGGATACTGCCATTCCCATCATATTGTTCATCGTGATATCAAGATCGAAAATATTTTGATTGATCAACATGATAATGCTAAGCTGATTGATTTTGGTTTGGCTAACTTCTATGAAGAAAAAGGGTTCTTGGGGACCTTTTGTGGCTCGCTTTACTTTGCGGCGCCAGAACTCTTATCTGGGAGCCTTTATGAAGGACCGGAGATAGATGTTTGGTCGTTGGGAGTGGTGCTTTATGTAATGGTTTGTGGCCGCGTGCCTTTTGATGACCGGAATATGCGATCTCTTTACCAGAAGATAATTGCTGGGTCTATTTCGACGGAAGGCCTGGCGCCGGAGTTGGCTTCGCTGATTCTGCGAATGCTTGATCCGAATCGACGGACTCGTATTACGATTGCAGAAATATACACCCATCCTTGGGTGGCCCGGGTTTCCAGTCGCTCTGTAAGTCCGCCGGCTATTGCGGAACAGAAGCTGCCGGATGCAGAGCAGTGTGCATATTTGGACTATTTGTTTGGCGGACAGTTTCGGTTGCGCGATGGCCGGTATGCGGGAGCTTTGAGTAGTGTGGCTTCGTTGGCGGCCGATAAAGCCATGGGGCGTCGACAGCCCGACCGGATTGCGGCCATTGCTGAATTTGCCAGCGATCGGCGCTTGAAGATTGGTCGGCGCATGTTTTCGCACTGGGGTGGACTTCGAGCGGCAGAAACGGCTGTGGTTAGAAGTGTTGAAGCTGCACTGCATGAAGCCGGTTTGGTTTTTGGCGTTGAGGCCGGCCGGTATGTTTGTGCAGATGCAGCAGGTGAGGATGAGTTTGCCGTACAGGTAGTTAAGAATAGAATAAGCCGCGGATACGGAGTGGAGGTCAAAGCGGCCGTTCGAACGGCTCGCATGCGCGAACTTGAAGGATTTATCCGCCGGCGCATGCGTCAGATCGTTGAAACTGGTGGCTGGGCAGGTTCATATCAGTAATAATAAAGAAAAGATACGCCGTAATTGGATTATTTGACTCGTCCTGTATTTTATGCTAAGTACTCCACTATTTCCTTATTAGGAAATTTTCCTTATTAGGCAAACGAATTGCCTAACTGGGTAAAAAAGAACGGATTTGCATTTTATTTTCCAATGTTGGCTCTAACTAAAGTAAACCTGATCTTCAGATATCTATCTGGTGGTAATCAAAAAGGTTGGGCTAAATTAAAGCTGTTGGTTTGCTTTGGATGTCTTTGGCTGCTGGCCTGGGCACTTCCGGAATCTGTATCGCAAGTCTATGAGGATGAGTTGGACGAAGTTAATCTTTCTGATTCAGATGTGCAATTAGAGTCTCTTAGACTGGTCGTAACCAACCAAACAACGAAGGATGAGTATAAGTCGATGCTTAAGAATATTGTCGAACACAAGTATGCTCATATTGAGATAGATAACCAACTCGCCCGCCCAGTCAATGCCACAAGCGAACCATATTTACACAACGTAATTGCGGCCGCTATTAGCTCCACTGACTGTCACCTTTTGAGTTTAACCGGGCTTAGTCTTGGTTTAAAGAGTCGGACTAAGCTTATTGCCCACTATAAGGATCTCATTGACCGTTTTATTAAGAGCCATCCAGAATCTCTTGATCTTCCGGGGATTAGTATAGATATCCAAGACTGTGACTTTATGTTCATTACTACACTTCATAAGCTAGTTGCAACTAAGCGAACACTTCATAAGCTTAACGTGAAGGGCTGTGCCGAAATTCCAAATCTCGCCTGGGTTCAATCACTTCCTTGGTCCTTCACACAGGAATGTGTCTTTTCGATAACGAACTGTCATCTGGCCGATAATATTCAAACGAACTTGTATCACTTGGGCCAGGCGACTGCAATGTTCAACAATTTATCTATTTCAGTAAGTAATATTGTTTGTGACGCTATTGTTGAAGGCTTTGTGTCAATTACTACTAAAATTAACCTATCACGAGTTACGCTTAGTCTTAGCCTTGGCAGAATCTATGACTTAGTTGTGCTTAATTCAAGGATTGTTAATCTAGAGAAGCTAACTATTACGGAGCCGAAGCCGGACGATTGCGAACCTTGGCTTGATCAACTTTCGGCTCAACATTCTAAATGGGTCCGAAAGTCTTGGCACATCGTGCAACCAGTAGAAGTTCAGATGTCGAAATATTACTATCAACAGGCAAGCAAAGAAAGTACCCTATCTGAATTCTTAACTAAGATAGGAATAGTTGGCAAGGCTGAACAGGTTATCTTTACTTATCAAGATTGGTCTAACCTCATGATTTTCAAACTGTTTAGAATTCCCTACACAAATAGTAACCTCGATTCAGAACAACAAAATAGCGGCCATTGCCGAATAGATTTGACCAAGATGGTTAGCCATGAATCAATTCAACTTATTCTCTCCCAATACATTGCCCACTACCGGGCCATTCCGCAGAGCTCGTACGAGACTGTTGAGATTGTTGGTGGTCAAATCATCAGCTCAGCAAATAAGACTGACATCGAGCACTGGACAGCTACTTTACGTGAGCTCTTGACTATTTGTGCCCTTATCAAAGTACGACGAGTGGTGGTGAGCGGTAATGATGAGTATAAACTAACTGCATCTACTTTAGCTAAGTCCTCCTCGGCAGAGTCTCTTCTAACTACACCAACTCCAACTACACCATCTTCAAGTAGCCGATTAAGCAATGCATCCGAAAGATCCAAACGAGGCTCTATCACGTCTGGTTCAGCTAATTCTCGCAACACTAACACTCTTTATTCAGAAGCAGAGGACATAACATTTAGACCGCCAACTCGGTCTGAGACCCCGGAGTTTGGGACACTAGAGCTTCTCAATGTTACTCTTCCGACAATCTTGCTGGTGGTAGAAGATCTTCCCAGTACGGGTTACTTTAAAACAATAGAAGTATTCGGGCCGATAGAGCTAGATTCTTTTGCCAGCAAGATATGTGACCTGCTAAGCACTTACCCTAAGCCAGATATTGCTCTAATTAGATTTTATGGCCTAAATGGGATGCCTTTCGAGATCAAACCACTCTCCAGCCAATCTAATCCTACCACTAATCCTATTCGGCAATCTTGAGACATGCCAGATAGCAATTGATACCATCCCCTGTAATCGGAACTGTCTTACTCGCACCCCCTGAATACAACAAGGGTATGGATAATTATGATGCTACTAGCTATCTTAATCTAACTAATAAAAACCTAAGTTAGCCTCTATCTGTATTGTTACTTTCCGCCTCTTCTTGACACCATTATACCCCCCGCAACCATTGTCTCAGCGATAACCTCACTCTACCTCAACACCAACCCAATACTATATACAATCCCATCCCAACTCAACCCAATACTAAGCCTATTTCAGATTAACTTAATACTATCACAATTTCATGCCAAGTTTAAAGTAAATTAAACCCCTTCAGATTTGAAGTTCTGATCACGTTTCTTTGAATTCTAGCTGGATGTACCAAAGAAGCCGTGCTTAAATTAACGATATCTATTTATGCACAACAGGATAATCCATTCAAGATAGAACTTGAATCTAGTCGACGAACCCTTCTTATCGGCCAGCAGTGCCAACCCAATAGGATAAGTATTGGCTTAGTAGGAGATAGTCTTTATTCATAGTTGGTGAAACCCGAAATTACAAGGAAGGAATCTTGAAGCTCAGATTCTCCTTAGAGTTTCCGCGTGTCTTTATGGAAGCCCTGGCAGCACTCCTTTCAATTAGGGCCCATTGCTCCTCACTTTGTTATCTCCTCAGACGCCCAAATCATCTCAATTTATAGATCTAAGTAGCTATTGCATTTTTTAACAAAAGGAGTAAAGATAGTGTTTTCTATCTCTTCTGGAATCATGATATCGATTAATTCTGAACAATAAAGACCATAGTATCGACTGTTTATTCTCTTTCCTCTATACTCATTAACTAAGCCAAGATGAATGTTTGAGTACTGCAATTGATATAAAAGAGCTACAGTGGCCACATGGCCAGCGGACCTAACCAACCAAGTAGATCAGAGAGATCTTAGGCTATTCTTTATCTCTGCCATTCTTTTTAAGAGGATGGGCGCGTATTTGTCATTCATATGCATTATTTTGGTCGCCGCGTATCTTTTCGGCTTTATTGGCAACTATGGCGGCATTGTGACCAAAACACCAAGCACAGACCAAACTCAAACACCGGACAAAGCACCAGTTAGTGAAGGTCCGAGGTATACTGATACGTGCGCACGGGCTAATATGGTAGGAGCAATAATCTATGGGGATGTACTGAAACAAAACGGCGACCCCAATTACAAACCATCCAAAACGAGAGCACTAGATAAGGCAGGTATGCCACAATTCCATCACGAAGAAAGCGCCCCGAACAAGCACCTCTGGGCCTTATCTTTTACTCGAGGCGCCAGCGGCTATTCAGAAAGCTATCAAACAGTCAACCTTTTCCAGAACTGCCCAAAAATTCCAAACATATCTGGCCTGTACACAACCATTGATGTCGAAAAACAAGCCTTTATTGCGGCCATTAGAGATACCATGATCCGGGCAATACAAGAAAAGGACAGGATAGACAAGACTCTTACTGCGCTATTAGACATAACCGAAGACATAAGGATAGGAACAATTGTTGATAAGCTGATCAATATCTTAGGTCCTGCTGCCGACCAAGTACAGGATTTTATATCCCTCGACTCCGCCCTCTTACTTCACAATGCAATCATGTACGAAAGTGCCTTTGGTCTTGAATCCTCGGACAAAGATAAGTCGTTAGTACGACAGGACAACAATCGCCTATTTACCACCCGGATTAACCGTATAGCAATGGATACATTCGATAAATGGTCCGCCATTCTTAAGCAGGCCGCCTTAGAAACAACCCCGCCCAAAAACCTATCCAAGCCCGATAATTGTTTGGAGAGACAACTTTACCACTTCCTGATCGACTTCGTTCGATATCAGACCTATATCCACAGTATTCTGCACATGCCCAGCACCCCACTAGGAAAGTACTATGAATTAACCATTAGCAGCGAGCACAAGAATATTCTATATCGTATGCTGAACATCGACATCATCAAAACAATACAAACGGCTACTCCCGAGGGAATTGAACGCACCATATATGTAAATGCCGCGAAGATAAGCGCCGCAATTAACGACATATACATGAAATGGGGCTGGTCAGAGGTTTCCACATTGTCGGACTATAACAACCCGCGTGACATGATAAAAGGAACATCCCGCAAGGCACTCCGCCTCAACCAAATCCGCCAGCGCCTGCTCTACGAGGTGGACGGGATTCTTTCCACACAAGAAATCCAGGAATGGATAGGTTTCTTAAGTGCCATGAACGAGCACTTTATGGGTATTGTAAAGGGTCTTTCTAAGTTGAAAAAGCAGTTCAAGGTGCCCCTATCCTATGATTGGCCCATGGCCAAATCCATGGGACAGTGTGCCAAGGCCCTCACTGGCTTCTCTTATAAAGGCCGGCCACTTTCAAATCCAGATATTCCAAACCCTCCAACTTCATCCTAACCAAAGCTCTATCACCAACCCCACTATCAAAAGCTACCATTCGCTAACTAAATCAAAATCTTTGATTCCAGACGCATAATTTGCAAGTCCCCTTTAAATAGTATCCCACAACAACTCTTCTCCCTCATCTCACTAAATCTACCTCCCACCGCCAACTACTCAATGTATCTCCGGCTTCTAACTACTATAACCCCGTTTCGATAACTTTAAGCATTTAACCGAAAACCTCCAAGGAGAGTATGGAAGCAGGTGTACTGGAAGGCTACTTAGTATGTGCGACGCTTAATACAATGGTTTTTATTCTACTCTTGCTTATCTAACCCAATAAAGAGCTTTTGACACAAGATAGTCAGATAGCCAGACTACAGTCTAACTGGCCTGTTATATTTTTTTCGAGGGGACCCCAGATGCTTGCGTCGTACAAGAACGAACTCGCCCGAAAGACCCCTTGGCCTTGTATTGGGTCCGACTCTTTAGGAGTTAGCAGTTTTACAATCCTATTTGAAGTTCTAAAATTACTCGTAAACCGCACGGCAATCGGCTACACTCTTTTATATTTGCTAGACAAGCATGCTTATCCAGTTATAGGTTTTTATGTCGTTTCTCTCTATCTTTGGAGTATCTTTGTTATTTCCTTTTTAGGTAATACTAACCTAAAATGGACCGAAGCAACTATATTTTTGCTTTTTATCAGTTTAGTGACTATCTTTCATGGCCGCTATCGACAAAAAGACTTTTCCATTTGGAGAACCACTCGTGATCTTCTGCTGATTGGTGGCTTAGCTTCCCTTGTTTTTGGTTTCTTATGGAGATATGCCTTGGACTCTTCTAGCTTGTTTTTGGCCGAATCAGCCATTCTAGCCTGTATAGCCCTTCGTTGGCACAACTTCAGCAACTGGCGAGCAATCTGGACTGTTTTCACTACTACACTTCTTGCCTACCCCAGCTATCTACTTCTTCAAGCTATTCTAATTCGGTGTTGCTAGTCTAAATATTTCTTATGGTCCAAACCAACTCCATTCTAAGTCAACATAGCATCTTACAACTCTTTGATGAATTAAACATTGACAACCACGAAATACTCTCCCCAGACCAAGCTTCTCTTTTCTGGGCCAGTCTGCACATTCTCGGCTGGAACCTACACAGACCACTTTCACGCGCCAATTGCTACCAAAGCTACCAACAAGCCTTTGCCAACCACCAGCGCATTCTTCCCCTCCTATCCCAAGACAAATCAACCCTCCTGCACCGACTCTCCTCCCAACTCACTCCCGAAGAACTCCAAGACATCCTCCACCACCTCAACCAATCATCATCCTAAACTCAACTCATCTCAATACTAACTCAACTCAACCCACCCTAAACCCAACTTAACTTAACCCAATCTTATATAACACTAAACAACTAAATTCAATATACTAACTTAATACTTTATCTAATCTAATCTAATATCAACATGGACCCAAAGCAAGCACCACTTAACTGTTATCCAATTACTATCTAAATAACAACACCATATCTTATCTTAATTCAAGTAAATACTAACTAGAACTAGCTATTATTTTTTACCCCCTGCTGCGTTTGTTCACTCTGCGTTCATACTAAAGAGTTTCATGGCGTAGCGACAAATTTAAGTTTAATCTCTTCTATTTAGTGTATTGTTGATTGGTTAGTTATTTAGTGTGTTATTACTTGTTGTATTAGTGATTTTGTTAAGTGTTGTCATAACAAGTTTGATCGTGTTAGATTGGTGAGTTTGAGAATTATGGCTGGTATATTGCCTAGTTTCGTATTGTTTCGGCATGAAGTACATTCTGCTACTCGGATGGGCAGCTCTGGTGCTCGCTGATGAATGCACACAGGTACTCGATGCAATCGATGCTTATCGCAAAGATAAAGGCCTTTCTCACTTGAATAGATCCCGGCAACTAACTCTAACAGCTCGTGACCGAGTAGAGGCTATGCTAGCGGCAGGTGACCTTTTTAATTCCACTAGTGACGTTCAGAGCCTAGCTAAGAAGAATGGGTACTTAGCAGCTAGTTTGGGTGAAAACATTGGTATGAGTGATAATCAAAGGGGTAGTGGCTTAGATATTTTCCAAGAATGGGCCAATTCAGCCGTGCATAGAGCAAATCTTAATGACTCTTCTGATTATAATGAAATAGGAGCATATAAACTCAATGGTGAAAAGAACCTTTATGTTTCGGTTGTATTTGGCCGGGCGATAAAAGAGCCCAATTTAGCTTATTCTAGTCCATATTCTAGTCCTTATTCTAGTCTTTCTAATGGGGCAGTCAAGAACCCACAATTACTTATTAGTAGTACGCGCAGTCCAACCGCTAGTTCAGCTAATCCACCCCCTAAAGTAGTTGATATGCCCACTCCATTATCACCAGCCAATTATCCCAATAATCGACCAATCTCTGTCCCTCTACTAGCACCTACACCCGCACCCGCCCCTACACCGCCGCCTAAGCAACCAGCTACTCCTCCTACACCTCCTACACCTCCCAGAAATAACTCACCCACTCCACCAACACCAGCTATTATTCCCCCCATTATTCAACCTATGCCCTATGCCAATCCACCTCTAGCCCCCGCCCCAACACCGACTCAACCCATGCCATCCCAATCTACGGTTCTCGTTACGGTCCCTCCTAATCTTGATCAAGAACATTCCATTGTGAAACTCATTCTGGTCAGCGGCGCCCTCCACTCCCCCTCGTAATTCCCTAATCAACCATCCGCCCAAGACCAGTCCTCTATCCATCGACCGCTTAAATAAACACACACCATCTCAACCCCATCTAATTAAGTTACCACTTGATTGAGTTACTACATGGTTGAGTTAAGTTTTGATTGAATTGCAACTATCATAACACAATCTAATCTAATCTAATCTAAATTCAATCTAAACACCACACTAATATAAACTCAATACTAACTCAATACTAACTCAACTCAATACTAACTCAATCTAATCTAAACTCAACTCAACTCAATACTAACTCAATCTAATCTAATATAAACCTAACTCAATTTATTATGAAGAAACTTCCTCGCCATACTCAGTTGTCCATAGGGATAAGTTATCACGCAGTAACTGCATAATCAAAGTCGAATCCTTATAACTATCCTCAGTCAAACTATCCAACTCAGCAATAGCATCATCAAATGCCTTCTTCCCCATTTCAATCGCCCGATTGCGCTCATTCAAGATTTCAAAACAAAAGACCGAATAGTTAAGACAAAGACCCAATCTAGTAGGATTAGTACAAGGTAAATTCCCATTAGCAATATCAGTGGCTTTCTGATAAGCTTCATGGGCTGCACTAGATATCTCAGGCAAAGATTCAGCTGAAGCAATTTCAGCCTTATATCGCAAGTAATCCCCTTTCATCTTCAAGAAGAAGACATTAATATCCTCAGTTGAACCATCAATTAAGTAAGAGTCCAAAAGACTAAGTAAATCATCACAAGCTAAATTCAGTTCATCCTCTATCACCTTAATATACTCCTCTATTATCTCTAGATGTCTGGTATTTTGAGGTTCAGCCGTTCTTGTCTCCTGGAGAGTCTTACTGAGAATGCGCCAAGAAGTTCTTCTTACTCCCACCTGATTGCGATAAGCCACTGATAGCATATTCCTTTCCTCTATACTCATCTTCTCTTGGGCTTCGGCTGCTAATTTAACAGCTGCTTTCATACAGTCAACCATTTGTTCAAAACGTTCGGCTTTTTCACTTAACTTGGCTTTGTAGATGCACTCTTTGTATGACATGGTCTCTTAAAAATTAAAGAGATTTGTTTGGGCCATGCGTGATAGATTCAGAACTCTTAATGGACTTATGGGTTGTTTAGTATCTCTTTATGCCAACTCTGATTTGGGCCGACCTTTGCGATTGCGTAGTAAGAGTACTTTTGAATTTCTACAACGGTTTTGTCATTTAACACATCTTGGTTTAGGGTTGAGTTTAGTTACATTTGGGTTGGGATTGGTATTACGGTGTTTAAAACGAAATGGGAAGGAAGTTGGGGTGTGGGAATCTTTTTATCGGGATTTGTTGGCTATTACGGTAACGGTGGAATCTTTTATTCCTTTGATATTTTGGATACTTTGGTCGATTGATGCGGGTTCGGTGGTGACTCGTGATAATTATATTGGGGAAGATACGATTTCAATGTTCTTTAATTTGTGTATGCATGGTATTCCTTCGGTCTTCTTGTTGGTTGAGTTCTTTTTAGGGGAGTTTGTGCCGGCGCGGAGTCACTATCTGGAACTGGGTTGTTTCTTTTTGATCTATTTGGGTATTATGCAGGGTGTTTATTGGGCGACTGGGCGGTGGCCTTACCAGGTAGTAGGGTACTTTACAGGTTGGTGGCGAGTATTCTTCTTTGCCAACTGTTTAGTGACTTTGATTGGGATTTACTGGATGCTAACTAGAATGCATGCCAGAGTATGGCGGCCGGCTAGTAGGAAGTACCGACGACCGGCTAAACGGCCATCAAGTGGACGCAAGAATAAATAGATTGATTCGGGCTAGTTATAGCATAGTTTGGTTTGGTTTGGTATTGGGTTTAGTTGAGTTATGGTAGATTGTAATTTGCATAGAATTGGATTGGGTTAGGTTGGATTAGGGAAGATTATAATTTAGTAGTAGTACGTTCTAGAGTTAAGTTAAGTTGAGTTGAGTTAGTGTTTAGTTAAGTTGGTGCTAAGTTATGTTGAGTTGGATTGGTGCTAAGTTATGTTGAGTTGGTGTTTAGTTAAGTTAAGTTAACATTTAGTTGAGTTGAGTTGAGTTAGTATTGAGTTGGTCTTAACTTGTTGCTAGGTTGTATTTATGCTTGTATGTTGTAATTAAGCTGTAATTAAGCTGTAATTAAAGTGATTTGGGGAAGGATGGGGCTAATTGCTGGGATGGACTGTGTTTGTGCTGGGCTTAGAATAATGGTTGCTGGGAATGTTGCTGGTTGAGACGGTTTTGGATGGACTGGTGGGTGGTTTGGTGGTGGAAAGGAGAATCTTGAGTAGAAGGAGATAAAAGTAGATGGCCGGTTGTGGCAAAATATTTATGCGGGGTAAAGATAGGGTGGCTGGTCTATTGAGTGTAGAACGTAAAAGGATGGAAGATATGTTGATTTCGAGTGCTCTGGTGGTGGGAGTTATTTTGGGGGTTTATGGTAACTTGGAAGTTGATGATCGGTGCTGGTTGGGAGTGAGTTGGCTTGTACAGATGAAGAAGTTTTGGTATATCACCCACTTTTCGTTGTTATTGGCGACTATTGGTATGGGTTTTGGTGCTTGTTGTCGGTTGAGACGATTGGCTGGTTGGCCGGTTAGTTGCTGGATGGAAGAGTGGCATTTGTTGTTGGTGTCGGTGCTGCTGCCGGTTGAAGTGGTGGTGGCCGGCTTGTTTTGGCCGGTATGGTGGTACGATCCGCACTTGGTCTTTTCACGTCGAAGCTTGGTTGGGTGCCATGCTCCGGGTGTGCTCTATAATGTATGTACGCATGGATTACCTGTTTTGTTTCTAGGATTGGACTACTTGTTCTTGGAGGTAAGTAAGGAGAAGCGGTATCGGTGGGAATTGGCGGGGTATGCGGGATTGGTGGCTGTTTTGTGTGTTGGACATCGAGTGGTTTATGGGTATTGGCGGTACAGAATACTTAAGGTTTTGCCGGGTTGGGGTTTGCCTTTAGGTGGCTTAGTATTGGGTGGAGTGTTGCTGGGTGTGCATGAAGGATGTGCCAGAATAAGGAGTCGGTATTTTCGGTACTGGGTGAGACGGAGGGAGATAATGAAGGAGATTCTGCTTTGGAATGCTAACCCAATAGGATTAAGTAAAGAGTGTATGGGGTGACTTTCTACTTTGTTAATAGAGACAATGACAATACAGATGTAATTTATTGGTTTATATTTAAGTACTTGGTAGACTTTGGTTTTTGTTACAATAGATAAGAAATAAATTGTCTTGTTTTGATAAAGCGATGATCGTAGATCAGTTTTGAAGAGGGTATAAATATCTGCTTTAGAAAACAAAAATAGATATGAGGCCTTCTTTTGAATTAATAGGAGTTGTTTTGACCTGGCTACTGGGCTGGACTGGTAAAGTGAGTAAGGCGCAAGATATGCCAGATGCAACGCTGTTAAGTCACTGTCTCGTAGATGAGAGTGGATCACGGATTAGTTCTAGAATAATCGATTATTCTGCTAACCCAAGGTGTCAACAATACGGTACCGATGATCCGGGTGAAGATGCTTTTGGGTCTGACGTTGTGTTCAGCTGGAATACTGATTGGTCTGAAGTAAGGAATAGGGGCGGTTTTGGCTCGACAAAGAACCAGCAGGCCCTTGTAATGGTTGAACATTGCCGGGAAATTATCATACCAACTCTCCAACAGTGTGAAGTTGATCTTGAGATTGGTCTGCTAAGGGATAGAGACAATCAACTAAACTCAGAGCTTCAAATTCCTTTTGATCATATCCGAACGTTTTCTAACGACCTTAAAAAGCTAAATGGCACTGTCACAAATAACCAACTTAACACCTTATTCAAGGATGCACGTCCTAAGAATCTCGATGTGATAGACGATGTGGGCCAACGCCCTATCTCTATCCTTCTAGGGGTTATTAAGTTTAGCAGTGACCAATGCGACTTTAGGGATTTAACTAGTAATGATATCAAAAATGCCGTTAGCCAGTGGAAGGCGGTTATAAGCGAGTCCTCAGCCGCAACTATCAAAAACGTTTGTTTAGAGAGGCAGCTTAGACATTTCTTGTATCGTGTCCTAAGATCACAGTTGTATATTGCTAGCTTTATTAACATGCCTAATACCCCATTGGGTAAGTATGTCCAGTTTAAGCTTAGTACTGCCACAATGAGTGCTTTAACTCCCCTGTTAAATCTATGCGTGCTTAATGCTATCAAAGATATGCCGACAGAAAGGGCCGTCAACCATATATACCAAGCTATAAATAGTGCCAAGAATGTGACATGGTCGGACTGGACGCAGCACGTGGACCCAATAGATATGCGTCTTACCAACTTAAGCAATCATATAGACGAACCTAATAGCCATGCGGACTTTACAGTTTCAGAGGTTAAAGCCATATCTGCCGATCTGGATGCATTGTTAGACCATGTAAAGTATGTGTTAGATGGTGTAAAGGCATTCTATGCAAACATTGATGCTCTGACGATCAAATCTCAGACCTCCTCCAGCATTCACGAGTGTGTGGACTATGTCGTTGCCACAACAAACGCAGAGCAATGTACCGCCGAAATGACTATGAATGATATGACAATTACTAAGGGCAAGAATACAACGAAGGATCAGGATGATATGGAAATGACTGAGGATAATAACACCACACCAAGCCCATCATCTGCTTTCTCTCTCAGACCTTGGGGTGTGTTTAATCCTCTCCTGCTCTATGGAGCTATTAGCAGTTTATTCTGGGCCCATTTCACTCATCTGTTCGGGCCACAACCATAGTTCAACTTTACTTGCTTTCTCTAACACGGCCAGATTGGTTTAGTTTTAACAGGTTCAACTACCTACCAATCTACCATAAACCAGCCCAACTCAACCTAATATAACTAATAAATCTACTGCCGTAAACCCGTAAATCTTAGCCCAATATTGCCTAATTTCGAACTAATTTTGATCACTAAGCAAAAACAAAACAATCACTTCCTAAAAAGGAAATAAGTCACTTCCCAATTAGGAAAATAGAAAATCCCTGGCAGAAAGTTAAAGTTACGACCACAAATTAGCTATATATACCCCATCAAATATACCGATATGTCCAAAATTGCCAAGCAAATATATTCAAGTGCCACAAACAATAAAACACTAAGCGTAGCCAAGCCCCGATTGTTATATTACGGTATGACCGGCCTGTTTGTTGTTGTGGTTGCGCTTCTTTTTTACCAGAGTGTTACCTGGTCAATTTATGACCCCAGTGATAACGCTGATTTTGAAAAACCAACTCAATACATCTTTTATCACAACCGATACCTCCATGCCGCCCTATGTATCCTCTCTCTAGTCTATGGTGTTGATACTTCCGATCACCATAATGTCCCCTGGTTGTGTGCCCTACATGAGATTAAGTACTATCTTCTTTGGGCCACCTTGCCTATTACTCTAGTTATAGTTCCCTCTCTTATCTATACTTACATCCTTCAAAGCCACGGCAACTATTTCCACGGCCTAGCCCAACTAGTCAGCATTCCGTTTTGGTCCCAAAATGCCCTCCCAGGGCTCTTTATCGGCCACTTACTACTTGGTATTCCCCAACTCAAAAGACACCAACACTCCCTACCCGCCCCACCTATTGGTGAATACACAGCCCCAACTATACTAACTGCTTTATATTCTTTATTAGCTTACATCTCATTTGCTAAACCAGCCTTCACTCTATCTACATTCACCTCTCTTTTCACTACTCTCCCCAATTGGCGACTGATTGGCCTCTTTGTCTTCTATGAATTCTTGGTTCTTTCTGCCTGTAATGTACTCAGCTCAATCATGCTTCGTATTAGTGGAAAGTCCAACTGAGAAGAAATTTTACGATGATCGAGGAGAACAGTCCAACTACTGACCTGGTTCCTGCCTTCTATGCCCTCATGGAAGAGTCTGAAATTCGTAAAGACTCCTATAACCTCAAATCTGATGATATTGCCCAACTTCAAAAATATGCTGCTTTATTTGGAATCAAAATCAGTCAATGGTGCGATGGCCAAACTTTAATTGCAATTGCTCTCTCAGAACCAGACAGACTTTCTACTGCCCAAGAAACCGCAGCTCTTGATATTCTCTGTTCTATTGCTAAAACTCCTAATGGTCTTCCCAGCAGTTCCTTAAGCACCTGTCCTATCGCCCAAGAACTCTTAGCTAATAACTGGATTGTTCTCAAGAACAACCACTATCTTCTTTCTAAGCGAACCAAAATCGAAAAGGCTACTGTTCTAACTGCCAAAACTGAAGTGGATACTTGTTCATTCTGCACCTTCCTAAATAATGAAGGAAACCTTCCCCATCCCGAATGTGCCAAATTCATCAATACCCAAACCCACTCAGCATCCACACCAACCCAACCGCAATAATAAACCAGATCATTTAACATCCACTTACGTACTTACTGCTTAGTCAATATATGCTATCTTACTCACCCCAACTCAATACCACCCCAATACCACCCAACCCAATACCAATACCACCCCAACCTAACTCAACTCAATAGTAAACTCTTTATTCATTTGTTTGTTACATTCCATTTACTAATTGATGCCTCTGCACCAATCGCTCCATATCTTGCTTACAACTACTCATAAACAGATTGTACTCACCACTAGTTATACGTGGTGTTTTAACCCCTAGTGCAACTGCCCGACCAACAATCCCTCCACCTATCAAACCTCCTACCAAGAACAAACAAACTAGCTTATGCGGCACCAAGTACCAGACATACCCCAGCAGCAAACAACAAATAAACAATAAGCCCAATCTACGCCAAGACAAACTCCTAGTTTGCTTCATTTCATTTGTTTGGAAAAGAAGAGGTTTATTAGCTGGCCAATTAAGACCCATTTGAGTTAGTATTACTCCAAGTCCTTTTTAATTAGTCTCAGTACAACTATCTCACTATCTCATAAGTACAACCACTATCTCACCACGTCATAATCCCAATCGAACCTTCACAAACTCAACTCAATCCTATCTTACTACTCCTTTTCCGCAATCAAAACCAATAAAGAATCAATCTTATCCGTCTCCATACGCTCCAGTTTCTTATCTTTAGCCAATAAAGCCAACTCAACATTAGTAGCTAAATAGTCCGCACCAAGTGCTTTAGAAAGAGCATCTAGGGCCTGCTCAAGAATTTCATCATTAGTACTCTCTGGCTTGTATATCTTTTCCAGCTGCTTTTGCATGGCTGACCCGCCCTCACCAAAGGCCATACCCTTACATGGCAGTAAAGTCCCAGAACAGTCCGTATAGTATATCAGAGGTTGACCCTTTTCATACCCCACTACGGCTAAAGCAACACCAGGCAGTCGCATATGACTCTCTTGCGTCTTGCGCTGCCACCGATCGGCCATACGACGACAAACTAGATCTGGAGTGGGATCGCGGCCTAAATCATAAGCAAAATCAACTGCATCCTTTTTTAGACGCATTACTGTCTCTTGTACATCCATTTGGTATCCAGTAGTAATAGCTACAAGTCCAGGTAGAATTTCAACGAAACTTGATAGATAATTAGCATCCATAAGCTTCTCAGGTACTCTTTTAGCAGCTGCCATAGCTATTCCTTCTTTGCCATATAGTACTACACAAGACATTCCCTTTTTAGATGCTTCAAGAGCATACTCAACTTGTAATAAAGTCCCTTCTTCAGTAAATGCACTGCTAACACGCTCTTCGCTCATTGTAAATTAAAAACAGAGCAGAGAAAAGGAATGTTGGCTAGTCTCTTGCGCTATCTGGGTTGTCAACAAGGCTTTCTAGAAGTTATGACTTCTAAAGAGGCTGCTGCTATTCTAGGTGTTAGCTTAAGCAGTGGCATTGATGAAATCACTCGTAATTATCGGGATTTATTAATGCGTAATCATCCAGATAGAGGTGGTAGTCGTGAGATTGCGCAAAAGATAAATGAGGCCCGAGAGTTGTTGCTGCAACGATTGGAGTAGAATTAAATTAGATTTAGTATTGTGTTGGGTTTGTGTTTGGGTTTGATTTGAGTTGAGTTGGGTTGAATTAACTGGAGATAATAGTTGTGAGATGTCTAATTTGAAAGTCGCAGAATGAGAAATAAAGATGCCTAATTAGATGGGTCTTTGTAATTACTATAATTGTGTGAGTATTTGAGTTGGGTTGGGTTGGGTTGGGTTGAGTTGAGTTGAGTTGGTTATTGGGTTATTGGAAAGGAGTACAACTAATTATATTCAAGCATAGATTGATTTTGAAGTGACTGGGATATAGTTTATTCAACTTTAGTTGCTTGAGTTAGTATTTTGTTGAGTTGGGTTTCAATAACTTATACTGTAACTGTTGTACGTTATCTTGAGATAGTTTGCCAACTCAGAGTATAAATACTAGTCTGAAGTTGGGATTTCTAATTCGAGATTTTAATCTTACTCGTTGCGATCAGTGCTAGGCCGATAAGTATTGCCGAACTTTGGCCTAGTAGAGAACTCACTTTACTCACTTTAAAGTGGAGGCCGGCAAGGACACTAGAATTAAGCTAGGTTTATTTATATTTGATGAGTTTCGTTAGAGATAAGGACGGGCTTCTACTACATTGTATTGTATTAAGTTGGTATTAAGTTGATATTAAGTTGATATTACTCCATCTGAATATAATGCTCAGATATCACTTTTGGCACGGTTAAGGGTATATATTTTAAGATAAAAAGAGAGATATGAAATTGTCTTTTGAGTTTCTGGGAATTACTCTTGCTTGGTTGTTGAGTTGGGCAGGAAAAGCTGCTATTGCTGAAGATATACTACATTCAAAGTCGCTGGATAATTGCATTATGAAAAACGATAGTGCAGTGATTGATTTTGCTGCAGTTGAATATGACACTAACCCACAATGTCCACAATCAAAGGCCATTGGTAACCTTCTTTTTGATAGAGGCCCGGGAACAACAGTAGAGAATTGGGCGAAAGGATGGGCCGATATGTTTTGGCAAGCTTCACCAGACTTTTATAACAACCCTATGTCTGCTGCGATACTAAGTCACTGCCGCCCGATCTCGAGTCCTAAGTACAACTCTTGCCCCTTTGACCTTGAAAAGGATACCTTAATAACGGCGACAGAAGAAGCAATACACCGCTTTGTCGCAATTCTACCTATAGCTAGAAGATATATTAAGGCGCTTCAAACCTTTTCAGATTCCATCACAAATGAAGAAGTAGCTGCACTATATGCCACGGCAACTAATGGTCTGCTTGATAAAAGGGGTGACCTAACCGGTATCTACTTCTTTTGTGATATAATGCGGAGTGTAGCTATGTTTTACACAACTTGGGAACCCGCGGGAGGTTTAACTAAAAGTGGCATCAAAAGCGCCGTTGAAATTGGAAAAAGGATTATAGACAATCCTGATCCGACTGAAGAGACTTTCTGTGCAGAAAGACAGTTTAGGCACTTCTTGTATCGTATTTTAAGGTCCCAGCTGAAGATCCTTTCCTTCTTAAACCTTCCTAAGACGCCCCTAGGAAAGTACTACAAGTTTGAGGTCAACAATCACTGGAAGGGTAAACTGGAAGCACTGGTGAATCTAAACATTCCTAATATCGTAAAAAGCATGCCAGTTGATGCAGCCGTAAACAAGATATACAATACTTTCAATGATGCTTACGTTCTGGATTGGCAATGGGATTGGCGTTCTAAAGTAGGCCTCTTGGTGCAACGATCATATATGTTCAGTGAGGCTGGCATGGGACCCAAAGGTGCTCCATCTATACCTCTCAGTGAGGTTAAGGATTGGGTTAAGGATTTAGATATAACAACAGAACAAATCGAATATATATTGCATGTCTTGGGTACATTAAAACACAAACTCACAAATCCTTCAGCTGTATCAGCCAATAGTTCTACTAGCATTCACGAGTGTGTTGAGTATCTAGGCCGAGCTTCGTCATCTACAGGACCCTCAGAACTAAGATCTAACGAACTTATCTCTTTCCATGGTTTGCATAATCTGCTCTGGGATAGTTTTATGATGACTCCAGATAAGCTATCCTAAATGTCCAGCAAAGTTATCGTATTCTTTATTCGCGATCATAATTCTCCCTTATCAACCTAAGAGGATGGTTTTGGCGAGGGGCGGGAGCCTTATAGCAGGATTCGAGGCGTCTTGTTGCGTGAATAAAGATAAGGCCAATTCATTGGGTTAGTATTTGATAGCATTAATGTTAGTTTGTGCCAGGCCCATAGGAAACATGTCCTTTTCGACCAATAGTACTCTACCAGAGCATAGCCAGGCTGAACGTTCTTCGGGAGTATTCCAGTATGACATTGAGTTGAGTTGGTGTTAGTATTGAGTTGGTTTGAGTTGGTATTTGTGGCACGAATTGCTAACCCAATAACGCCTTCACTCTTGAAACGGCTGATGAGAATTAAAGATATGCTGACTTGTGTTTATCTCCATTTAAACCCAATACGATGCCGCTGTCATAGTTCAAGGAGCTATGGTTGTAAACAAAGAATGACGTACTTTGGACCCCGTACTAATAAAGCACCTCTTTATTACTTTTTATCCCATCTATCTTGGAATGCCCAATTTCGGATATCCTATTATGTTGAATTGAATTAGTGGGTTAATATTAGGATAAAATGAAAGTAGAAGAGTACTTTTTCTGAAATTGTTGGGGAGTTAATTGTTTTAATAATTTGGTAGGTGGTTAAATTGAAGTTTATAGTTGAAAATAGATAAGAGTTAGTATATAAAATCACAAATATATTGTGTTGTGTTGGTTTAGGATAGGGTGGGATTGGTTTAAGTATTGGTTTAAGTATTGGGATAGTATGTTAATAAAAGAACACGTCCGTTGAAACATTGTTGTTAAAGTTGTTTATTCATGCATGATATGGCCATAGAAGAAGAGTTGATTGGTATTGGCCTTAAGTGGATCCTAAGATTTTGAAGGCTTCTTGCTGGGCATCTGAGAGCCACGTGTAGAGATCGTGCATGTCATTTTTGTCTATTTCAATGGGGGAATGGGAAGTTAGAAGATCAACTGCCTGCCAGAATAAAGAATGAAGCGAATCTTGATTGTACTCAGCTGGAATACTATCAATCGTTATAAGAACGGAGGGAGACGAATTAATAGTGGGCGACTCGGTAACTTTACGGAAGATATACTGAGCAGGCTTAATCAGTACATTCTGAGCCGAAGAAATAGGCGAGTCCTTAAGCGTACGACTGACTATTTGTTGGTTAATAGCCGAACTAAGCAAAGCATCTCGATACTTAAGTAAAGAAACTGCCTGGGCACATTGATCTTTTTGAACCAGACCTAGTAAAGCATTATTAGCATTAGCAATTAACTGACTTCTTGTATGGGTATAAGACTGTTCTAAATGAAGATTATCTTTCTGTAATAAGATGTGAACATCACTCCAAAGATAAGAAATTGTTTCTAACTGAACATGTTGTGGATCAAGCCCAACAAAAAGTTCAGCCACCTTATCACACATCAAGAAGTACCTCATTAACACACAAAGAACCAAATTCGGTTCAAAAGAAGAGTAATTCTTACGCAGCGCATAAAGCAAAACCAAAGCCAATAACAAGTCTTCTTCAGTTCGCCTCGCCACTAAAGATCCAACCAAAAACAAAACGTCATCAACCGACTCTAAAAACCGGCTCAATACATCCATCTCCCAGGGAATTGGCACCTGTTCCGACAGAACCCGAATCTTCCAATGCACAACCAAATCTGCTTTAGCCAAGACCATCTCTTGCTCAGCCACCGACATTCGTCTCCAAACAGGCAAACTCAACTCAACCGTGGCCGAAGTACGAGCAAAATCCAAAAGACTTTCCGGACTAGGCCGAGTCTCCATCAAGTACCGCCGCCGATTAACCGACTTCTCCACTGCAACCACCTCAAAACAATCTTCCCACCGATTTTCCATTCCCTGCTTCCGCTGCTCAATCAACCAAGCATAAATCAGCCAATCATCCAAATAACTCAGCAACTTATACCCGGCCAACCAACAAGAGTCCGGGCCTTCCACCACATCTACCCAAACCGAAATATCTTCACCACCCACCAATAAATCCCGTAAAAGCAAGTAGAAGGGAAAGTCACGAGCACATTTACCCAAATACTTCTTAATCACTTCCATACCAAGACCCAACCGATAAAGCAACCGCAACAAAGAGGCATTAATCACAGCTTTATCCAACAACCAACCCAGTAAACTCGGCATCTTCTCATCCCCAGCCAAAATAACCGCCAAAACCGCAAACGAACTCGAAGTCGAAATAAGATGAGCACCATACCGTTGAGCCAGTTTATAATCCTTTTCTAAGACGGCCACTTCAAACTTCTCTTCCTCACTCGCATTATCCATAAACCCTTTCATATCCCCAATTCGATCCAAACACCGCAAAGCCGTACGCATCATTATTTGTTCCAAACCCGTCTCTTGCAAAACCGACCGAAACTTCACCAGATCTTTTCCCGACAAGAACTCCCGAGTCTCTTCAATCTTACCATCCGCCGCCAGTGCATATGCTTTCATAGCTTGCAACCGCGTATAAGCCGAAAGATCTCCCTGCATCTCAGACTGACCCAAAAAGGAGTCCAAAGTGGCATAAAGAGATCTCCGATGCGGTCCCGCAATAAAACAGCCTAACTTTTCCACAATCTCCGCTCGTTCTTGCATCTTTTTTTTAGTCCAGCATATCTCTCCATTACTACATTCCATCCATTTCCCAGCCTCTCTTAATAAATTGATCATCAACTAATCTCAGATCTAGATAATTTTAACAACAATTAACATTATATTAAGTTAGGTTTAAATTGGGTTTGGATTGGGTTAAGTTTAGATTGAGTTGGGTTGGGTTTAGATTGAGTTAAGTATAGTATAGTATGGCATTGAGTTTGAGTTAAGTTTAGATTGACAGTATCAAGCTACTATTAAGTTACTATATATGACAGTATCAAGTTACTACCAAGTTACTATATGGCATTATTAAGCTACTATTATGACAGTATCAAGATGACATTAAGTTGAGTTACATTATACAACACTTTACTTACGCAAGACATAACCACTACAGAACATAACTCAACTACTACATAACATAACATAACTACTACATAACTCAACTACTACATAACTCAATCAATTTATTCATCCACATAGTACATAACTCAACTCAATACCAAACTAAACTTAACCAATCAACTACTACTCCTATCACCCCTAACTCAACTCAACTCAACTCCTACCCCTATCACCCCTAACTTACTACTAACTCTACCCAATACCAACACTACTAACTCACTACCAACTCAATACCAACTCAGTACTATTTCAAAACATAACATTACTACCCAATTTATTATCTCTAAACACCACCCCACCCCACCCCAACTCATCACAACCTCTTCCACCCAACACAACTCTTCCCCACCCAACTCCACCCCATACCAACTCAATACCAACCCCTCCTAACCCAACTCTAACCCCTAAATGTCAACGGCCAGTCAAACTAATTCTAATCAACTATAAATATTTATGTAAAATTTTATTGTAACCCCATGCAGACAGGACTTACGAGTGATTACAGAAGTCGCTCACTTCCTACCGAAGAAGCACATGAAGAAGCAACTGAATCTTGTTCTGGATTCTTCCGAGTCCTTCGCGTTGAATACGCTAAGTTTTTTACAATGGCAACTCTTTACTTTCTTATTGTTTTAGCCTACTCTATCTTAAGAGATACTAAAGATGTAGTAGTTATTGGCCGAATGTTACCCGCTTCTATTCAGTACCTTAAATCTTTTGTAGTTATGGGTGCTACTATGACTTTTGCTGTTTTCTTCCAGTACTTACTGGCTAAAGGCGTATCATTAGAAAGAATGATGTTTTCGTTTAATATTGGCTTTGGAGTATTCTTTGTGGTTTATGCTTTCTTATTATTACCTAATATGGAAAGAATTGAACCGTATAAGTATTGGATTAACGATATCTTTGCTGATAAGAAGATGTACGTTAATGGTTTAGAGTTTTTACAAGGTTTATTACTTACAGTTAATTTCTGGACAGGGACTCTTCTTTATACTGCAGCTGAACTTTGGGGTAACATTATGACTTCAGTTATGTTCTTTGCGGTAGCTAATGAAGTTTGTCCTTTAAGACAAGCCTTGCGTTTTTATCCTTTATTCATTATTGGGGCTAATTTAGGTCTAGTTAGTTCAGGATCTTTAATGGTAGGTACTTCTTTTATTCTTGATTGGTATGCTGATTGGACTTTTGTTATTATTAGTGCCCTACTTAGTTTTGTAGCCGTTATTTGTGCTGTTAATGTTATGCTTTATCGGCACTTAGTTAAGAATATTATACCTTATCCTATCTATATTGTCTTTGAGAGTAGTCAGAAGAGGGCTTCTAAGAAGGAGAAGGTTGGATTTTTAGATGGGTTTAAGATTATGTTTAAGACTCCGATTGTTTTCCATTTATCTATGACCGTATTGGGTTATGGTATCTGTACTAACTTAACTGAAGGTGCTTATAAGTCGGCTTTGAAGATGGCAGCAGCTAAAGATAAGGGATCGGGTGAAATGACGGCTATTATGAGGACACAAGGATTACAACAGATCAATATAGGTGGAGCTGTTATTTTAGTTCTTTTATCTCCTTTGAAGACGTTTATTCAAAAGCACGGTTGGTTATCTTTGGGCTTATTGACTCCTGTTTTGACTTTAGTAGCTGGTTTAGCTTTCCTTCTCTTTGTCTGGGCTAATGTTTCGGTTAGTTTGACCAAGACGGAGGCGCAAGCTAATTTCTTGTTACAAATTGGTCGTAGTATCTTTACGGGGATAAGTTGGCAGGCTTTTATTGAAGGTGAGAAATGGGTTGGATTCTTTGCGGTTAATACGATTAAGATCTTGAAGTATGCGGCTTTTGATGTGGGTAAGGAAGCGATTGGAGTGAAGATTCCTAAGCAGTATCGGGCGCGGTTCAAGGGCGTATATGATGGAGTGTTTGGGAAGTTAGGGAAGTCATTTGCTAGTGGCTTACAGATTGGACTATCGGCCTTTGTCAATTCGGTTGATATCAGAACGGCCGCTTTGGCTTTGATTATCGGGTTGACTTCAATGGCCAGTGCCTGGACGTACTCGACTATTTACCTGGGCCGGAAGTACGATGAGGCCGTGCGTGAGGATCGGGACATTCAAATTGGCGAAGTACCGAGTAAGGCCGAGAAGGCGGCTAAGGCCGGCGAAGTCCTCGGCCAATGAGCCACATAAACCTCAATAAAGAGACAAGACTAAACATGCATAGCAATTGGCCTCATTTACATCACGATAAGTTTAGATAAGATTAGATTAAGTTAATTTCAAAACAACACAACACAACACAACACTAATTTTTATCTTATCTTATCTCACCCTATCATATCATAATCTTATCTTATCTCAAATCAATTCAAGTCAATTTAATAAAAACAAAAGTAAATCTTATCATAACTAGTCAGTATATGAAATGGTAAACTTATCTCAACTTAACTTATCATAACTTTATCTAATCTCAACTTATCATAACTTAACTCAACTTAATCTTAATATTATCTCAACTTATCATATCATAACACAACTTAATCATATCTTAATACAACCCAACATATCTCAACATATCAGAACACAACTCAATATCAATCTAATCACAACATAACTCAATATAAATCTTATCATAGCACAACCCAAACACAACACAACTTAACCCAATCTAATCTTATCTTATCATAACACAACATAACATAACACAACCCAACATATCACAATACCAACCCAATCTTATCTCAACTCAACTCAACCCAATCTTATCGTATCTTAATCTAGTTCTTTTTTTAGCCGTAGTTAGCTATGCAGCCTATAAAGAAGATTAAGATGGTTTTGGATAAAGAAGAGATGGAAGATCCTTTGGCTTGTGCCTTGACTGTTCCGGAAATGATTGAGGCGGCCGCGGGACAGGAAATTGAATCGAAGTATCTTCCTATTTTGGAAACTCTTATCTTATGTATGCAAACAAAGGAATGTGTTAAGTTATGGATGTACGGTCCTAAACGTATCTCTCAACATATCTTGGCAGTAGTAGCAGGTGAATCGGCTTTGAATGTGGAAGTATTTAGACGGCGATTACAGTACGACCCGAACTCTCTTTACGTCTTTGATTTGAATGAGACTGGGCAGGTAGCAGTTCGATCGATGTTGTATAAGATACTGGAGAATACTAATCCAGTGGCTATTCGTGGGTGTAAGTTTGCTTTTCTGATTCCGACTTTGACCGATATTGCTAAGTTGGATAAGCGGATTATTAGTCGGATGGATGGAGTTAAGGTCTATGTGCAGGAGTTTGCGGAGGAGGACTACTTAAAGGTCTTTAGTCGGGTGATTGAACGAATGAAAGGTCGGTATTTAGAGGAGAAGGAGAATAGAGGGAGGATTAATAAGCCGCGGCGGATTGGTGAGGTGATTAATGTTATTCAAGATGTAGTTGATTTTAGTGGGAATGCTTCGGTAGTGTGTGATTTGCCTCCTTTAGTGGTGGAGGAAGAATCGGGGTTTGAGTTTGATTTTGCTACTATTGATCGGGAGTTAGTAGATATGATTAGGCAGGCATATTTAGTAGATAATACGTTTGATGGGATGGTTATTAAGTTTTACAAACTGATCTATCGGGTGGAAGATCCTCAGCCCTACTCTATACTTAATCCTATTCATTTGGTGATTGCTCTTACTTCTACGGCTAAACGAACGACTTTGAGTTGTGTTTATGAGGAGTTTGTGCGACGTACGGCTGGAATTCCTTACTTTCGACAGGCTAGTCAGGATATTGTGCATCGGCGGATGATTGATTTATTGGATCTTGGGATTGTTTCACGTGGGTATTTCCAGCAAAATACAGCTGATCTGGAAAGTGCTGTTCATAGTCGCTCAGAAGTTTATCTTAAAGTTATGCTTGAACGGGTCAAAAGACATTGGAAGGATATTCCTGGGTAGTTTAAACACTTAATCTGATTAAAGTAATAACAGTTGTAGTCTTTGAATAGATCTTCTTCTTTTGAGTTAGGATTTGGGTTAGTGTTAGTATTGGGATTAGTATTAGGATTGGGTTGGGTTGATATTGGGTCTGGTGCTTTGAACCTATAAATACTAGAGTAGTAGTAAGAAAGATTGCTACTGTGGCATAAAGATAGCTGTGTCTTAAAGAGAAACGTAGTAGATACCAATAAATCTTGTTGTAATACTACCTTAGTTTAATTCCAACTTAATATCAACTCAATATCAACTTAATACCATATCAACACCATACCAACTCAATACCATGACAAACTAACGGTTTTTAGTTGGTTGGTTTTGGTCAAACAGTTATTGGTTTGTTGTGCACGGTGCTGGTTAGTAAGACTGGTGATGGTTTGATTGGTTGGAAGTAATTGGATCGTTTGAAGATCGGTGAGTATCGTATTATGCCTTGGATTATGAGTAAAAGATAGTTTATTGGACTTATTCCAATGGTCATGTGCTTATATACTAGTTCGTGATTTTGATCTAAATCATGAGGGGGTTGTTGGAGTAACTTGAGCTGAATCTTGGTGTGCTTGTACATTAGACTGTGCTGGCATTGGATTTGCTTGGGCACTGTGTGCTGGTCTTAAATCGAGTGTATGCTTATCGTTGAGATGAACTTTAATTAGCCTAATGCCTAGGCCTTTGTTATCCTCTAATAGCCTGGCAAGTTGGGTTGTGTTGATTTTTGGTACATCGATGATGTTGATGGTTTGAAAGTAAGTGGGCCGAAGCAGATCATCAATCAGCATATAAATCAGTTCATTAGAGATGCCAACAAAATCTAAGGTTCCGAATTTAGTCATCTTTAGTTGAGGCAGTGGCCTGGCTAATAGTCTATCAGCCCTGGAATTAGCAGTGGCGGATTTACTAGAATGGGTTGGGCAGGATGATGGAGGTTTGCTGTTTAACAATGCTGTGCTTGTGAGTGATTGGCCGCTTGGGGCTGGCTCTGTTGTACCGCTAATCACTGCCTGCTCAACTTGGATGAAGGCACACAAGTCTAGGAGGGCGTTTAAGATGTCACAGTAGGCACTAATCATCTCGATGTGGTTTAATTGAAGCATCTCACCACCAACGATCTCAATATTAGTATATTTCGCTTTGGGGATTTTATCGAAATGTGTGTAATAATGGGCTAACCTACGCATAATCAATGGATCTTGGGTCATAGCCATAAAATTTACCCGGTGAGCTATACTATTTCTAGCTGATGAGTTGGGAGCTTTGGCCGAGTTAGGCAGCTTAAAAAGCTCGAGAACCATGATGTTCGTCCAATCTTGATAAGTAAATACAACTTTACTAGCATTGTCAGTTACGCCTAGACAAGTTATAAATTCGGATAAGTCGGCTTCTCTGTTTGGTCGCTCACAATAATACTTTGGTAGTTGAACTACTACCGGGCACCGGATCTGCCAAGGACTATTGGATTGTTTAAGAGACTTTAACTGATCCTTTATGCAATCCTCACACTCCCACTTATCTAGCCCCAAGATAGTTAACCTCTCTAAACCAACAATCTTCTGACCGGCTTTGATGAGATCAAAAATCAGCTTAAAGTCAACTCGGAGTGTAACTCTCAATAAGTTCAATGGTGCATCTTTAGGAGCAACAGCTCCAATCGTTCCCCAGCCAATATCATCCACAAATACTGACAGGCTGGGGTGTGCCAGGGTTGCTTGTGCCAAATGCTTTAAGTTTGTTTGAATATTGCCAGTCACTTGACTATTCGTAATAGAAAAGATACAGTCCGCCTTACTAGACCAAGGCAGTAGATGAATCCAATCAATACCATGGATTGCCTCACAGTCTTTAAAATCCAACCCAAGAAGAACACGTTTATCCACCACTGCATGACATACAGCGACAATAAACGGCATACTACAATTTTGAATCTCTATGTTAATATCAGGAAGATCGGCCAACTTGTTGTGATCATCACCAGCAGATATCCTCTTGTGGTTCTCACGAATAATACGCATAAGCTTCTTATAAATCGGAGTCGGCTTCGTGCCCTCATGCAGATCGGCGCTAAATCCACTTAGAGTCAAAAGCCAACAAGCAGGAGAGTCCAACGCCTGCATTACCATCTTTCGCAAGTAAGTTCTATCCTTTTGGCTAGCTCGGCTAGTCAACTTGTTTTCTATCATAATATGCTGGTGAGTCTGCTTTTTAATCGCCTCGATAGCTAACTTATGCTGAACACTAGCAGTATTATCCGTTACAATCAGTTGAAGCACGTGCTTCTTCTCCTTAGCTTCAGAACTACCCCGGGCTAATAACCAAAAACAGCCCAAACAGATAAGCAACTTCCACTTACCCCAAATTTCTCGAGAACCACTACGTTCATATCTAGAACAATTCACCACAACCTTTTTACTTTGATTTAACTGCTGTTTCCTACTAAACTCAACCACCATACTATCTTGCCTATATAAACATAACTGGTATTTATACATAACAAACCCCTACCCCTAATCCTTTATTATTGGTATGATCATAATCTACCTATCACCATCTATCCAGTACTCCAACTTATATTTAATTCGTGCATAACACATTTAACCCAGTATCTATCTTACCACCCAAGTCACCACCAACTCCAATCCTATCTAATTTTGATTTCTGATTTACCGCTATTTTAATCCAATCCTAACCCAATCCAAACCCAATCCTACCTAGCAATACAATACTATCACATCATCATCTAAAATTTAATGATCAAAGAGGACTTACTTTCTGGCAGAATCTATCTAATAACAACCCAATACAACTCAATTCAATACTAACCCAATCGCTATCAGCAAATTTTTAATGGAATCTAATGGGCCAAGTAAACAAACATTAGCTCACTTTCTGGATAACAAGAACTTTCCAACTGCCAAAAGAAGTCTTCGCAAAAGAAGAGTTATAAGTGCTCCTATTGAGAAAAGAGAAGAAGATCTTATTATTGTGAATGGTGAAGTAGTGGTTAATGATGGGGCTGAAAGAGAGATCTTAGAAGAAGACCGTGTAACTTCATTCTCTTATGGCAAGGCTTATACTAAACGAGGTAAATGGAGTAAAGAAGAAACTCTACTCTTTTATCAGGCCTTATCTTTATGTGGTACTGATTTTACCCTTTTAGGAAAGATCTTTACTGATAAGGAAAGAAGACAACTCAAGAACAAGTTCTCAAAGGAAGAGAAAGAGTCACCCGAGAAGATAACCTTTGCCCTAGCTAATTCTAAGCCCTTCACCAAAGAAGAGTTAGTGAAGTTAACTGATGAATATAGTGCCATTAGAAATAAGTTATAATTAGATTGAGTTGAGTTGAGTTGAGTTGAGTTAAGTTGAGTTAAATTAGATAGGATAAAGATCTGGGTGTTGAAGAGGGTAGTTGCAGTGAATGCAGTAAGTATTGAATAAAACAAACATAAGTATGATATTGAGTTGGTTTAGTTAAAGATTGGGTTGGTATTGGGTTAGGATATTGCTGTGTTTGGGGGGTTGACAGTATCTGGTTTAGTTAAAGATTGGGTTGGTTATTTGCTATTTACCATTCAGTTGACAGGTTAAGTCTTTGTGGTGGCCAGTTAGGACGAATGGTGTGGCTGGTTTTGCTATTCAGTTAGTGGTTGTGCTTATGATAGTTTGATTTAGTTGGTTTTTGATTGGGTTATACGAACATAATTACAACTTATGTTTTTGATAGAGAGTTTCTATCTCATTTAAAGATGGCGTGCCAAGAGTACAAGTGTACAAAAAGTAATATTGGGTTAGTAGTATGATGGTATAACCAAGTTGAAATTGTGCCAAAATGTTAGAGTAAATGCCAACTCAATACTAATCCGAATAAAGCAATCACAGGTAAGGACTGTAAGATTTATATATCTAGTTTTTTGGGATTAGATTGGAAATGTTAAAACTAAGACTAACTATGAAAGAGATTGCACACCTAATTCAGTACCTAAAAGGCAACCATAATAAGCCTTCAGATATATCTGCTCTTCAATGGAGTCAATTGCAAGAGAAAGCATGCACTTTTTTGACCCACAATAGCAAGTTATACTACGTAGGTTGTGAAGAGGACACAAAACCACTAGAAGTAATTGGCTGCGATGATAGTGCGAGGCTAGAAAGTATCTTCCAAATTGTGCATAGCAAGGACGGTCATGTAGGGCCGGGAATGCTCTATCAAAAGCTTCAGTGTAATTATGTGGGGTTCAGTCGCAAAGCCGTTCAAGAGATAGCTGACGAATGTCCCATATGCACAACAGACAAGCAGATGCCGCCTGCTGATTGTAAGTATTCAATGAAGCATTTATTGATTGAATTTATTGATATGCGCCAATACGCAGACGTAAATG